GAGAGTGAGAGGGGGAGAGAGAGAGGGAGAGGGGGGAGAGAGGGAGGAGAGAGGAGAGGGAGAGAGAGGGGGAGGGGGGGGAGAGAGAGGGGGAGGGGGGGAGAGAAAGGGGGAGGGGGGGGAGAGGGGGAGTGAGAGGGGGAGGGGGGGAGAGAGGGGGAGTGAGAGGGGGAGGGGGGGAGAGTGAGAGGGGGAGAGAGAGGGTTTAATTGGGTTTTATTAACGCGTTGGTTAAAGCTCTTTGCTGCTGAGAGGCCGATCGCCTGATCAGTCATCTCTCTCTCTGCGTGTGTCTGTCTGTGTGTGTGTCTCTGTCTGTCTGTGTGTGTGTGTCTCTGTCTGTGTGTGTGTGTCTGTCTGTGTGTGTGTCTCTGTCTGTGTGTCTCTGTGTGTGTGTGTGTGTGTGTGTCTCTCTCTCTGTGTCTCTCTCTGTCTGTCTGTGTGTCTGTCTGTCTGTGTGTCTGTCTCTGTGTGTGTGTGTGTGTGTGTCTCTCTCTCTGTGTCTCTCTCTGTCTGTCTGTGTGTCTGTCTCTGTGTGTGTCTCTGTGTCTCTCTCTGTCTGTGTGTCTCTCTCTCTCTGTCTGTCTGTGTGCGTATCTGTGTGTGTCTCTCTCTGTCTCTGTCTGTCTGTGTCCTTCTCTGTCTGTGCCCTCTGTCTGTCTGTCTGTCTGTGCCCTCTGTCTGTCTGTCTGTCTGTGCCCTCTGTCTGTCTGTCTGTCTGTCTGTGCCCTCTGTCTGTCTGTCTGTCCCCCCCTTACCTTTCCCAGACTCTCAGTCTGTTTGGGGCTCAGACCGCCGACCCTTCCGCTCATCGCAGCGCCGCTGTCCCACCGCTCTCACAGTGATGTCTCGGTGTCTGACCTGAGAGCGCTACACTGTCGCCGCCGCCCTCTCCGCCTTAAAAGGGCGATCGATGCTTTGGGCAAAAGTAATACATAACACCGCACCGCTTTTTTCTGACTGTGAACGGATGTCACACGAAGCAGAAGTGCGATTTATTATTTCATTCATCGAAAAAAAAAGAAACAAATATTGCACTGTACTCCAACCGGTGGGACCCACCAGTAAGACTAGTGTTATATGGGGGTGAAACGTGATCACAGCACTACTGAGTGTATTGCAAGGATTATTATTATTTATTATTATTTATTATTGTTTATTATTATTTATTATTGTTTATTATTATTTATTATTGTTTATTATTATTTATTATTATTTATTATTATAGGATTATTCGTATTTGTTTCCTTTCCAGCACTTGGATTAACAGAGGAAACAACAAAGGAGAAACTGCAATTAATAATAATAATAATAATTCTCCTCATTTCTAATTTAAATAACCATAAATAATAATAATAATAATAATATCAATAAAGTAATTATAATAATCCTTATAGCCGACACAGCGCCTTTCACGTCAGAAGGACGTCCCGAAACGCTTATTATAATAATAATAATAATAATAATCCTTGCATTTGATATAGCGCTTTTTCACGTCGGGAGGACGTCCCAAAGCGCTTCACAGAACACACTGTAAAGTGAATTGACTGTATATATATTTGTGGGCGAACGCGGCAGCCAATTGCACACAGCAATGTCCCACAAACAGTCGTAGGTTGAAAATGACCAATTTATTATTGTTGTTGGTTTTGGAGGTATTATTATTAGGGCTGTGTGTGGAGTAAGGAAACTTGCCCAAGGTTTCGCCCTCTGCCTGGAATTGCACTCAGGTCTCTCGCTTGCGAAGCGAGTGCTCTAACCACTGAGCTACAGGACTCCATGATATACTGTGAAGTAGAGTGACTGTGTATTTTTGGGGGTGAAATTCAGCAGCTAATTGGGCATAGCAGTGTCCTGCAAACAGTCGTGGATTTTTTTTTAAAAAGGATTATTACCCCCAATGCGCTTGTCCGACTTTGGCGATTAAAGCCTTCATCAACCTTGTTTGATACCAACCCAAAGTTGGACCTGGATGCCTCTTAAAAGTGCTGATGCTGAACAACATGACAATCTAATTCCTCCCCCCTTTCCAAAAGAATTTATGCACCGCGCAATATTTTTGCAGCAGAGGAATGCCACATTTCAACCACCCTCCCTCGGAGCAAAAGGAAATATTTCATAACCTCCCCTTTAATTCCATTTTTTTTTTTTACGTGGCCCGGTTATCTTTCGATTTTTTTTTTGCTTTCTCGTGGAAATTCTTTTGCAGCGCAGAAGGTCATTCGATCTGCTGTGTGAACTCGACGACTCGTGTACACTATCTACGACTGTTTACCTGGTGGCAAGCTCGCCTCGCAAGCAAGAGGACCTGGGTTTGATTCCCAAGCGGGGCGAAACGTTAGGCAAGTTTCCTTACTCCACATGCTTCTGTTTACCTAGCAATAAGTTGGAACCCAGTTGTTCGTCAATTGGCGGATTATAAAAATAAATAATAATTTGGTTACTCAATCCATGACTCTTTGTGGGACACTGCGATGCACAATTGGCTGCCGTGTTCCGCCCACAAAATATACACTCAATCCATTTTACAGTGTGTTCTGTGAAGCGCTTTGGGACGTCCTCCCGACGTGAAAAGCGCTATATCAAATGCAAGGATTATTATTATATTCTGTGAAGCACTTTGAGGCGTTTCAACAACGTGATAAGGCGTGATATCAAATGCAAGGATTATTATTATTATAAATCCAAAGTTGTTGTTGTTCTGCTGGTAACTTTGTCTTTCGTCACAGGGCAGATTGGAGCGAGGTGTCTCTACACGCAGTGATAGAGGGTACGTTAAATGAAATTACAAATTACATTTTAAATCAATGCTGCGAGTGTTGTTGGGGGGGGGGGGGGGGGGTAGAGGAGGGGGAATTACTTTAAAATCTGGAATAAGTCTCCATAAATACAGACTTATCCTGACTGACTCAAGTGTCGCAAGCAGCTTTCAGTGTGCTGAAGTTCAGCAACACCCAGTGATTATTGTTGTAATGAGTAATAACATTATGACATTTAAACTCCTGCGATGCTGTTAGCTGGTCTTGGCCTGTTAGCCGTATCGCCCCCTACGGGAGAGAAGATAAACATGCCCTGCTCCGCGTAATGCTTAAAAGCAGGACTTGTAGGGAGTGGATTCAATAATCAACAGTAATAATCCTTGCATTTGAAACAGCGCCTTTTGCGCCGAGAGGATGCCTCAAACTGTTTCACAGGATTTACTGTAAAGTGTAGTGACTGTGTGGATTGTAGGTGAATGATTTGGTGGAGTAAGCGATGGATGACAGTGTTGGGTGATGCCGTCACCCATTTTGTGCAACCTCAGGCCTGCCACAGGATGCTTCTATTGCACCTGACTTCAGTGGTCCAGCAGATGACTGAAGCAAAATGGCATTTGAGCCAAACTATAGACCCGTTTGGAGATATGATCCTCTTGGGCAATACATTGGAAAAACTCTTTTCCAGTTGTGTCATAATCTTTAATGTCCACCTGAGGGACAAGGCAGATCTCAGTTCTAACATCTCATCTGAAGGACCGTGCCTCTGACATGGCCCCCCCCACCAGCCCTGCGTTGGAAACCCAACATGACCTTTTTTCTTCTCAGAATGAGTTATGAACCCATGACCCATGTGCTGCGATGTTCTCCAATGTTCAGCCACTGGTATTATCTAAGCAGTGCTGCATTGTTAGGCAACAATCACACTGCTGTGGACAGCGAAATCCATGCGGTTGCCATTAATTTATTGCTCAGCAATATTGCGAGGGGCTGGGGCTGGGGCTGGGGGAGTGGTGGTTGGGTGGGGGGGGGGGGGGGTGATGGGGATGGGAGGAACTCCATTCCCCATCGCGCTCTGTGTCCCTCTCCCTCCTGTGTCCGGCGCCATGACCTCGGGTTGTCAAAGATCGGTCCGTTAAATGTTTAGCCCCAGAGAGACGCTGCCCCCTCCCCAGAAGGCAATCAAGCAATCCCACAAGAGAGGTTTGGACGACAAAGTTCCTTTGGTCCCTTTGATCTCATCCCTCAAGAATACCCGCCTCACTGTGGAGCTGTGTATTATATGTGCCCAACACACGGCCTCAACCGCAGTCCTGAGAACCAGCGCCGCGGGTCGTGACTGACAGGTAGGACTGGGAACTGGGTCTGATTGACAGCAATTGTCGCCCCGCCCCCTGTGTTGTGATTGACAGGCAGTCCTGACACGCCCCCTGTGTGTGATTGACAGCCATTCCTAACCCGCCCCCTCTGTTGTGATTGACAACTACTCCTGACCCCGCCCGCTGTGTTGTGATTGACAGCCATTCCTGACCCGCCCCACTGTGTTGTGATTGGCAGCCCCTCGTGACCCGCCCCTGGGTGTGATTGACGGGCGGCCCTGGACCCGCCCCTGGATCTGATTGACAGGCGGCCCTGCACCCGCCCCTGGGTGTGATTGACGGGCGGCCCTGGACCCGCCCCCTGTGTGTGATTGACGGGCGGCCCTGGACCCGCCCCCGGGTGTGATTGACGGGCGGCCCTGGACCCGCCCCCGGGTGTGATTGACGGGCGGCCCTGGACCCGCCCCCGGGTGTGATTGACAGGAGGCCCTGGACCCGCCCCTGAGTGTGATTGACAGGAGGCCCTGGACCCGCCCCCTGTGTGTGATTGACAGGAGGCCCTGGACCCGCCCCTGAGTGTGATTGACAGGAGGCCCTGGACCCGCCCCTGAGTGTGATTGACAGGCGGCCCTGGACCCGCCCCCGGCTGTGATTGACGGGCGGCCCTGGACCCGCCCCCGGGTGTGATTGACAGGTCACAGACATGGCGGCGGGCTGCTGGCGGTTGCTTTGGTCGCTTCTGGCGGCGCTTGTCCTCCACCGTCGGGCGGCGGCGGCGGCTCAGGCCCAGCGGGTGGCTCTGGTGGACGTGCTGCTGGCGGAGCCGGGCCGCGGCTGGTCGGCACAGTCCGGCTTCAGGTCGAGCAGCAGTTACCGGCTTCAGGGGACAGTGTTAGCGCTGAGCTCGGGCCAGACCCCGCTCCAGGGCGGCCTAGTGCTGGTGAGTGAGCGTGTGAGGGGGTGTGGGTACAGGTGAGGGGGTGTGGGTACAGGTGAGGGTGGGGTACAGGTGAGGGTTGGGTACAGGTGAAGGGGTGTGGGTACAGGTGGTGAGGGTGTGGGTACAGGTGAGGGGTGTGGGGTACAGGTGAGGGGTGTGGGTACAGGTGAGAGGGGGTGTGGGTACAGGTGAGGGGGTGTGGGTACAGGTGAGGGGGTGTGGGTACAGGTGAGGGGTGTGGGTACAGGTGAGGGGTGTGGGTACAGGTGAGAGGGGGTGTGGGTACAGGTGAGGGGGTGTGGGTACAGGTGAGGGGGTGTGGGTACAGGTGAGGGGTGTGGGTACAGGTGAGGGGTGTGGGTACAGGTGAGGGGGTGTGGGTACAGGTGAGGGGTGTGGGTACAGGTGAGGGGTGTGGGTACAGGTGAGGGGGTGTGGGTACAGGTGAGGGGGTGTGGGTACAGGTGAGGGGTGTGGGTACAGGTGAGGGGGTGTGGGTACAGGTGAGGGGGGTACAGGTGAGGGGTGTGGGTACAGGTGAGGGGGTGTGGGTACAGGTGAGGGGGTGTGGGTACAGGTGAGGGGTGTGGGTACAGGTGAGGGGGTTGCGGGTACAGGTGAGGGGTTGCGGGTACAGGCGAGGGGACTGCGTGTACCGGCGAGGGGTGCGGGTACAGGTGAGGGGTGCGGGTACAGGCGAGGGGGTTGCGGGTACAGGCGAGGGGGTTGCGGGTACAGGCGAGGGGGTGCGGGTACAGGCGAGGGGGCTGCGGGTACAGGCGAGGGGGCTGCGGGTACAGGCGAGGGGGCTGCGGGTACAGGCGAGGGGGCTGCGGGTACAGGCGAGGGGCTGCGGGTACAGGCGAGGGGCTGCGGGTACAGGCGAGGGGGCTGCGGGTACAGGCGAGGGGGCTGCGGGTACAGGCAAGGGGGCTGCGTGTACAGGCGAGGGGGCTGCGTGTACAGGCGAGGGGGCTGCGTGTACAGGCGAGGGGGCTGCGTGTACAGGCGAGGGGGCTGCGTGTACAGGCGAGGGGGCTGCGTGTACAGGCGAGGGGGCTGCGCGTGGACACGGAAGGGGTTGGGCGTGAGGGTGTCTGTACATGTGAGTGAATGTCGGCGAGTGTGTGCAAGTCCCTTTGCCATCGCTAAGTGCTCTGAGACGGTAACCCGTGTGAAGGGCGCTGTATAAATTTGCAAGTCTGTGTTGGCGATACCTTGCGATCGGGGCGGTCTCTGTGGCGAACACCACGGATTCGACACGCCGCCCCACGCGACGAGCGCTGTATAAACGCAAGTTGTTGTTTTTGAGGTTAAAGACGAGCAGTCAGACATCCGGCTGAAGGCTGGCGAGAATTGGATTGGAGTTGTTCCGGTTGGCGAGGAGCCGCCTGAGCTGAAGGGGAGCAGTAAGCAGGAGTCCTTTGCTGAAGAAGTCGTTAGCAAGGCAAGTACACCGCACGTGCGATGATTTGGTGCTGTCACGTCGGGTTATCGGCGGTCAGGCCTCAGCCTCTCTGCCCCCACTCCATCCCGAAGATCCCTCTGACTCGCCCCATGCCTCCTTCAAGACCCATCTCAAGACCCTGCTCTTCGACCGCGCCTTTGGTCACCCTCCTACCCCATCCATCCTGATCCCAACCTCCAGCTCGAGTCCAAATCCCTGACTGTTAAGAGCCTTGGGAATGTCCTCCCGATGTGAACGACTGACCGAGCCTGTAAACGATCATGTCTTTGTTACAGATGAAGCGAGCTCTTGTCCTGGGAGCATCAGCCCTGTTGATTCTGGTTTTAAATCAAAACGCCATCACTGAGGTAATCTCAAACGCTTGTGATAAAGGGATTGTTATTTTTAAATTAGCCCTTAAAATTGATTGCAGGTTTACGGGATTTTCCAGATAAGAAAGTCCCAAACTATCTTCTCTCCGCTTTCGCTTTCTGTTGTTGTGCAGAAACGTTACTTGGGAGTGTAGCTGGCAGTACTGCGGGTGCGGGTATTTTAAGCCACAAATGAAATGAAAAGGAGGGAAGGATCCTTAAGGAACCATCTCCCTAGGGAGACAGCAGAAGCAGAAAGTCTTTCAAGAGCAAATTAGATAGATTTCTGTTAGGAAATAACATCTTGGGATACTGCATATAGTTTGGGACATGACATGTGCGTGTGACTGCCAGGATAGTGGAAGGTGAACTGGATGTGCTTTGGCCCAGCAAATTCTTATGTTCATCTTTGAGCGGGACGCTAATCGTTATCGTTTGTATTTTTATTAAGATGGACATTGCTCAAGTCCTGTCTAAACCAGTAGTGATCATGCAGAGCTCTGAAAATGTAACCAAACTGCTGGGAGCCTTAATCAGGTAAGTCCTTTTTGTTTGTGTTACATGCTGTATTGTGCTCATTCAGCCCGTGGATAGGTCTAATCCTGCTGTTTTAACAATGACATGTTATTCTAAATGAAGAAATAAGATGAGACCTTTTAGCAGTAACATAGTTTTACGGCATTGCCACAAAATGATTCATCATCACGTATTACAGCCCTTTAATTCCAACCTTGTTTTCTCGGCAATTTCCAATTCCTCTTTTGGGGGCAGGCGGTAGAGAGATGGTTCCACAGGAGCCGGGGGCAATTCAGTCTGTCGGCCAAATTACTCACAAGTCAGCCTTGATGGCAAGTTTTGACAGATCTTTTGACCGGGGGAAGGTTATCGTCGCTCACACTTACCCAATCGGAGCCTCGTGCACACAGCTTCAGTGAGTCGCTGGAAGGAGATTGGGGCAGGAGCCCTGGTTTATTTAGCTGTTAGTAGACGTCTTGTGAGCTACTATTTCATCCAAAGGGTAGTGGAAATCTGAAACTTTCTCCCCCAAAAAGCTACGGATGCTGGATCCATGGAGTCCTGTAGCTCAGTTGTTGGAGCAATCACTTTGCAAGCGAGAGACCTGGGTTCGATTCCCGGCAGGATGAAACCTTGGCAAGTTTCCTTACTCCACACGCCTGATAATAATCCCTCAAGATAAAGAAACAATAATAAATTTCAATCAGTCCATGATTTCAATCCACGACTGTTTGTCGGATATTGCTGTGCGCAATTGGCTGCTGCATTTCGCCCACAAATATACAGTCAATTCACTTTACAGTCTATTCTGTGAAGCGCTTTGAGACGTCTATAATAATAATAATAATAATCCTTGCATTTGATATAGCGCCTTATCATGTCTTCGAGACGTCTCAAAGCGCTTCACAGGATACACTAAAGTGAATTGACACTCTATTTTGGGGGCGAAACGCGGCAGCCAATTGCGCACATAAGACGTGAAAAGCGCTATATCAAATGCAAGAATTATTATTATCCATTAAAATTTTTAAGACTGAGGTGGATAGATATTTGTTAGTTCAGGGCATCAAAGTATGTGGGGAAAAGTCAAGTAATTGGAATTGAGGTACAGATCAGCCATGATCTAATAGAATTGAGACGTCGAGAAGATGTGAAAAGCGCTATATCAAATGCAAGGATTATTATAATGACTCGAGGGGCTGAATGACCTAATCCTGTTCCTATATGTTCCTACCTCTTGAGTTCTTTGAGGCTTAAAAGGAGAAACAGAATAGAACATGCATTATGAATGCGCTATCTGATCTTTCATTCATTCATTCATTCATTCATTTGCATGAGATGTGCACTGTGTGCGTGTGCCAGTTTAATAATAAATAACCCTTCATTTAATTTCACATCAGGAAACTGTCTCGAACCACTTCCCAGGAATTAGTAACTGAGCTGCGGTTCTTTTTGATTACAGTGGTCTTCGTGCTTCAGCGAAAATCACCTTCAAAAGTATAATTCAGGACAACCTGGTACGTCTTGTTTTATTGTGTTCTGAGATGTTTCAAGGTAAGAATGTGGAGTGTAAGATATGACGTGTAGATTCTGCCCCTCGCGGGCTCCTGACTTCAGTCGCTGAGAATCCTTGATCGTGTCCGCAAGACCTCTTGGAGTGGGAACTTATCTTGAGTTTCCTTTTCAATTTCAGGGGGTGACTCTGACACTGTGGTCAACGTGTGGCCGTTCTCGAGGGGGTCTGTATGGGGAATGGCAAGGCGTGATCTGTACAGGGGAGAACAGCTCGCAGGTCCAGGTAAGCGACACAAACCCGTCACCTCTACCCTCTTGGGTGCAGCGAAGGCCCAGCTCTCAGCTCACACAGCACTCGGCTTTTATTCCCAATTACAGAAATCGTTGGTAGTCCTGTGTGAGGGTTTATAATAATTCCTGTGTTTGATATAGCTAGTGCCTTTTGTGTCGGGACACAAAATGCTTCACAAAAAAAATAAAAATGAATGAGGTCACACAATCCAAGACTGTTTGTAGGACCCCGCTGTGTGCATTTCATCCACAAAATACACAGTCAATCCACTTTACAATATATCCTGTGAAGCGCTTTGAGATGTCACGACGATGTGATAAAGCGCTATATCAAATTGAAAGATTATTTATTATTATTCACGCGATTTACTCCAGATCACTGGTAGGTGAACGTGTTACTGGTTGAGCCAGACTATCTCATTAAGTGCCTTTCGATGGCATTGATTGCACAACTGTCGATCTACTGCAGTGACAATCCAAAGCGATTTAATGAATGTATTTTTTATCCTCTGCAGAAGTATCTCCAGCAGCTGTGGAACACCATCTTGCTCGTGGGTTTAATTCTGTGCACTGGAGTCATCGTGCAGGCCCGCTGGCAATACAGGCAGTATGAGCTGAGTGCCGAAGATGCAGAGGTCTGTCTCATCCCACTCTGTTGTGTTTAAAGTTCTATTGCCTCCAAATCCCTTCATGCCGTGGCACCTCCCTACCTCTCCGACCTGCTTATTTCCCAACTCACTAGTTCTGGCCTCCTGCAAGTCCCTCGTGCCCTCAGTTCCACTATCCGTGGCCGCGCTTTCAGCCACTGCGCCCCCAAAACTCTGGAACGCTCTTTTCTCTATCCCTCCACCTTGCCTCCTTCCTCTTCGATCGTGCCTCTGGTCACTTCCCCTCCCCCTCTGGGCTCGGCGTCATTCTCTGCCACTGTTAAGAGCTCTTGTTCACTACCCCACGTGAGGTAGTGTAAATGCAAGTTGTTGTTGTAAAGTTATACGTACAGTACACAGTAGAGCAGTGCGCAATGTGCATACAATCAGCCATTATTACCCTCTGGGTAAAGAAATACTTACTGGTTTCTGTTGTAAAATTTCTCTTTGCAACCGTGAACCTTTGCCCTCAAATTTGCTGAGTGCTGGTTCCCAATGGTTGGTAACCCCAACCCTCTGCTCTTATTTGACCTCCCCCCAGATAAGCTTGAAACAACAAATCTTGAAGAGGCTTTCAGCCCTGAAAACCAGGAAATATCACCCCAATAAAAGGTGTAAAACACGGGTGCAAGAGCTGGAGAACTGCGCTGTGTGTTTGGAGGAATTCTATAAAAATCAGGTATGTGAAGCCTGTGTAGTGTGAACTGGGGGGAGGGGGAGGGAAGAGGGGATCTGGTTTTGATTCCCGGGTAGGACAAAATTTTAGGCAAGCTTCCTTACTCCACATGCCTCTGTTTACCTTAGCAGTAAGTAGGAACCCAGTTGTTAGTCAATTGACAGATTGCTTTCTGTGGGATAATAATCCCTTTAAAAAAAATTGATGTCTCAACTATGTGATAAGGAGCTATATCAAATGCAAGGACTAATATTATTACCTGAGGCGACAACTCTGCGTGTAATGCATTTGTTAACTTGATTTTTTCGGGGAGGGGGGTGGGGGAGAGAAGGGAAAGGTTTCCAGGTGTTTAAAGTGTGTTTTGTTTGGCTGTAGTGTTTACGCGTGCTGCCTTGTCTCCATGAGTTTCACAGGGACTGTGTTGATCGCTGGCTGCTTCTCCAACAGACTTGCCCCTTGTGCAAGCGAAATGTACTAGGTAAGATTTTTTTTCAGGCTCCCCTCGTACTTTGTGTAAGCATATTTAAACCATCGGCGGCCGTGCTTTCAGCCACTGCGCCCCGAAACTCTGGAACACTCTTCCTCAATGCCACTCTCAAGCGTTCTGGGGCGTTACCCTACGTGAGGGGTGCTATTTTAAAGGATAGAGGTGTACATATTCACTGTCACAAACGAATAGCGTTCAATTAACTTCACATATTGTCTTACATTTAAACACAAAGATGATGCACTTGTTGGGGACAGCTGAACGGTTATTCTTCACTCAAGATGAGAAGAAAACAGGAGAGACACAACCAGACATTTTGTATCGCACTTTATTTTCTGTTCCGCACAACCAATGTAACGTTGGTGGCAATCAAGCTGATTTTATGACCACTCCTGGGGAGTGATTCTTTCCCATGTTAACTTTGTTTGGATTCAAAGAGAGTCAGGACAGCGTGAATCTGAATCAAACGTCACATTCTCCTCCTGAATCGATCGGTCGTCTCGATCGGTGAAAAGACTCGGTCGTTAGACGGTAGTTGTTAAACTTGAATTGGAGTTAGCAGTGCTCCGTATGATCCCAAAATGTTTACAAATGTTCTACATCTGACGGTTACAACGTTCTTCCCACACCCTCCACCCCCAGCATAGTACATAGTGAGAAATATCAAGAGTGCAAATTTCTGTTGTTTCCAGGCAGGAGGGAGAACCTCATTCACACCTGCAGTTTCTGTCATTATTGTATCCATGATGGACAGTTTGGGGAACCACACAGTTGAACCCTTTCGCTGCTAGGCTTTTAAGAACAGTTGTGCGACTAGTTGAAAAAGCACTGTGGCCACCAAGTTGAAGGAATATGAGTGTTTTTCCCCGCCCTGGTGAAGCCGTGATCTCTCGTGCGGCCAGGTTATAGATGCGCAGTGCGGTCATACACCGCAAAAAGTTGTGGCACTGAGAATTTTCGTCAATTTCCAAAGGCCGTGAGACGAACTTCGGCCAGATCGCCTGTGTGAGAAATCTCATCCCCGGAATTCTGGATTGAATTCAATCCATAGAGCTTTCAGTCACTGCACCCCGTGATCTGATAGAATGACGGACCAGACTCGAGCGGCTGAATGGCCTCCTCCTGTTCCTATGTTCCCTATGTTACCTCCCCACTCTCTAGAACCTCCCACCTAAAATCTGTCCACTGGCAACTTCGCAGAATCCTTCTAAAAACCTGAAAACAAAACCAGAAGTGGCTGGGAACAGTCAGCAGGTTAGACAGCATCTATGGAGGAAGGAAAGTGAGTTAACGTTTCGGGTCCACAGAACAGACGAAGAATTGTGGACCTGAAACGTTGACCCACTTTCCTTTCTCCATAGATGCTGCCTGACCTGCTGAGTGTTCCCAGCCACTTCTGGTTTTGTTTTCAGATTTCCAGCATCTGCAGTATTTTGTGTTTTTATTTTCCTTCTTAAAAACCTACCTCTTCAAGGAATTTTATTACTTGTTACACAAACAGAACGCAACAGGGAGAAAGTGTTGACCGGGGGGGGACAGCCTGTCTCGCTCACCACTTCTGCAGGCAGTGGCAAACACAACACTTTTCCAATGCGGTTTCCGTTTAACCCATTTACCAGCAAAAATGTCCATTTACTTACTGATAAAATGCCCCCTTCGGCAGTACAGGGTGTGCTTACTTTTGAACCCTCTAGGTAAAAATGGTTGAAAATATTTTAATGAGTGTAGCGTTATATTTATTAAGATGCTAAGTATGTAGGTTGGCGTATTGCACATTTTATTTGTTCTCTTTTGCTACATAATGTTAATTTAACTTTTTTTTGTAGAACTCTTGTTTAGAATACACACAATGAAGTAGAAGAATTTTAAAACAAATCGTTCAGTGTTTGAATTAGCTGTTGTGCTTATTGAAACTTTAGAGCAGGGACTTGAAAAGAAACCGGAAATAGAATCTACCCGTCACTTTACTTGTGTAACGTACTGTAGTGTGTTTCAACAATGCACTTTGAACCAAATTGTTAACCATCGATATGCTAACAAAATATGATGTTGTTGCAAACTTTTGTCAAAAGATTTGTGTTTTTTCTTTAAACTTTTTTTAAAAAGAGAGGCTTTGGTTTTTGCAAGTGGTGATGAATGGTTCTATCTCTGATCTTGACGCGTGTTTGTGTGTGCGTGTGTGATGGAAACGCAACTAATTTGAAGCTATTGTGTGGATTTAGCTGCTACGGGTTTGCATGTTTTGAAGAGAGTGAATGTCAGGCTGTGCATCGTCTTGCCATGTGATTGTATATCTCATTGTGTAGCGACATTCACATGAATAAAAGCTTGTGCCTAAGGAGAAGTGGTTGTTTGATCATGCTCCAGATACACCACGCTTGTTCCTCATGTGATGTATTCAGTGGTGACGCCACGTCCGACAAAGCCTGTCTGTTTCTAGTCTAACCACGTGGTTAGTCATTTGCATTCAACAACATCAATGGAGTTGGGTGAAATACATTTATTCACTCTGAATAGAAAATTGAGGGAAAGTCAATTCTTGTGATCATGTAAAAACAAAAAATTCTGTTCTGTGGACTTGGCGCCCCATTTCTGGTGCAGATGTCCTGCTAACGTCACAGCTCTACTGCGACCTGCCAGTGCAAGGCTCACTCACTATGTGTGTGAGAATGCGCGCGTGAGTGAGAATGCGCGTGTGAGAAAGCGCGTGTGTGAGAGAGCATCTGGCCTTTGACAGCTCAACTGAGATCGATGACAATCTGGGAATCGCAAGCTACAGTAGCGAGTGCTAGTATGCTCACATGTGACTCTCATTCTTTGCCAGACAGCAAGCCTCAACTGCTCGCTGCAGGTAATGTTTTAAAATAAGACGATATGTATTGATGCTGTCTTAACACTTCCAAACCTCGATCAGCTCAAACAAAAGACATCCCTTGACTGCTATTTTCTACCACTCAAAGGGTTAAATGCTTTCAACATGCAAAACGGAGAGTGAAACATACAGAAAATCAGTTTGGTTCAACTTTGGTAACAGTTTTAAGCGCTCAAGGACACTAACCCGCGTGAGGGGCACTATATAAATGCAAGTTATTGTAGTTTCCATGTTGTGTTTGGTAAACACATCAAGATCGAGACTGGGGTCAGTAGAGCTGTCTACCTGGTTAAGTGCGATCAAAACAGGACAATCAGGAGACAACTTGACTGACCAGGAAGCCCGGCATTACTGTAAAACACTTTACATTTCTTTTTAACCTAATGTAATTTTCTATAATTGCTCTTCGTTCCAGTCCTGATGACGGGTAAGGTTCCAGCACTTTTCAATCTTGCGTAGGCTCTGATGGCAGAGGGTTCTGGTGGGTTGATGAAGACGCTGGATCCTGGCCTCCTGATCCAATCAGCTGAAGGGATCCTCGCCTTTTTCTCGCTGCAGGGTCGCTGGCCCAATCCAGCACTGGCCTCTAGGTCCGGGCTTCCAATGGCTCTCCTAGGGCCCCTGTGTGAAATTGACAATTGCTTATTGCAAGGGTCGATGATCGAACACAAGCGTTTGCTGGAGAAAGCTTCACTTCAAATCTCGTATTCACCCCAACACGTCAACAGGTTAAGATTTGAAACTTGATTCATAATCTGTCCATATGACCCATGGTCCTCTTGAACCTTTCTCATTTTTCGGTTGTGACATTAAACAGATGCTAGGTTTGCCCGGTCAAGAGCACATTAAATTGCCCACAGAGCTACTCGAAAAGAGAATATAGTTTCTCTCTCTGTGTCCTGGCCGACAATCCCCCAGTTAAATCGTCCATTCACTTCATGTGCTGTTTGTGGGATGTTGCTGTGCGTGAATTGGCTGCCACATTTGCCTACAAAACTGTCACAGCAACTGCTCATGATGCGCTTGGAGGACATTTTGATGTTATAGGCATTCTATTAAATGTAAGGATTATTATATCAATATCCAACAAGCCAGTTACCAGCTTGCAAACGCACAATTAGATTGCTGAAATACAGTAGCCAATGTGGAAATCATTTAAGAACTAATTCATTGAATTGAGTGCTTTCATTTCCCTCCAGTTCCCCCTTTGCCAAACCCGCCTGCATCCCACCCACGCACAGCTGTAATAGAGTATGACTGGTCCAAGCATTACGATGTCTCTTACACAGGGGGGCTGTGTTCTTTCCTGCCCTCGTACTTTGATCCGTTCGCTGGTACCCCCGAGGCAGCCCACAGCTGCGTCTGAGGAATAAGCTAAAGAGAGAGATGAGAAAAGCGAAATCATTGATTTTTGTTAATAATCATTGAAATTGTTGAACTAAAACAGGAGTTTGTGTGACACACCAAATGTGGAAACGAGTTCTCTTAAGACTGGACGTGTACCGTGGCTTTTTGATCAAGGTGCGTTTGCTGGGCAGAAGCTCTAAATAAAGCCAATGGTGCGGCTTCTTGCACCTATTTCTAATTACAGGAGAAATGTCTCCGCTGAGAGATGCATTTGGTGTGCAGCCTCATTGACAGAACCCCGCTGCTATGACGCCTCATTAGGGGGAAAGTCTTGTAGCGAAGGAATTCGGCCCAGTGTAAGGAAAGCGTTTAGCTATTTTTTTTTCCTCCCCTCACATTGAAGTTCTGAAAAAACATTCCATTTCCATGACCTTTAAAGCTCCCTGTTGTGCAGATTCCCGCAGCTTGGCGAGAGTGGTTCTCAGGTGAGAGTTCTCCTCCTCTAGCACACGTATCCGCAGGCCGTTGGCTTCAAGCTGCTTCTCCATGTCCAGCGTGATGTCGCCCGTACCTGCCGGAGACCAAATGTCACACGCAGTTTTTAAGCTATTACATTCAAGATCAATAATACTAATAATAATCCTTGCATCTGCAATGTTTTGCTCACAAAATACAGTCAATTCACTTTACAGTATATTCTGTGAAGCGCTTTGAGACTTCTCAAAGACGTGACAAGGCGCTATATCAAATGCAAGGATTATTATTTATTATTATAGCGCCTTATGTTGTTGAGACGTTTCAAAGTGTTTCACAGGATATATTGTGAAGTGAATTGACTGCGTTTTTGGGCGAAGCATGGCAGGCAATTGCGTACAGCAATGTCCCACAAACAGTCGTGTATTGAGTGACCAATTTATTTACTCCTTGCAACCTTTTAAATGGCCGTTTCCAGCGGACATTCACCTTTACGTTGCTGATGTGACCGAACAGAATAATTTCAGTTAAGTTGGTTTACAAGGGGTGGGGAGGGAGCGTGGAAGCTGGTAGTGTCTTACTCTCACACTGAGCTTCTGCTGGGACGTTCAGTTCAGGAAACATGACCAGGAGCCTCTGCTGTTCTTTGTGATCCTCTGTCTGTCTCTCCAGCTCTGACACCCGCCTCATTAGCTCAGCCACGGCTTTTTCTGACCCCTGATTTATCTGCTTTGTTTGCACCTGTAAACAAGAAAGGGATGTGGAGTTGAGGTACAGATCAGCCATGATGTGATAGAATGGCAGAACCAGACTCGAGGCTGAATGGCCTACTCTTGTTCATTTGTTCCAAATCCCTGACTGTCCAGTGCCTTGGGACGTTTTCCCAACGTGAAAGGCGCTCTGTAAATGTAATTTGTTGTTGTTGTCCCTTTGGATGAGGCATTGCCCCCGGCATGAAGTGTCTGCTTCAAATCCTGCAGATACCTGCATGCAAACCTTGGAGTCCCACTCAGAAGCCGGACTTATTTCCACTTCCATGAGGTTGGATTGGGCGGAAAAGGCACCTGGCTGGAGATGGATCAGTGACCAAGTGATGGTCCATTGGAGACTCGTATCTGGGTAGGTACAGGTTTCTGACCTGTCACTAACCACACGTGTGTTGGACCCACCAGTTCTAGTACCTCCTGCTGCTGTTTGTCTCTCTCTGCGCTGACTGTGTCCAGCCGCTCCTGTAACTCAGCCATTCCTTCCTCAGACTCCGCCAATGACGTCCTCAGACTCTCGCACTCCTTGTCCAGCTGGTCCACGTGCTCCAGCAGGGCGTTCTGCTTCTCCTTCAGAGACTGGGTTTGTGTGTGTTAAAAAAAGAAAAAAAATGTTAATTCTGCAAATGTGGCTGCACATGTGTACGTTGTGTGTGTGTGGAAGAAAGTATATGGCTGGGCGTGTGTGTATGTATGTGTGAGGGAGAGTGCGGATCTATGTGTTTCTGTGTATTCATCTATTAGTATCAGCCACTATCCTCCAAAGGTTTGCAACTCTCTCCCTCAATCCCTCCACCTACCCCCTCCTTCCCCTCTTTTAGATTATGACTGAAGAACTTCCTCTTCAATCGTGCCTCTCTCAGCTCGGTGTTGAGCTCCGCCACTGGACTCCGCCAAGCATTCTGAGACGGTGCAGGGTGCTATATAATTGCAAGTTGTTGCTCGAGAGTATGCTGTGTGCCTGTGTGTGCGCATACATGTACAACTGGGCCTGTATCTCAGAGGGCGAGGAATCAGCCACCGTCCCACCTCAGTCCGGCAGCTTCTCTCATTACACAGAGGTGCAGTCGCGGGGAAATTAAGATACTGGATTGAGTTGCACACGATCAAAAGATGCCGCGCGTTTTCATTCTCAGGGACTTTACCTCCTCGTGCCTCAAAAGGCTGTCGATCTTTGCTCTCTCTTTGTCCAGTTCACTGCCGACAGTGTTGAGCTGACTTCCGGCACTCTCCAGCTGAGCGGTTAGCTCTCTGACTCGCTCCTCGAGGCTCAACACCAAGCTCTCATCTGTCTTCTGGGTCCTCACTTCCTCCAGCAAGGCTGCTTTCACCAGTTCTGGGCATCAAGCAATAAGATACAGAGTCAACCATAAGAACATTAGAATTTGCTGGGCGAAAGGAGACCAAGGTCCATCTAGTTCGCCTTCCACCATCCTGGGGTTGCTTGACATGTCCTGTTTCAAACTATGTAACCAGACAACCAAGTTGTTATCCCAGTCTCCAGAAGACATTGGGATTTCACACACACAGTAAGCTATCAAAGGGATTTTACATGTACCAAGGTCTCGGATGAGTGCATGCTGCTCCTTCAGTTCCTCCTTCAGGATTGACACTCTCTCTTCCAGTGCAGCGCTCCCTGTAACAGAATGGAAATGGCATTGTGAGAAGCCCACAGGTTCCACCAGCAATGCAACCCCCACCTCTTCTCTGATGTATTACAGTGCGTCACGCCCCAAAGCTTTGGAACTCTCTCCCCCAATCCTTCCGCCTTGTCCCTTCTCTTTTAAGACCTTCCTCCTGTTTATTGTTAGCTCCTCCCTCCCCCAGGGCTTGACGTCAGCTCCGCCACTGTTGAGCGTTCCAAGGCGCTGCCCCACATCAAAGGCTCTGTGTAAATGCAAGTTGTTATTTGGTGTTGCTTGCTCCAATCCCTTGCATTGCCGCTCGGGTTTACCTCTCCTCAGCTCCTCTTTCTCGCTTTCCAGTGTGGCCACAGTCCGGGCGTTCCTGCTGTTAACCTCTTCCACCCGGCACTCACACTCTCTCTCCATCAGCTCCTGCCGCCCCCTCTCCCTCTCCAACTCTCTCTCCAGGCTCCTGATCCGCTCCTGCAGCTGGCCCTGCTGCTCGGCCGAGACCCGGAGTTCGGCTTTGAGTGGCTCCACCCGCCCGGTCAGCTCCGCCAGGTGTTTGTTGATGCGTGCAAGGTCCTTGTTCTGCTCGCAGGCCCAGTAGGCCACGTCGGTGGCGCTCAGAGTCCCCTCTCCCAGGGCTTCGCTCACCACCGCCCGGAAACGGCCCAGGGATGAGGGGAGGTTCTGCTGGTGACAGACAGCCATGATGGAGCTGCCCACATCCTTGAGGGTGGCCTGGGTGCGGGCGCAGGCGTCACATGGCACCAGGGACGATTCCATGGTTTGCAGCCCGACGCTCCGGGTGCCTTTGGCGATATCGGGGGCGGGGAACTTTACCGAAGCCCCTCTTGAGCTGGCGGAGCCTTTGGTAACACCGATGGAGGCTGAGGGTTGTTTGGGAACAGCTAACTGGCATCTTGTGAAGTGGTCGCTCTGTGCCTCAGGAACGATCAGCTCGCTTCTCACTTTGGAGCGGTCTTCCTTTGAGAACCTTTTCTGTTTGAAACGGGATGGAAAAAAACAAAATCCATTTCAAAGCAGTTAAACCACAACTCTCTCCCTCACTGATCTTTCAAAGTGCCGGCACAGACACGATGGCCCCAATGGCCTCCTTCTGTGCTGTATGATTCTATGAAACAGCTTGATGTTGTGATGGGAAGACGGTTGAGGGTAGGTATTCTGGAATCCTGAGGCCAAAGGGCCTTTTCATCCACACACACCTTCCCTCCCTTCTGTGAACCCTACCTGCTGGTAAAGCTGCCCAAGCTGAAGCATGCTGTTCCAATATCTCTTCACTACCAGCCCAACAGACATGCATGGCCCCCTGGACTTGGAGATGGGGATGTTCTGCTCCGTGATAAGGATGTCAGCATAGTGAGTGATACTCTGCAGCAATAACACCAGCCTATAGACAGACAAATGGACAGAGAGAGAGAGTTACACCTAGAACCACTTTTCCTGGATCACTGAGATAGATTCATATTATATCCAGATCGTAAGTGGTTGTTAAAATTTGAGCACTCCCATCTGGTAATGAGGATAAGTACTGTACTGACATCATCCAGATAAAAATATAATAATAATGCTTACATTTGACATAGTGCCTTATCATGTTTCAAAACACTTCACAGAATATACTGTAAGGTAAATTGACTGTATATTTTGTCGGTGAAACGCAATTTATGGACACCTAATGAACGTTACCATCCTCCCAATTGTTGTGCAGGTAAGATGAAAATAGTTCTTCCTCCCCACACCCCATCCCCTGCCCCTCTGCCAGCTCTTTAAAATATGTTTACCATCTTAAATAAAAAACATCAAACCCTTGCAGTTGCCTGGTGGGTGGTAGGTTTAAACTGCCGATATAAAGGTGCAGTTTCTCTATAACAGGACCCAACTGGACTTGGTTTGGTAGTTTGTAACGTACCTGTCAATCACCAGCTCAAACAGCATGATGTGAGAATGCTGAGTATACTCGAGGTCATCCTCAAAATAATCGTAACACTCCATCAAAGACACGAGATCCAGCTCGCATGAAGTTTTATCCGGAAACTTCCATGAGGGATAGCGCACTGCGCCGACCCGAGAGAACACATCAATGATTGTCCCCTGGACCTCCGTGACATCCTTACGCAAACTGTCCAAACAGTTTGGATTGCCGAGAAGTAGAGTCATTTTAAGAGATCTGAAATCCGGGCATAAAGTAGGCTTATACTTGTACTCAAAAATAATATTTCTTCATCGGAATTTCTGATCGTCTTGGTTTTGTGGCAAATTCGAATCGCGTTGATGCTGTAGTATGCTCACAGGCATTAACTAATCTGTAGGAAATAGAAATAATTGAAATAGGTAAAGGATCTGATTCAGCATTCTGGCCCTTAATTACTCTACCCACCACATTTGCCTATGCCCCACCTACCAGACTTTGCCTACTACTTTGCTGCGTTTCACCCACAAAAACCGTCAATTCAGACGCTTTGAGATGTCTCGAACCGTGTGCTAAGGTGCTATATCGAATGCAAAAATTATTAATAACTACAATATAATAATCATAACAACCCTTGCAATTCGCGTAGCACCTTATCGCGTGTTTGAGAGCGCTTCACAGAGTAATACCAGCCCCCCCCCCACCCCCCTCGCCCTCCGTCCACCCAATACTCCGCCAGCATTCACCCTCAAGGTGAGTTAACACACGAGTAAGGGCAGCTTGGAACACAGCAGCAGGCCATTCAGCCCCTCGAGCCTGTTCTGCCACTCTATTAGATGGCGACTTAATAATAATAATAATAACAATAATAATCCTTGCATTCGATATCTCGCTTTTCACGTCGGGAGGACGTCGTCCCAAAGCGCTTCACAGAACACACCGTAGAGTGAATCGTGTGTGTGTGTGTATAATATATATATATTCGCAGACGGCCGCGGATTGAAAACGACCAATTTTATTGTTGTTTTGGTGGGGGGTGGAGTGGGGGGGGTTTTGGAGGGGTTATTATTGGCTTTGGAGGGACTTATTCTGATGGGAGCTGTATCCCAACCCCCGTTGGGTAAGGAAAGCCTGGCACCATCAGGGGGGGGGGGGGGGGGCAAGCAATACGGGAGGGTCGTGGGGTGGGGTGATCTGGAAGGGGGAGAGGCGAATGATGGGTTGAAAGGTAAATGGAGGGCAGTGGAAGGGTCCCCTCCCCCGGTGCTGGTTACCTGCCATGGGTGGCTTGTCCTCGGGCCCACAGCCCGTTCCCATGGTTGCACGCAATGGGACGTGACATACGCAAACCCCCCCCCGTGCGTGATGTCGTCATTCCAAGCCCCCGAACGAGTGACCCCCCCGACCCGGGACCGTACCATTCGGCCACCGCCGACGTCCGTAAAGGCGAGCGTTCCTGCAGAGGGAAAAACAGAGGAGACTGACGTGGACCGGAGTCGCGATGAAAACTTGGTTGAACCTTCGAATCGTTGAAAGGAAACGAACTGGGTGGGTTTTTTTGTTGCCTGCGTGAGTTATTTGTGAGGGTTCCCCCCCCCCACTCCTCTCTCTCTCTCTCTCTCTCTCCTATGTGGTACAGTCCAGGCCGCCATCTTGTCGGCGGGAGCGAGCGCGCGCTTCGAGCGCAGTCGGTTGGAAGGAGCCGTAGAAATGCCGGCGGGGCCGGTACAGGCGCTCGTCCCTCCTCCGCCGCCTCAGTCGGAGAACCAGGTAAAGAGCCAGGCGGCGGATATCATAGAATCGACGTAAATCGAGATGAAACTGGAACCCGCGGCCCTCCACTGCGTGTGTGTGTGTGTGTGGGCCCGTGTGGAGCAGCCTGAGGCCTAACCCCAAATACGAAGCCCAGAGAGTGGAAGCATTGATTCGCCCCCTCACCCCCCACACACACACACTGACCCCCACTCACCCCACCCCACACACACTGACCCCCACTCACCCCCCCCACACACACTGACCCCCCCTCACCCCCCACACACACACACACACTGACCCCCACTCACCCCACACACACACACTGACCCCCACTCACCCCACCCCACACACACACACACACTGACCCCCCCCTCACCCCCCACACACACTGACCCCCATTCCCCCCCAACGCACACACACTGACCCCCATTCCCCCCAACGCACACACTGACCCCATTCCCCCCAACGCACACACTGAGCCCCATTCCCCCCAACGCACACACTGAGCCCCATTCCCCCCAACGCACACACTGACCCCCATTCCCCCCAACGCACACACACTGACCCCCATTCCCCCCAACGCACACACTGACCCCCATTCCCCCCAACGCACACACTGACCCCCATTCCCCCCCAACGCACACACACTGACCCCCATTCCCCCCAACGCACACACTGACCCCCATTCCCCCCAACGCACACACACTGACCCCCATTCCCCCCAACGCACACACACTGACCCCCATTCCCCCCCAACGCACACACACTGACCCCCATTCCCCCCAACGCACACACTGACCCCCATTCCCCCAACGCACACACTGACCCCCATTCCCCCCAACGCACACACTGACCCCCATTCACTCCAACGCACACACTGACCACATTCCCCCCCACACACACATTGACCCCATTCTCCCCCCCCATGCACACACTCACCCCATTCCCCCCCACACACACTGACCCCATTCCCCCACCTACATTCTCTTTTGCCCCCATGCTGACCCCGCTCCCCCCACACACACCCTCACCCTACTCGCTTTCCAGCACCACCCACCATACAAACCCCATAAGCCCCTGCACACTAACTCCCTTCTGCTCATTGTTGTTGACACAGATTATCTGTCACATTTTCCCCATAAAGAAGTCACAATGCTTCAAAGAAGCTCATTATGTAAATTATTTTGACATCATTCAGCATTCTGTATTAACTTATTATAAATTCAAACCCAATTTAGTCTTGTTCCTAATTATGTGATAACCTGGCAGGTCTATTTCTGGGGTAGTGCATCTTTGTACCGTTGAATGGGAAGGTTATGGAGGCGATTTTGTTATAATAATAATGATAATCCTTCATTTGATATAGCGCTTTTCATGTCCTTTAGACCTCTCAAAGCGCTTCACAGAATATACTGTAAATTTAATTGACTGTATATTTTGTTGGCGAAACAATGTTCTTTGATGTTCTCTTGTACTCTGCTTGTACTCTGGGACGCTGCCCTACGTGAGGGGTACTATATAAATGCAAGTTGTTGTTTTAGGGGAGAGGGCCTTCAAGATTTTAAGGCATTGATATGCTAAAGAGCTGCTTACGATGGCAGTCAGCTGTACGTGTCTTTTCCAGTTGATGTTGTGTTGCTCTTCATCAAAGGCACATGCACGAAGAAGGATATTCAGATGAAGTCCATGGGGCTCCAATGCATTTGCTTGAGGCTGGTTGCAAAGTGACGGGCACAAGGCATGGAATAGGTTGTCTGCCTGTGTGACTAGGGTTGAGACATTAAAAAGCTTATTATACTTAGGGTGACATTTAGGCCCATGAATAACATTTTATATGAATTCATGTTCAACTGAATACAGCAAATTAAAAATCACATCTTGTAGCGATCACTAACGGGTTCTTTTGTTTCAAAAGGTGCCAGAGGAAACTAAAGATGAAATACCAACGGCCAAGCCCATCGTTGGTATCATCTATCCCCCTCCAGAGGTCAGGAACATTGTTGACAAGACTGCAAGTTTCGTAGCTAGGTGAGTTTATCATTATATTTGATGTTTGACTGGATTTATTGCAGTGCGATGAACCTTTGAAGAATATAACATTTGCACCTTTTTTCCTGTTGATTAGAAACGGCCCAGAATTTGAAGCTCGTATCCGTCAGAATGAAATCAACAACTCCAAATTTAATTTCTTGAATCCTAATGATCCATACCATGCATATTACCGGCACAAAGTCAATGAGTTCAAGGAAGGGAAAGGTCAGGAACCTTCGGCCGCTGTGCCGAAGGTTATGCAACAGCAGCAACTACCACAAAAGGTAAGAAACATTGCTAAGAGTGACTGAGGAAACCACTTAATCGCTGAATGCCTTAAGCTTATATTGTCATGTGTAAACGGTAAAAATGTGAATTTATTGTCTTTTCATAACGTAAATCATAAGATTTTTCTGGAGTTAATTTATCTCATTGTCTTTCAATAACCTTTTTGTACTCTAATTAAAGTTATAGATCTACACATTTATTTGCATTTATTTTTCCTTGTGAAACAGGTACAAGCACAGGTAATTCAAGAGACAATTGTCCCAAAAGAGCCTCCCCCAGAGTTCGAGTTTATTGCTGACCCTCCCTCCATCTCAGCCTTTGATCTGGACGTTGTGAAACTCACGGCTCAGTTTGTGGCCAGAAATGGCCGACAGTTTTTGACTCAGTTGATGCAGAAGGAGCAGCGTAACTATCAGTTTGACTTTTTGCGACCACAGCACAGCTTGTTCAACTATTTTACCAAACTCGTGGAGCAGTACACCAAGGTAGGTAGAAGGCTGGACGCGTGAAAATATTCACTCTCCTTTCTACTCAACCATAATTCTTCCCACAAAGGGAACGTTTGAGGTGTGAATGGTTGTCAAATGAATATTTTTTTACTTTTTATTCAGATCTTAATACCACCAAAAGGTTTAATTCTGAAATTGAAGAGAGAAGCGGAAAATCCCAAAGAAGTTTTAGATCAGGTGAGTTGATGAAACAATTAGGAGATGGCAGTTTCCCTAAAGACCCAAGTTTTTTTTTGAGAAAAATGCTGTCTGTTCTAGTTATGAAGAAAAACAAATTTGATGGAATGTGGAAAATCAGGTAAACCTGTCACATTGAATGCACTGGAAAATCGTACCTCTGTATCATTTTTGTTTGTCCTTTGCAGGTCAGGTACAGAGTTGAATGGGCAAAGTTTCAGGAACGTGAGAGGAGGAAGGAAGAGGAAGAGCGTGAAAGGGAGCGAGTGGCTTATGCACAGATTGACTGGCACGACTTTGTGGTGGTGGAAACGGTTGACTTCCAGCCAAACGAACAAGGCAAGTTATGTTACTGTACTTGTTACAGTAGGTGCCGGTCACATCCCATTTTACTACCTGTACTTCTGCCTAGGATTAAATATCAGAATAATTAAGACATAATAGGGTAATTGATTGTTTTAATTCCAGGGCACTTCCCTCCGCCAACTACCCCCGAAGAGCTCGGAGCTCGAATCTTGATGCAGGAGAGATATGAAAAGTTTGGAGAGAGCGAGGAAGTTGAAATGGAGGTGGAATCCGATGATGATGTTGAAGAAACTGATGATAAACCAGAAGAGGCTCCAGCACAGTTGGACCAAGATACTCAAGTGCAAGATATGGACGAGGTACATTAAGTTTATTCGTGTGGAAACGAGCAAAAAGGTGCTTTTTTCATTTGAATAACCACTGAGTTGGGAGGTTACCGTGATCTTGGTTATCTCCAGTGAAAGTGCAAAAAAAATTCATGAACGGTTGGGAGCCACTAATAGATTAAAAGTTGTGTAATTAAATATCTGGTTACTAATCCTTAAGTAATGACTCCTTGACTTGAGAGCAGAATATGGAGCGGAGAACGAACAGGCAAATGACATCTATAGATCCTGTTCCATCCAATGAACATGTATCATTGGTTCTTTTAGGGCTCAGATGATGAAGATGACGGTCAGAAAATACCACCCCCTCCTGAAACTCCAATGCCTCCACCGCTCCCCCCTACTCCAGACCAGGTCATCATCAGGAAGGACTATGACCCCAAAGGTAGGGGTAGAGGGCATGCAAATAAATGTGCAAACACTAGGGAATCTTACCTTTTGTATGAGTAACTTAGGCTGGAAAAGGAGAATTAAATCAGTTTATTCTTACTTGTTTCAGCTTCCAAACCAGTGCCTGGTGCACCCGCCCTGGATGAGTATCTCATCTCTCCCATCACCGGTGAGAAGATTCCTGCCAGTAAAATGCAGGAACACATGCGGATTGGGCTATTGGATCCCCGCTGGTTGGAGCAGCGTGAGCGTTCCATCCGCGAGAAACAGAGTGAAGATGAAGTGTACGCGCCAGGTGAGTGCTGCTATTTTATTTTACAACAACAACTTGCATTTATATAGCACCCCTCGAGCAGGGTAGGGTCCCAGAGCCTTAACAGAGGCAGAGCACAACGCTGAGCTGGGGGAAGGGGTGAGGTGACCATAGACACGGTTGAAGAGGAAGGTCTTCAGGCGCGATCTGAAAATGGAGAAGGAGGATGCAAGGCAGAGGGATAGAGGAAGAGTGTTCCAGAGTTTGTTCTGGAGTAGAGGCAGAAAGTATGGCCACCAATAGTGGAACGAGGGCACGAGGACAAGCAGGAGGCCGGGGCCAGTCAAGGCGAGGCAGCTTTAGGGTAGTTTTAGGAAGTAACTTGCTTCAATCTGAAACATATTGTTCCAACTATTTCATCTCTTCACCAGGTTTGGATATCGAAAGCAGTTTGAAACAGCTGGCTGAACGACGTACCGATATCTTTGGTGTGGAAGAAACCGCCATCGGTAAGAAGATTGGCGAGGAAGAAATTCAGAAACCAGAGGAAAAGGTAGGCTTTTGTTTTTACAGAGCACAGTCCAGTTAATTTATTCCTTGCTTCAGCATAAGCGTGTTTGTGAGCAGATCTCCGTAATTTCATGTAAATAACAGTCACTTCAGTTCCGAGTTCAATTTTTGCTATCTATTGAGTTTAGATGCATACAGATTTACTTGTCGTTATTTCGCTCTCAGATGGACGTGGCTCTGTCTTAACCTTTAACCTTTTCTTCAAAAGGCCATAGAGACCAATAGGTTTCAGGCTGGAAACCTGCGCAGTGTTAGTTATTCTCAGCCAGGATAGGGGTCAAGAAGGTAGAAAATATTACCCGGGGTTCCTGCTCTCCATTGCTGCTCAGAGTCTCCTGCTAGTAAAATAGTTTGATTTGATGTATTGGGTTACCTCTATTTGCTATAATTATACAAATGCCCATTTCTGTGGTAACATTCACTATTTTTCTCTTGTACAAAGGTCACTTGGGACGGTCATTCAGGCAGCATGGCCCGTACACAGCAGGCTGCACAAGCCAACATCACTCTACAGGAACAGATTGAAGCCATCCATAAGGCCAAGGGGCTGGTTCCAGAAGACGACACCAAAGAGAAAATTGGACCCAGTAAACCAATTGACTTACATCCCCTGCTTTCTTCATCAAATCCAATGAATATTCCACCATTGTCATCTGTACCTCGACCACCTTCCGTAAGTATTAAACAAAAAGTACCGGAAGTTAAAAGTTAGGGATTCCCGTTCAGTCGCGTCACTTTTCATCTCTGTTACATGACTGTGAGTTATTGAATCTTACAGCACAGAAGGATGTCATTCGGTGCATCGTACGTACCTGTGCCCATCTTTTTGAACAAACTAGTCCCACTCCCCCGCTCTTACCCCATAACTCTGTGAGCTATTAACATTGCAACCAAATGGACATGTGCACGTTATTTAATTGTTAGGAGTTTATTTTCCCGTAAATCATCATTACCTTGCCCTCTTTGGTCGTGTGAATTTGCTGTCTCATCCTTTGAAGTTTCAAAATCCAGGACTATTTCCGTCATAAAGTATCTGTTTCGTCTGTCCTTCTGCTGCACAATAACAGCCTTAGTAAAATAGGTGCATGAGAGCATTTAGCAGAGATTATATTCATTTGATCTGCTTGAAGGAATTCATGGGAACGGGGCATGAAGAAAAATGTTTGGATTTACAGTAAACTCCTGATAACCCGATCCTGGCTTATAACTTGTCACTACCACTTAAGTAATCAATAAGATGTCAATATCCTGGCTGCATTTATTCATGTGTTCGTACATATTCTGATCTTGCCACTCCGGATAACTTGTCGCTGAGCCCTTTGGAGTGACAAGTTAACCATGCTGTTAATTACAATCGTACAAGCAGACATGGTTTGTAGAGGGATCCTCTATCCAGCTCATTCTTTCTTCCCAGATAAAGGAGATGTGGTAGTTAAAGATATTTCGCTGGTTACCTTTTAATAACAGCACAAAATGGGTCCTTCAAACTATTAACAATGTATACATTGAAATCATACTACTTACACTATTGAATACTATATTTTTGGTTTCCAGATGCCTCCACCTGTGCGGAATACCATTGTCTCCTCAATGTCATCCATGCCTATTATGCCCAGGCCACCGATGGCTTCTGTGGTCCGTTTATCACCTTTAGCTTCACAGATGTCCCATATGCTTCATGGCTCTCGAATCAGTGTTTTACCAATGCCTCAATCAGCTTCACCTATGAACCCTCGCCCACCACCAATGGTGGTCCCATCAGGTACGTGAGGTTGAAGAGTTATTTTGTAAAGTAAGGGTTGCGTTTCAAACATGAAGTGGTTGGAGTTCTGAGGCTACTGATTTTTCACACTTCATTTTATGCACAGGATTCGTCCCTGCCCCTCCTGTGAATCCTGCTCCACTTTCAAGCTCCTTACCTCGCCCACCACCTCCAATGGAAGATGAGCCAGTAGCGAAAAAATCAAAAACTGAAGACAACCTTATTCCAGAAGAAGAGTTTCTGCGACGAAACAAGGTTTGTTCAGTCCATGCAGGAAGGTGGGGTGGGTTGGGGAGAGGTCAAATGATAAGGAAGCCAATCAAATCACATTTGAGGACTTGCGTTCAATAATAATAATAATCCTTGCATTTGAAATAGCACTATTCAATTCTTCGAGGCATCTCAAAGCGCTTCACAGAATATACTGTAAAGTGAATTGACTGTATATTTTGTGGATGAAACCTGGCAGCAAATTGCGCACAGCAGTGTCCTACAAACAGTCGTGGATTGAGTGACTAAACTATTGTTTCTTTTGGGATTTTTTGTTACACAAACCAGTGACATTAAACCAGTCACTACTTTTCAGCGAACTTTGCATGTCTTGCCTTTAGTAAATAAAAATGTACACAGGCATTAGCATCCCTGTGTTTGATATCTCTAACTTAACTTGTATTTCATTTAAGGGTCCAGTTACAGTCAAAGTGCAGGTTCCGAACATGCAGGATAAGAGTGAATGGAAGCTGAATGGCCAGGTCTTAACATTCACTATCCCTCTAACAGACCAGGTAAGGCACCTCATAAAAATCAGTAATATGTATACAAAACCAATATCAAATAGGATCTATGTTGTGCAGAGGCTTGATGAGATAATAATAATGATGATAATAATAATCCTTGCATTTGATTTAGCGCTTTTCACATCTTCTCAACGTCTCAAAGCGCTTCACAGAATAGACTGTAAAGTGAATTGACTGTATATTTGTGGGCGAATTGCGGCAGCCAATTGAGTTAAACCTGCATTGAACAAGAAAAGGTTATTCAACTCAGCAAACTTATTCTTTCCATGATCCATATACATTTTGCCCTGTTGGGCACACTGCAAAATTGTTCCCTGCCTTCAATTACACAATTCTTGGAGACTTACAGTTCAGATTATCAATGTGTGAGCTTCTATCTTCCAGCATAACGTTGCCATTGTGATACAGAAAGTATTTGGTCATTCTATCCTTATAAACATTATGTCTTAACCAGATCTTCCTGACCAAGTGTCTCAGTGCCCAGTACTTTTTTTCCCCCTCCCCAGGTATCTGTTATAAAGGTTAAAATCCATGAAGCTACAGGAATGCCTGCTGGTAAACAGAAGCTTCAGTATGAGGTGAGTAACAAATACCTCGATATTCAATGTCTAGTTGGTGGCTCTGGTTATATTATTATGACTAGTAGCTTTCGAGACATCCTCCAAATTTGATAATTTTAGGCTTCTTTAAATCCAAGCCATTACCGAGTAATTTTGATGCCTTAAGTTTGGAAACCTCTTTAATATGTAAAGAGTCCTTGAATCCAAGAATAAAGAACTCTTTAATTTTCTATTGTTTGACTGCAATGTGTCACATAAGCTTCACTTGAATTCCTGCGCACAAATTGCATTTTAGCGTCTGAATAGGAATAAATTCTGGTTTGTTAAACTTCAATTGTATTCAGTCTGATGGCGATATTCTTGGTTGTTCTCAGGGAATCTTCATCAAAGATTCAAACTCTCTGGCCTACTACAATGTGATAGGTGGCTCAGTTATCCATCTGGCCTTCAAAGAAAGAGGAGGTCGCAAGAAATAACCTATGGTGCTGAAATTGGAACTGGTTTGTGCACAGTTTTAAGAATGTGAATTCAACCAAACACGTTCAACATTTTGGAAATGTATTTGAACTCTAAACTCGTTCAATTTATTTACAAGCACGCAAACATTCAGAATAGAAATTGTAGAACAAGTGAAAACCTAGTACACCTTAAAGGTAAAATAAAGCTAATTCTAAAATCTGAATGCTTTCATCCTTTTAATACACAATTTCTCAGTTTTATTAGATGGAATTGTCAAATTTTCTAGGGCGGTAAAAGGGTGATGTTTGTGATTAATGGGACTTCCCACACAAAACCTTCATAGATTTGATTAGGTGCCTACTTGATTTCAAACAATTGTGATCCAAATGTAGCAAATTTTCTCTTTAGTCTACATAAGCGAACAACTTGTTAAATTATCTGCCCTGCTATTGTACAAACCATTACCATTTTGTGCTTAGCTTTATGTTGAATATTTGTAATAAAGCAATACCGATTCTTAAGTCTCTTGCTTTGTAATCTGTAAAGATTAAAAATGTGTTTGCATCCTAATTTTTCTGCCCTTGTCCTGTGTTCTGCTGACGATAGTAAAGTGATGAATTACGCCAGTCACTTTCCGGGATTATAATCAGCATGATGAGCATTAACAGTTGATGCCAGTTGCAAGCTGTGTGACCACTCTTGCGAGCATTTTTTAAAAAATGCATTAGGAAAATAATTAAGGTTGATTATTGTCATTAGTCTTTTTAATATGTTGGAAAATTGAATTTGAAGTGTATTGGAACATGAACACAAGGTACGTTAAGGAGTATTGTATCATGATGGATAAATTGTTTCTTGTAGTAATTGGCTGTTGTCCAATTTGGACTTTTAAGTATCTGAACGCAGTTCTTACGTTGAATATCTGGTTTTGCGGTAGATGGTAGCTGCAACTAATTGGAGATGTTGTAGACCTGCCCAAAGTGATTCATGCTACAAGCACACACACATTCAAGCAATCCTCCCTCCTGTAGGGAAATGAGTGCCTTTCACACAGCAACTCCCCCTGATATCATAGCTATTTCAAACCTTTTGAGGACAAATGATTTTGATATAGGCCCTGCCCATGGTAACAATTAAATATTGTATTGAGAGATGAGCATAGCAACACCTTACCTTTCACATAGGATAAGTGACTACGTCATGATGGGAATCACCAAGCAGGGAGGGAGAGAAAAGGAATTTGATTCTTTACCGAAGGTCGGGGAGAGGTACAAAGAGGGTAGAGTGCGGTATTTAAAGAATACAGGGCACAGACTTTCTTCTCATCCCTCACTACACAGGCACATGTTCCCATTGTTTCCCCAACAAGACAAGAACGTAAGTCATATTGACAGTGGAAGGATAGGGAAAGTGATTGAGGAATCTAGAGCTAATTAGAAAAGTTTTTTTTTAGTTCACACTAGTATTTTAATAATGCTAATCTAACTTTGTGTTTGTTATGATTCGAACATCCTGTAGGAGATGTCACCAGCTAGATGCACAAAAAAGTATTTCGCTCAACTGATTGAATTGTCATTCTATTAAAAATTGCTTTATGATTTATTGCTTTTAATCTCAATGAATACTTCTGTGACCAGTGTTTACAATACATAAGTGTTAATCATAAAAACATCTTTCCATTAAACTCCACGGAAACTCCAAATAGTTAAATTCTGAGGATGTATCTAATTGGTACAGGGCATTTGATTTCACTTCAGTGTCTTCCTGGGAGAATAGTTATTGATATAAATGCATATTACTGAACATTCCTGTTTAAATACAATGCTTGAAAATATGAATTAATATGCATGAGTGTGTAAATGGATTACTGTCACATAATATGGTTGGAATTACCCTTTGTTCCACTAGAAATTGTTGCCTGGTAATTGGCAGTAATTGCATTATACAACACAATGAGCAGCCTTGTGTGAAACGTACCACCACAACACTGAAACTCTGTTTACTTGCTGATAGAATGATACAGATTACATAATAAAAGGAAGCCTTTCACACTGTTGAGCCTGAAATCTCCCTCACTCATCCACTGGAGCTAACTATTCTAATTACAATTACATGCTCTTTCTCTGTGTTCTTTTATATTCTCCCTCTTGTTTATCCAATTCCCTTTTAGATGTTTTGATCTCAGCCTAAATAGCCAATCTGTATTCTGATCTCCAATCAACTTTTTACAATGTTGTCCAGAATAGCAAAGTGCAGTACACTCCCAAAATATTCAGGGGCTTTCAAACTTGTGCATTTTAAATCTGTAGCAGATGTGTTCTCTTTAAACAGCACCATTCTTGATTTATACACCTGAATTAATACAGGTGTAATTAATTAATGAACCTTAGCGCTTCAGTTTGTGCATGTTTGTTCTTGTGAGTGCTTTTTTCAAAAAAAACTTGTTTACACCAACATTTGTTTATTTAACTTTGAGGCAACTCAGCTGGGAAAACCATGTTCTGCTTCACATACTGAGTTTTTTTGGTTAAAGTGGAGATATTGTAATCTTATCTGTTTCAGTAATTGCCCTAAAGCATTTTTTGGCAGAGCAGAATCAACAGGGGAAGGGAATGCATGTACTTTGACCCAATCCTGGAGCAAAATAAGTGATATGCATGCATACGCCAAGACACACTTCCAGTTTGTTTTCCTCAGTTGGGAGTCTTGACACAGAAATCTATCACCATAGTTAAGAGTATCCAAAACAGACAGACTTCCATGTATTCCACCCACACATGGAAATTCCCAAGCTTGGGATAGAATGCAGACTCTTTCCCTGAAGGGACACACTCTGTTATTTAATCCTGGAGAGTACTAGGCGATTGGCTGACCAAGAGCCTCGGTTTGCAGGGACTCTAGATTGTGAGCGCTGGGGTAACCGCTCGAGTTTAATCAGCTAAAATCACACAAGCTCCCATCGAGAGCACGGCCTGGCAAATGTCCCACCGCTTGTCCAGCTGGGACCCAACGTTTGGGGCTTTGACTTGGCGGGGTTAAAGGGAGGAGTGGTGGGAAGAATCCCTGGCCCTTCCTTCCCTGCAACAAGACGCTATCCTACTCGAGGAGCCCTACATAAAGGCAAGTGGTGATGATGCAGGTCGGTCTGGTCTGGCAACAGCAGTGCCCTGGGGTATTGTGGACCTGAGAGGGGAGGGATTTCGTTGGGAGCCAGCCCGGGTGTCTTGACAAATGCGTAAACCCATCACCAATGCAGTGCTTCGGGACGTCCTCCTGACGTGAAAGGGCGATACACAAAGAGTATCCAAACCAAACGGAGGATCCCACCTTTTCCCACGTGGAAATCCGCCCACCAAACACGCGGCCCATCCGCTTTCCCGTACATCCCGCAAAGCGCTTCGAGACGCCTCGACGGCGCGATAGGGCGCTCTGGGAAATGCAAGGATTATTATCATCATCATCATCATTATTATTACTGTGATCAATAAATTCCAGAGATTGATCAGATTGTGGGGGGGGGGGGAAGGGGGAGGAGAGAGAGCAACGCATGCGTACATCAACCCAAGTCCGCAGCCGCCGCGCATGCGTACTGGGAGGCAACCGTCCAGCGACCAGCCAAGGCGGGCGCGCATGCGTACTCCGGCTGGTGGGGGTGGGGGGGGCGCAGGGCAGGTCCCGGGCGAGCGGTCGGTCGAGCGAGTTATTTTCTGCCGGGAGTCGGACGGGAGGCCTCGCTGCTGGAGCGTTCATGTCAACCTCGGGAGGAGGAGGAGGAAGAAAAGGAGGCGGCGAAGGCGTAACGAAACACCACAAACGACCATTTTCCGACCGACCGACCCGACCGGTCGGCGACTTGCGGCGAGCGGCGAGGCGAGGGCGTCGCGCGGTTAACGCCTTGACTGACTGACTGGACTGACTGACTGACTGGACGGACTGAGGGGATCGAAGGTTCTAGGTGGTTCCCACTCTCCCAGCGGCGAGGCCCGGCTCTTGGAAAGGCGGAGGCGGGGTGAGGTGAGGTGGGGGGGATGTTGTGTGTGAGGAGAGCCCCGACTGCCCGAGCCCAGCCTTAGTTAGTGCCCCGGAGGGCAACTGATACCCGGGAGAAGCGGGAATAGGCGACCCCCCACTCCCCCACCCCGAGGCCTCTGACTTTACCTCCCCTCCCCCCCTCCTCCTACACACACACACACACACACACGAACAGTCCCCCCCCCCACCCCGGGCCACCCCCCGCCATGAAGAAAAGCCAAGAGGACTGTCAGCGAACGTCGGACGAAACGGCCAGCACGAGGGGCACCAGCCACAGCCTGGACGAGCTGGGCACCGGCCCCCGCGAGGAGGTCAGCTCGGTGGGCTCCGACTCCGAGGTGAACGGCTTCAGCAACGGGGAGCAGAAGATCGACAAGTACGGCTTCATCGGAGGGGCGCAGTACACTGGCGAGACGTAAGTACACTGTAAGGGTGGCGGAGACTCTCCAGAGTTTGTTCTCTCTCTTTTTCTTTTTCTTTTTCTTTCCCCCCCTCCCTCCCTCCCTCCTCCCCACGTTGAGAGAGAGAGAAAAGAAATAAATCACAGCTACAGTCCTTTAATGCAAACTGCATTCAAAACTTCCGCTGCCCTCCTTATTTGTTTTCTTATCCGTATAACAATCCGACATTCCCCCTCTGGCTCTCCTCTCCCCTTTATTTTTTTTTTTATTTTTTTTTACGTGTGTAACAGCCAACTTCATGCAGCTCTTTTAAAAAAGGAAAACGCGTTTGTGAGACTGCATCAGACTTCCAACTTTTGCTTCCAGGTGCTGTTTGTGCATTAGGTTGAAATTCACCTTTAAGAATAGTTCTTTCTTTTTACTGCCTTTATCAAGCTGTTTCCTTTCGAGTCCCTCACCGCAGTAATCTTGAAGTAATGGGGGCTTTACGGCTCATGTCTACTTTAATAATCCTTGCGTTTGACATAGCCCCTTCTCACGTCTTCAGGCCTTTTTTGGGGTCAAATCGCATTTTGCTATACCTGAACACTTGAACTAGCCACATCGGTGTAACTGAACCAGATTGGCATGTCCAAAATGTTTGTCAAATGACTAGTTGTGGTGATTTCAGTGAAAGCATTAAGAGTGTTTCAAAAACAGAAATTCCCCTGGTGAAAATGGAACCCAATTTTATGGAATGGAAATAAATGGCTGTATCTAGCTGGTTGGGTTTGAAAATCTGATTAATGCTGCCATAATAATTGGAAAGTGAGATTCTGAACTGGGCAAAGGCTCCAGTTTTACAAGGTTGTTCAGGTGATCTTCATGGGAGGATTATGCCAGGAGGTTAGTAGAAATATTTACATGATCTCGCTACTGTTTTTACTGATGACACTAAAGGGAAGTTAGTAAACCCTGGGCTAAGTACTTCTCTGGAGATCTTAGTAAAATAAGGTTGAGTCTTCTCTCAAAGTTTTTTTAAAAAAAAGCCACAACAGGAATTAACTGAAGCCCACCATAAGAACTTGGAAAAAATCTTTGCCAGACCATTAGTTTTGGAAATTTCCGGCATGCAAATTTAACCGTTTTTCTGAAGTTCCAGTTTCTTATGTTTAGTGCTGCTTAGCTACTTGAAAATAAGTAAGATTAAGATTTTTTTCACATTTTTAAAGTGGATGATTGCATCAGTAAATAATTCTTTCCATTAAGCAATTCATTTGGCAAATCACGGTGCACTTTAAAGATGTTGGGAAACTGGAGCAAAAGAAACTCGCTTAATCACCAGGGAGACTTATTCTGCATATTGGAGCTTCCTAATGGTTCATAAATGAATCGATTTATTTGTAACACAACTTTTTACTAAGCGTTTCAGTCTTGATTTGGAAGAAATGTGTTTGCTCTTTTCCCCTTCTCTTCCCCTAGCCCTTTTGATGGTGCTTGTCATTGGTTTAGAGAGTGAGTGGGCAGATGTTTGAAACTCTAGACTTTTATCAATCCTGGAGTTGAACACCACTAAGAACACTATGAACGTTTATATTGCCATCTGGAAAACTATTGATCACTGCATAAGAGACAGTTGCAGTGAGTGACACAATACGTTAGTCACATTGTATACAATGTGAATAACATGACTATTTGAGAGTGTAATGCAACTGAAGTTATGAAGATTTTTCTAAAATTCGCTGGACTAAATGTCAATGAGCAGGATAAAACATACTGGGATTAAACCTGTGCTGAAGATCTAAAATGTTGTGGGGTGAGGAAGCCGGAATATGGGATTGAAATAGATCTCTGGATGGGGAAGTAGCACGATACTGGCGCATCATGCTAAACAGCCTTTTGTGCTCAAATTACTAGGCTTTAAAGTGGTAAATCAAGCAGATGAGCTTCTCCCTTCATCAAAGCTGTCATATTGATTCTTACCATCAGTTTCCCACAGGCTGACAAAGGTGACATTTAGATTATCTAATTTTTCCCCTTTTTTTTCTGCAAAACTAGCCGAAGGAGAAAGTATCAGCATCGACAGGTTTACTCTGTCCTTTTGTGGAGATTTCAGAAACTGGTAGAAAAAAGGAAAGTGTAATTTTAGGATATTTTGGAAACAATTACTGTAAAAGTATATTTGTGCTCTTTAAAGTCTCAGGCTGAGTGTTGGAAGGGCCAAGCTCCCATCAGCGTAGGCAATTTGAAAGTACAAGCATATAGTATTATACTTCAATTATGACACTGCTTCCCTTCCTTCCCAAAGCACAACTAAGATGTTCGCAATCCTAGCACAGACTCAAAAGGTACAAAGGACACATAACTAAGGCCCACAAGTATTGGTAATATTAGTTATCCATTTGCTTTATAAATTTCTACCCATTAGCACTCTTATTTTTGATGGGAAAATGCACATGTAGGTAGCTTACTCCCTATTGTTGGGCCTTTGTCAATGCTTCTCTTCAGAAGTGCGTGGGGCTCCTCTCAAGAGGCAACTCATTAAACTGTTTTATGTCTGAGAAGTTTAACTGTTATTGAACAGATATAATTAGTAGACAAGTGACTCCTCTTTATCTTGGTGTTCCTAAGATTGCAATAGGTGTGCCATTGGGTGTATGCGTTGAGAATTGATGACTGACTTCTGAATTTGATGTACTATAAATAGCCATTGCATTTCCATAGTGGGTGGGTGCTTTCAAAGGAAGCAGTGTTCCACTGGTTAAAGAGTTGCCTTAGATCCAATGAAGAATTGATATCCCTGTATTTTAAAGTTACTAAGTTATTCAAAAAAATTGGGTTTACTTTCTGGAACTTGAATTATCACACATTAGTTAAATGTTTCCACATTGTATGCCCATGTGATATTTGCTGACTTTTCACCTTGTTTTCAGTTTGTAAAAGATCTAGTCTGACAAATGTATTATTGAACTGAAACTTTCGCCTGCCACCCAAATGAATATTGTTTCTATATCTGCTTCCTCTTTGCAATATTTGGTTCCTTCAGTCCAAACCAAACATCCAGTGGACTGGAACTCTGTGCTCTGTTGCATTTGTTTGAGGACTTCCCAGATTTACAGTAAATAATATAGTGTCCTGCTTTTCAGAATTAGCATGGTAATCACAGTTTCTGACAGGTATTGAGGTTTTCTGCAGCTTGACTAGTGGGTGAATAGAGAAGCATTCGCTTCCTCATTCTGTATTGTGCTTATTCACTTGGAAGCTCTAAGGCAATTACCTTGTACGGAAGCTCAAGTTTAAAGATAGAACAGTTACGTTAAAGTCACCAAATATTTGACAGTAGTCTAACGCAAAGAGGCAAGACTTATAATAGAATTGTATTGCTATTTTAATTGGAATGGGAAGTGTCTCTAAATGTTAATCTCTCATTAATAAAGGGTGACGGTTTGTGTTTCAAGGTGGAAGCTGGCAATTGCTTTTTTGGTCAGCCAGGTGTCATACATATTATTATAATGGTTTGTTACATATGAGGAAAACCATCAACATACTTGAGAATACCCACATATTCATTGCTACCTACACATGGTAATTGTAGGGATCTAAATCAGGTTACTTAGAACGGTTGTAACCATGGAGTCTGAAATTGCTCAAAGTTTGACATGGACTCTATTTCATACATGGGTTCGAAACCATCTTTTATAGTCGTTTATTAAAAGAATTGTGCCATCAAATCTTGCTTGTTACAATCTATTGCAGTCAAAATAAGTCACTTAAAAAATAATAAAAAGTTTTTTTTGAGAGCAAACACTTATTTGTGCTGTATTCACATCTCTCCCTATTAGAGGTCACTGGATTTCATGTTACAATCAGAACCACATTGGTGGCACACGGACCCCGAAAGCCCCTATTTATGCAACGATTAACTGACATTGTCCCATTGTAAATTGGATGTATTGCTTTTCCTCTTTTGTGAATTAGCCATGTGGAAATTGCTGGCAGTAAATTTCCTATATTAAAAAAGCAAGACAAGTACAAAATGCCAATAAGCCCAAGCGATGTGGATATGGATGCCCTCTCATACTTCTGACTTTAATGGGAGACTAACGACTAATTGGCTGCATCATTCATATTATAAAGGATCTGCACCAGATACACTGCATGCTCATTTACATTTTAACAGGGAAGTGGTGTAGAAAACTGATATTACACTTTACAAAAGTGTAAGCAATATTTCACACAATCCTGCCTATACATTTCTTATTTGAGAGGCTTCTGATCTGTATGTCTATGTTCAGTAGTTTGTAAAACATTGCTGAAAATGTTGTTTAAGAATCTGCGTACTTTATTTTTCTACCAGTCATCAACTATTAACTTGATATCCTGTTCTAAAGCAGATATATCCTAGTTTGCAGCTTATTAAACACTAGTAGGCCTGACTACAGTATGAATGATGCAAACCTTTTCACAATTGCAAACTACTTTCATTTGGTATACAGCAGATGAGTACAATCTATGTAACACGTAATGTTACTTGTCAAAGTTCCATACTTGTTACTGACTCACTTGGTGTGAAACATTAAGATGTTTTGACTTGAGAAATGTGTTGCTGCTTTGTGGCTGTGTTCTAGAGCCATAACACATTCTGACTTATCCATGTTATTCAGTTTCATTATGTTTGCAATAATCACTTAAATTTGCCTGAGTTTACCTTTGCAAATGTTTTCCCTGGAACAGTGATGTTGCAGCATTACCGTGAAGTGTTGTACGTCAAAGTGCATTTGAGATTTTCACCTCTCACCTTGCTCTGACTTTCTATATTGGCAGCACAACAAATCTCCATTTTACTTTTTTCCCCCTTGTGCAGAGTTTAATAGTAATCCTTTCAAGACGTCTCAAAGCGCTTCACAGAGTATACTGTGAATTGACTATATTTGGTCGAGCACTAAATGTAAGCAACTGTTGAATTAGAAAAGGCGACCATTTTTAGCAATGTTTAACAACAATTTGGCTTCTATAAGTGAATATCTGTTGATCATTGCTTCTAGGCAACATGAAGTACCCCCTGAGGTGTTGCGACAAAGGGAGTCTAAATGGCTGGATATGTTGAACAACTGGGATAAATGGATGGCAAAAAAACATAAGAAGGTAAGATTTTGTAAGAAATAAAATACGGTGTGCCCTACCTGGCTGTGATTGAACAGTTAATGAGGAGGCTTGGACAATTTTTATACTAAAATTTCTATGTACTCAGTTATCCTTGGTGTGTCTGGTGCAGTAAATTAAATCTTAATCAATATTTCAAATATTTATATCCTTAAAAAATGGGTGCCACAATTAGTCTGTGGTGTATTCAGGGTGATGTTTACTCAGTTCTTTTGATTTATTGCATCTACCATCAGTGGCCGTGCTTTCAGCCACTACGCTCCGAAGCTTTGGAACACCCTCCCTCAATCCCTGCACCTCGCCCCCTTCTTCCCCTCTTTTAGATCATGACTGAAAGCCTCCCTCTTTGACCGTGTTTACGGTCACCTCCTCCCTCCGACTCGGCGTTAGCCTCCACCACTGTTAAGCACTCTAAAACTCAGTCCCAAGTGAAGCGTGTTGTATAAATGCAAGTTGTTGTATATCGAGCCACACCTTAAAGATAGAAAATGGTGCCCCAAACACAGGTTTAAAAAAAACTAGGAACCAAAATGAGTAACTAAAAAAACTTTCACTGTTGAAGAATTGGCCTCTGATAACAGTCCAATAACGATTTGGAAAGTTGAGCATTATTTGTAACAGATGTGTAACTAGGTCAGAGTTTACTAGTTTGTTTCTGTGCTTATCAGCAGCACTAAAAGAAAGAAACAATTCCCAGTGTTAAAGGTCTTGCATGCAATGTTTAAAAGATTGCAATTGCAGTGTTAAGCTAAATTTTCTCAAGACTTTATTTGGCTTTTGAAGATTGATCCAAATCTGAAATTAACTCCTAGAAATTTATAAGATGGATGTTTAGATGATGATCCAATTGTCAGAGTAATGGTGATGTACACATCTGACAGATTCCACTATGGAGTTCTGGCAATTTGGTTAGATTTGGAACTTAGGCGGTGGAGAGAGAAATGGAAGAAGAAGATTTAGTCATCTGCTCTCAGTACATCACAGGGCCTCATTTTCTATTGTCTGTTAAACATCCTTTCACTGTACATCGTAGAGTGTGACCAAAATCTTTGTTTAAGTATGTACAGTGTTTGAATAAACTGTTGATGCTCAGTCTAGACAGGAGGAATGATTACTTGATTGAGGTAGCAAAGCATTGCCACACATGGAATTTTTCCTCAACTTTAGCTCTAATTTAAGGGAAGAGGAGAGGATCAAAGCATCTGTAATATTCAGCCAAATAATTTTGTAATTAATTTGTGAATACTGCATAAACCTAGTATTTTTTTGGAGGTTGAAAATACCTTAGTAAAAGGATTAGTCAGGCATTACTAATGCACAGTCTGCAAACTTCCATCCATAAATGACCATGTAAATCTGCTGTTATTTTTGGAATCATTTCAGATTAAATCATTTGAAACTTGTTTTGTAAAAAAAAGTTTCCAAGTTGTGATGTCAGCTTGCTTGAAGCAATCACAATTAGCACTCTTTCACCGTCTCCCATTAACTGCGTTTAGAAATTGGCTTGCAAGATAAATTGTATCTGCATAATGATTGAATAGCATAATGCTAGTTCCTTTTCTTTGTTAGAATTTCACGCTTTTGCATAGAAATAATCTCTCGAAACTATTTCCTGTATATTAGTTGATGAGAATCTCTGGGTAAATTGCCCTGTACATTTGGGTCTTAACCACATTTATCTGGTACAGCTAAATTCAAACAAGTTTAACAGGACATACTTTCTAAATAGCTTTCCTTCCTGAGTCATTGTTCAGTCATGGAGAACACAATGAAGAATTAATCTGATCTGTGCCTTGACTTCTGTGCAGAGCAAGTTGGTCAAAGAAAATTCACGGGTAGTTTTTAAAATGTGTTCCAATGACCCCCAAAAGGTAGTCCTAGAAACTCTGCCCCATACACCAAGCTGTACCCTATATTTACAATATAATATTTCTAGATGACGTGAAAAGCACTATATCAACAACAACAACAATTTGGATTTATATAGCGCCCTCCACGCTGGATGGCGTCTCAGAGCGCTTCACAGTAACAGATCCAGTGGCCGATCGAGGGGGAGGAAGGTGATCAAAGGCGCGGTTGAAAAGAAAGGTCTTCAGCAGGGACCTGAAAATAGGAAGAGAGGGGGCAAGGCGAAGGGGGTGAGGAAGGGAATTCAGAGCCTTGGGGCATAGTGGTTGAAGGCACGTCCGCCGAGGGTGAAGCGGAGGGACTCGGGGGACACGGAGGAGGCCAAATTCGGAGGAACGAAGGCAACGGGTACTGTTTTGAGGAGAGAGGAGGTCAGAGAGGTAGGGGGTGCAGAGGAGTGGAGGGATTTGAATACAAGGGTGAGGATCTTGAAGTCGATCCTCTCTGGGATAGGCAGCCAGTGCAGTCTGGCAAGGACTGAGGTGATCGTGGAGCGGGGTTTGGTGCGGGTGAGAATGCGGGCGGCAGAGTATTGAATGATCTAAAATAATACATTTGATATAGCGCTTATCACGTCGTCAAGATGGCTAAAAGCACTTCACTGAATATACTGTAAAGGGAATTGACTGTATATTTTGTGGGTGAAACATGGCAACCAATTGCGCACAGCAGTGTCCCATAGACAGCTATGCATTGAGTGACCAAATGTTTTTAAAAAAATGTATTTGTGCTACCTAATAGGCACATTAATGTTTAGAGAGGAAAGGAGTATTGTAGTGGGTGGAGAAGAAAATGTGAGGACCCCAAATTATAGAGCAAAATTCACTAAAATATCCATGAACTATTCAATCTACAGATCCATGTTACAAAAAAGCACGTTTCCCAAGGCTGCATTCTGCTTATAGTAGAGCAAGGCTTAACTGACAGGATAGATAATTATAGATAATTATTTGGGGAGGACAAGTTTGCAGGGCTATGGGGAGAGAGCAGGGGAGTGGGATTGAATTGGATAGCTCTTTTTAAAGAGCCGGCACAGACATAATGGGCCGAATGGCCTCCTGTGCTATAAAATTCTATGATTCTATGAGGTTACAATTCCATGGTATTGCATGTTTTAAAAGTTACATTTTTATCATCAGTAACTATCTTTCCCTCTGAGGCAGAATTGCAGTGTTTCTGGTAGCTGTTTCCATGTACTGTGTAATGTCTCGGAATGCAGCTTTGAGGTTTGGTTCTGAAAAATCAAAGTCTTCAAATACTTGCTTTGAAAGCTGAAACGTTCAGATAATTTATGGCATAATGTAGCATTATCAGGGCTCAAAGTTTATCTAATCGGTGAAACTGGAGTTAACTCCAGGCATATTTGAGTGTAAATTGCTGCTAACATATTACAGTCTAAATTCAAGATCTGCCTGGGAAGAGTACAGTGGCTAGACTTGTGAAACAAAATAAATCCGAGTTTGCTTTGTTAAGAATAGTAGGATGTTTCTTAATTCTACTGAAAACAAACCAGATATGAATTGATCTGCTGTTCAGCACATATTGTTAAAACAGATCTCACCGTCTGTGGCACAAATGGGATCTACTTGCTTTCAGTTGTTAGCATTGTCCAGTGAAAACCTTTGGAATATCAAAGTTTACACTTGATGGGGGGGTTCGGGCCGGGGGAAGTAATTCATCCACACCATTGAGTTGACATTCCTGTCTCTGTTTAATTTTGAGATGTTATGTTGGGCTAAAATGGAAAGCTTTGGATGTAGTTAATTTGCAAAGGAGGGGAGCAGAGGGTTAAATATTGCAGCTGGAGCTGGTAAGAGTCCATAGGAAAAGAACATTTAGCTGCTGGGAGGGGGTGAGAAGAGAGAGATAAACTATTTTCCATGGTCATTACACCATGTTCTATTTGAATCTAAAAGACTTTCACTTCCTCCAAATATAGATTAGAAAGATGTGTTGGATCCGTCAGTTGTGGTTTCTCTTGGGGAATCAGCAGATGTATGAATAGCTTTTTAAACAATTCCCCCAGGGTTCTCTCCTGAAGCATGTATGTTTCATCAGCACTTGCAGCCACCCAGTACCTTGCCCTCATTGTGGTTCCTAGATGCCTAGCCAGTGAGTATTAGGCTGTTGGAACATGGGAGATTTTGGAGAGCAACAACGTTCTCAACTTAGCAAAAGTCACTGGGTACGTTTTTTTGTACGTTTCATGTTTTTCCCATCATTTCTTGTAACTGACCAACAAATTTCCACAATTGGAATCCTTATTTCTGCAGTTTTGGAGTTTGCACAGCCCTATTTGTGCCCAAAAGGAGGATTAAAGATGATCTTGAACTGATTTTGCCATAAAACACACAAAATTCACATCAAATGAATAAAAAAGATGCTGTAAATTTTGAGTGTAATGGTTTAGAAGTTGAATGCCTTTGAGGGCTGGCCAGACTGGGACATGGAATATGTTAAACAAAGTGAATAGTCCAGATTCCTTTACTGCAATACTAATCGCTCAATGAAATTGTTAGTACGGTATGTTTTGGAAATATTTTAGTACAGCCATTGACATGCAACTTAAAGCTCAGGAATTGTACAGATACACTAAAATATCTTGATACCTGTACAATTACCCTTAAATAAAAATGTATATTGTCTTGTGCAAATTCACAAAGTAGAAACAGGCTGCTGATCTTGACCAAGGAATATACAATTTCAGAAACCTATAATCTTGAGATAAATGCTTGCTTAGGTTTTGGGATGATTCAAGTTTTCATCCCTGCTATTAACTTCTGCATTCCACTTATTCAATTATGTAATAAGAAACATGAATATGATTCTTAAGTTGCTAAACTTTGTTTGTTTAATCATGTGTACTGGGCAGTTACTGGACATGTTTCATAAATATATGGAACTATCAAAATAATAGGATGTCTGGTTTTGTTAATCTTTGGCAATTGTTTAAATTGATAATCGGGCACAAATTGTGTTATCTACAGTTAGTGCAGTTTGTCATACTGTTCATGCTGAGTCTGAATTGCAATGGTTTTTAAACTCTTTAATATTAGCATAATGCCTTGTAAAAATAACTGTATTCGCCTCGTCTCTTCTCTTGTGTTTCCATTAGCAAAGAGACAAAGGATAACATGAGCTACAGAGCTTCCCATGCCAGTTATCAGTACTGCATGCTTGCATATGGTGGGAGAAAGGGACCGGAGACAGGAAAGAGTGGGCAGACGCTTTGCAAGAAGCCCTTCTGCTAACTTGCCAAAAGCAATCTCCATACACCATGTATGGAGAAGTCTATGTTTAGAGATCTCTTCTAGCTCATGGAGTTGATGGTTAGTCAATGGCAATTAGTCATTGTTTTGAATGATGAATTGGACATTTTTTAATAAATAAAACCTAACCTGCCATTGGCATCTTGCCCCCTTAGCTTCTTGTTTTTCTAAAACAGTTTTGTGTTAGAATATGAGTACAGTTTAGACAATTGGGAATGAGGGCAGTGGAAAGTCTCCAATCAATCTAAACTAATATTGGGGTTTGAACGTTCTTGTAGTTAGCATTGTTTTTGAGCCACGGTGATGTTCAAAACACTCCCTATATTGCTTCACAGCATCTTACAACTAGGATAAACACTTGAAGACGTGTTACTAGTTTTGAAATTTGTGTTGGATTACACACAAGATGCTAGAAATATGGTTTTGTTTCTCTGGCTGATAACTTGATTGGAAGCCTGTGAATGTCACAATTTGAAATTGATTGGAAATGCTCATTAATATTGGTATATCAGAAACTCATGGTGGGGGAGTCTGAATGACATTTGTGTCCCCAGTGTGATAAATGTAAGTTGTTGTTGACATTTCAGTATTCTTGACTTGAGATGTAGAAAGAGATAAATTGTTTTTTTGGGGGGAAATGGGGTATATAGGGGTATGGAGAAAAGAAAGAAGTTGGATTAGAAGGATGGAATTACTGTGATGTGATAAAATGGCACACATCTCCTGGTTCCCAAAACTTTTTTAAAAATGGAAAATTGGACATTCATTTACATGATGGGGAAATGAGTGGAGATGCTTGTGGTAATGCTAGAAATCCAAGCATTTGTCTGACTCGTTTTTATTTCGATAAAGTACTCTGACATAATACTAATCTGATGCTTGGTTTTGTAGTTGAAACAAAATTCTATAATGATTATCAGTTATGAAAAATAAGTTGCTTTGTCATCAAATTATTTTTCCTTGCTTGTGGTGAGAACCAGCTGCAGCTACTCTTATTTTTATGTAGCCACAAACGCCGCCTTCACAGGATTCTTGTTCATGTGTAGGCTTTGCCTGCCTTTGTGGCTGAAAATACAGTAATTCAAAACAGATTTTTTATGTTTTTTTTAAAAAAAAGAAATGGATGCATGCAGGATAATTAGCAGCAAAGGGCAGATATTTCCGTGCCTCGTTCCAAGATTCAAGTTTACTCAGAAGGAATGTCTTCTGTCTTTTTTTCCTCATTTGCTCCTTCTCCCCATTTGATGGAGACCCTTGCCACTTAAGAACATAAGAATCTGCTAGGCGAAAAAAGACCAAGGTCCATCTGGTTCACCTTCCACCATCCTGGCAGTTACTTAACGTGGCATGTCCCAAACTGTATATTGTATCCTAAGATATTATTTTCTAGCAGAAATCTATCTGATTTGTTCATGAAACAAACTCACTTGCCCATTTGTCTCTTTTGTGGTACAGTTCCCTAGGTACTTTTTTCCCTTACCCAAGTAGCCATTATTCAGGTGTTACCCTTGATAGTGATTGTCTGTGGTCTCTCAGGGGTGCATAGCGTCTATCCTAGGTGGACATTTTGTTATCTAGTTAGATATTATCAGTTCCAGCACATTGTCTTCCATAGGTTATGCATAGTGCTGTATCTTTTGTTTCTGTGACCTAGGCGAAGCTCCGATGTCAGAAAGGAATTCCCCCCTCACTCCGCGGCAGAGCTTGGCAATATTTGTCAGGAAGCAAAGTGAAAATGGAACAAAATCATGGGAAATTTGAAGTAAGTATTAACCAAAAACAAAACTATTTTATCCTGTCGTCTATAGAAAATCTCAATCGATGGTCCCTTCACTGTCCCTTTTGTAATTTGAACATCTTTCAGCGCTTTGGGACGTCCTCCCGACGTGAAAGGCGCTCTATAAAGGTAACTTTGTTGTTGAACACAACTTGCATTTATAGAGTGCCTCTCATGTGGGGTAGCATCCCAGAGCGCTTAGCACCATAATATAAAAGGAAAAGTTTGGTTAAAGTAGATTTGAATGTACCAGACAAAGTAGCGTGTAACTTGAAATGCAGTGACATTGCTTCTGAGAGAGTCAGCATATAGTATCCTGCTATTTGACAAAAACATGTAATGGGTGGGATTAGAAATTTTTCTGTTCCGAGCGATAGAGAGCTATCAAATTTATTGCTGCCTTCTGTTAGGAGTTGGATCAATTGCCTGGTGATCCAGCATGGCTCGATGTAATAGAAAGAGATCTACATCGGCAATTTCCTTTTCATGAGATGTTCGTTGCTAGAGGAGGACACGGGTAAGTTGATTGTTAAATGAAATATAATATCTAATAATATCATGTATAAAAATGTACAGCATTTACAGAAGGAGTGAACGCTTGTGTTCAATTCTTAAAAGTGAATTTATTTTCTTTCAGGCAACAAGATCTTTACCGAGTTTTAAAAGCGTACACAATTTACAGGCCAGAGGAGGGTTATTGTCAGGCTCAGGCCCCAGTGGCTGCTGTCCTCTGATGCACATGCCTGCGGAGGTAACCAAACCAACCTGTTTTCTGTTTGAAACCAATCTCGCTTTAATTGGAGAAACTGTTGCTTTCCATCTTGATTTTTACCTGCACCGTTATGGATACGTGCTATTTTGGGCTTTAGTTGACATCGCGACCTGCTCTGGTGAATTGAATATTACGGGGATTGGTTTAAGTTCTTTGTGTTGAGGCTGATTCAGAAGTACCCAGGCTACAAAACTCCAGTTCTAGCAGGTCTTACACCCAGCTTGGATGCCAAGCCAGGACTGTCCAGCGCCTTGGGACATCCTCCTGACATGAAATGCACGATATAAATGTTAATTTGTATGGTTTGTGACAGACCAACCAAGCTTCTTTTTCCTTTTTTTTTAAAAAGCACAGATTTGAGGAGTACTTTAGCTGGAAAGTCTGAGAGAGTAAGCATATAGTATCCTCTCCTGTTAAGATGCTTAACAATATTCCCAGCAGATTTGGAGAACATAACATTTCCAGTGCAATGAAGCATGTTAGATCATGGGTGTGATCACTGTATTTTGCTTAGTTGCTGTTCATGAAAGTTCCTTGCCAAACCAGTCCAATTAATAATCATTTTGATTTCATGTTCTGTCTCCTAGCAAGCTTTTTGGTGCCTGGTCCAGATCTGTGAAAAATATCTACCGGGATATTACAGTGCTGGGTTGGTGAGTTTTAAAGCAGTTTTAACTAAGAGAAGCTCTTTCCCATACGTGCCGATGATTGTATGTTAGATCACTCATTGCGATGATATGTAGCAAGTGCTAATAAATTAGGTTGTGCTCACGACTGGTTTTGAGTGTCTCAGTGATGTGGTCAATGCTGTAATGTACCCAGAAGTAATTGATGGATGGCAGCTGTTTATTGCTGTTGCTTCCAACGCAAGTTGGAATTTATTGTATATTAGCAACCACCTTATAGTGGGAGTTTCTTGCGCAGAATGTAACTTTATGTGCTACCTTGTAGTGCTAGAAATGGAAGATTTTGTTTCTGCCGATCTATTTGATACAGTACAAACACAAATGCCCAGCGAAGCTTTTATTCCCGAACCATACCAATGCCCTTTTTTGTTTCAAGCTGCATCCTTGAAAGCAACAAAACAAATTGCAGAAATGTCATTCAGTTCATTTGAACTGTTCTTCCCAACACACTTTATAACCTTGTACCCCACAGGATAGAATTCGATCTTTAAACTTTCACTTTCAAAGACACTAAGATATTGTACATTTTTTGCGCTCTTCCGTGTGGATTCACTGTTCTGGTTAGACCTGATCCTTGGAGAGTCTGGCTGCTAAACACAGTTGTCTTTATCTCCTGGATTGGCAGCTGCTCAGTTTCACTGTTTTCCATGGGGAACTTGGTTTCCTTTCACTCACAGACAGAAGTGCTATTCTCACCCTTTGCCAGATATTTCATCCAGCTTAAAGGAAGTACGTTATGTCAAAATGACATTGTGTGGGAATCCCTTGCGAGGGTCTGATAACTGCCTGGATTGCAACAAAAACTATTCAGTGAGAATGTTTAAGTCTTTTTTAAATTGCTTAGCTGAGTACCTCTATTGGATATTCTGTACCTATGTCCTTGCTAATTCTATGAAGTCTGATTCAATGGATTTTTAATAATATCTTACAATATACGTAGTCCGTTACTGTCATCGCTCCCGAAGGATGTTGTGCAAGGCTCTGTCATGCGCTCAAGGTTGTGAACTACTATATACACTATAAACAATTTGTAATGTCTGTTTTTAGTAATTCTAACCCCTGCTCTCTGAATCTCTCTTCCATGTAGCCATTTATTTCACTGCCTGAAAGTATGGTGGAAGCATATAGAATAATAACTTTGAAAGGGGAATTGGGTATATGCTTGAAAAGAAAAAAAATGTCAAGGCTATGGGGAAAGAGCACGGTAGTGGAACTAGTTGTATAGCTCTCTCAGCTAGCTGGCACAGGCACGGTGGGCCAAATGGCCTCCTTCTGTGCTGTAAGATTCCATAAAATTCCCCTGCCTTACATTCTGTTCGTCTTCAAAACCCCTTTAGAAATCTTCAACCGTGCCTTCAGTCGCTTCTTATTCTAGGTCTTCGGATATGTTTTTATAACTTGTTTTTGTCTTTTTGTTCAGGAAGCAATCCAGTTGGACGGGGAAATTCTTTTTGCCTTACTGCGGAGGGTTTCACCAGTGGCACATAAGCACCTAAACAAGTACAAAATTGACCCTATTCTCTACATGACCGAGTGGTTCATGTGTGCATTTTCAAGGACCTTGCCGTGGGTGTCAGTGCTGAGAGTGTGGGACATGTTCTTCTGTGAAGGTACGTCATCGAAGCTCAAGTAATTTATATAGATGTGGGAATAAATCTTGTCAGCATCAATCTTCAAGTTAAAAGTAGATTTAAGCAACAGGTATAATCAAAGAACCAGTAATTTTGGTCTATTCAGTGGGCATGAAGCCAATCCCATAAATTTTGGGTTACTGTTTAGCATTTATACTTGGCTGAGTAAAATGCGAAGCTTTTAATTGCCTTGCTAATAATCCTTACATTTAATACATCCCCTTTCATGTTGGGAGTTTCCTGTAAAGTAGAGTGACTGACTGACTATGTCGTGGATTAAGTGTTATTTTAAACTGTAAGTTCTTAAGCCACGAAGAAAGCATTACACCTAGCTATCTGAGAGCTCAATTTGTGGCTGTCAGTATGCAAAGGGAACTAAAGTTACATTTACAATGTAATCCCGGCCTACATGGCGTCTTGTGTCTGCTTCAGGGAATTCAGGGAACTCATGCAGTTTGGAGCAAGTGATCTTATTGCAGGTGTATCCAATAACCTGACCAAGCATTGTTTACTTGATTGTGTCCAGAGTGGTGTTCAAATCAGAGCCTCCCACTTTATGATGCTGTTGAGCAATCAGCTGAGGAAACTGGTTAGCAGCAGAGCAGCCTAGTGAAACAGATAGTGGGCCCCAGATACTGTTCAAGGGAATTTGTTGCTGTACATCATGATTTTGTCCCTCATATCTCTTTCAATCCGGAAGATACTCACCCTATACTGTGGAGCAGTACTGTCTACCCTTCATTATCCTGTCCAGTGACCTTTCAATTGTGAGACTGGCACTCTGTGCAAGCTATTTACCCCTGGGAGACTGCATGGGGGGTAGTGGGTGTGCTATTATAATGATCCGAAATCTATGTAATTGTGGTTTTTAAGAGGTGGTTAAAAATCAGTACTAGGGCCTTGGCTGGGGTATTTTTTTTGCCCTTGTATTCTATTATATTGTCTCAATTTGATTATTTTTAATAGGATTGCTAACTCCTAACAGTCGATTCTGGGTGAATAGATGAAGTGGCTAATGGAATTATTGATCTTTACAAGATATTTAGCTTGCAGCATGAAATTCTAAACAATATAACGCTATAGTATTGCATCCTTGAAAAAGACTTCCTTAACCACATGACTGTTGTTCTTTGAAGAAAAATACAATAGTATGGATCTTTACATTTTTAGCTCTAGTTTATGATTCGCTTGTTATCCAGTTATGGATGCAGAAACTGTACAGTGAAAAATATCTGCTGATGAAAACTGCCAACAACAAAAAATTGTCATAGGGTTCAAAGCAAAGCTGTTTGGTTTCATAGTTCCCTTGCACAATGTTTGACCTTTATCAACTGTTTATTGTTAATGAGATCTTGCTGGTGAAAAATTGCTGCCACCTTTGTCTGCAAAACAGTTGCTATGCTTCAAAGTAACTCATGTGAGGTGCTTTGAGGTGTTTCCAAATAAGGTGCTAGATTAACTGCAGCTAAAATATCTTCAGACTTAGTCAGAAATCTGCATTTTTCTCTGCGTTTTCCAGATATTGAGTGCCACCAGTTGCTATTGGTGGCTGTTTTCAAACTTGTTCTTATTTTTTTCTTTCTTTCTCTCTACCCAGGTGTAAAAGTGATATTCCGGGTTGGTCTTGTTCTCCTTAAATATACACTAGGCTCACCAGACAAGCTGAAGAGTTGCAAAGGCCAGTATGAGACGATGGAAAAACTGCGTAGCATTGACTCCAGATATATGGAAGAGGGCTTTCTCATCCTAGAGGTATGAATACAATCGAAATATTGTATTGAGCTTGATAATCTGGATGTCAGGACCCTCAAATAAAAACTTCCTTTCATCCACAAAATATACAGTCAGTTCACTTTACAATATATTTCTGTCAAGTACTTTGAGGCGTCTCAACGACATGATAAGGCGCTGTATCAAATGCGAGGATTGTCATCATCATAAGCACTATTTTAATCCATGCAAAAATGAATGAAGGCTCCCCGATGGTCTGAATGGCAGCCCGGTCTGGTGCAGCACAGAGCCATTAGGATCAGAAATTCGCTCAAAGTACCAGATTGCAATAGAATTGGTCACCTTTCTCCCCTTCCCCCACACCCTTCTCTGCACCTCCTACCCCCAGCTTAGGTTCCCAGGCAGTTGTGTGAAGCACTTTTAGATGGCCTCCCTTGGGATAAAAGGTGTTGGTGTAAATGTAAATTGCTGTTGAATATAGTGTGATGAGCGTTGTCATTGGTGACACGGAGGAAATTGCAAATATTTCTGATTTTAAAGCAGTGAAACGCCTACTGTTATTGCATTATTCAGTTACGTGAAAATGCAGAACTTGTTCCCAAAGAGATCGTTGACCTTGTAACAGCCTTATATTGACTTACTTGTTTATTCTCTCCCACACCGCCCCCAAAAAAGCTTGGACTGAAACTCTGCAATAACCAAAGTAAATAAACCCTCAACTTCCTAGTTTTTTTTCCTCACATTGAAAGTGACTTAATGTACTACAAATACTAAGCTGGGTTGGACACTGCTTAACATGTGCCAGTTTTAACCCTTGAATTTTTTTTGTCAGAGGACAATGTGAATAACTAAAGGAAGTTGGCTAATAGTTGAAATCCTGTTTAGAGAATGAAAATAACTACAACCCAGTTATAGTCGTGGAAAGGGTCGAGGTGCTGGAGGGCCCCAAAACGGAATCTATCTGGTTAGAGTTGAGGAACAAAAAAGGAGCTGTTACGCTGGTAGGGTTATACTATAGACCACCAAATAGTGGGAAGGAAATAGATGAGCAGATCTGCAAGCAGATCTCAGACAGATGCAAGGCCAATAGAGTCGTGATAATGGGGGACTTTAATTATCCCAACATAGACTGGCAAAACAGGACAACTTTCTTGATCAATACATTTCCAGTCCAACAAGAAGGAAGCAGTTCTAGATCTTGGTCTGGGGGGTAGTTCTTCTGCTCTATTCAAAGAGCCGGCATAAACTCGATGGGCCGAATGGCCTCTTTTTGTGCTGTACTATTCTATGAGTAGTCTGCCTCAGACTACCCTACTAGTTAGGACTTTGACTTGGCCTGTCTCATGTGCCTTGTCTTACAAGCAGACCTGACTGCCACACAACAGACTCGACCTGCTCTTCTTTGGCAAGTGTTTCTGGAGCCAATTCTATCCCAGGGAGGTCCCGCCAACTTCCAAAGGAGGATTTTTTTTATATATGCCTGCTGATCCTGTTTCTTGACCTTGATTGGGTTAGACTGTGAACCTCCAATGTTCTGGTCCTAAGTCCCATCTATCCCATCTGATCTGTCTAGGGTGCTTTTACAACAATGCTGCTCAAAACAGCTCTGTGCGATTTACGTCTTAACACTTTGGGTTGAAAATACTTATCTGAAGTTGAGCAACACCGTGTTAACTAATGATGCTGTCTGAATGTTTGTGCTGTGGAATTAGCACTCTTCATCATCAAAATTGGGTTGTTCAAATGAGAGAGGATGCTAATTGCAAACCCATTGAACTTATTCTTCCGCAACTTTACATGGTTAAGATAATTGTCATGATTAAGAAGACATTAAGTACTGAATGGGTTAAATCTCATTGTTGCATTGACCCAGTGGGCATGTACTTTACAGTGTGTACATTCAGGTTGTTGCTTGGATATATAGTATTTTGGGCCTTGTTCCCTTGACAACTAGTGTGTATTGGTTAACTGTTGCTTAAATCCACCCTCATAGTTTGAAGCTTTGATGTAATGAGATTAATACAAAACTGATCCCAGCTCATTAATTGCTGTATGTGAGCAACTAATTTGAATGTAAACCTTGAGGAACATCATTTTAGCCATAGCTCCTAAGAAAGATGACATTAGAAGCGTTTATAGTTTTTTTTNAATGTGAAAGACGTTTTACTAAGAATTTGTAGGGGGGAAAAAAAATCTCTTAATCGGTCACACAGATGAAACGGGTTGTTTTAAAAATGGTGCTGTTTATTGTCTTGGCTTTGGTAGATCTTTAACTGCACAGTGTGCTAAACTGAGGAGCAAATGACCTATCCCATGAACCCTTCTTCTCTTGGGCTATTCCTGAGGACAATTCAGTGCTATTTTTCCATCCACCCTCACTCCCTCCCTCCTCCACCTCAGTGTTTAAGATTTTTTCCCCTATTAGGAAATACCTGCTAGTTTGGGAGTCATTGTGGCATATATTAGTAAGCTCCAACGTGTCCTTGTTTTGGTTCTTCCATCGGATAGTACACAAGGTCATTTACAGTGTAGAGTGGAGTTGGAGAAGATTGTTCTGGATTTTTATAATAAATTGAGAGTATTGTCCCTATATGTAATAGTAAATTCACTTTACAATATATTCTGTGAAGTGCTTTGAGACATCTCGAAGACGTGATAAGATGCTATATCAAATGCAAGAATAATTATTAATGGTCACCTCTCCCTCTCCCCTTGCTCAGTGTCCAATCTCACTCCTGTAAAGCTCTTGACATTTTCATAGGTGAAGGCTATGATATAAATGCAAATCATTGAACAAATTCCATAAACTTGGCAGTATAGTATTCACAAATTTATTTTAACAAGATGTGCGCTGCAGAGATTTTCCTCCAACCTTAAGGTGATGAGAAAATGACAAGTCTAAAAGTAATGATATAATTGTGATGGAATGATGAGGTCCCAAGTCAACCTCATCCGGAGTACATGGTAAACTTGTAAAACAAGTCAAAGTACAGCATTCCTGAAAGGCAGTGACTGACGTGTGTAAAGACATTTGATTCACACCCAGTTATGTCCTGCTTTAAAGGCGAGGCGAGGTAGCTCTGAATGGCACATGTGGAAAATAGTTTCTGTGCATGTCAGTGACCCAAGTGTCGGGTTCTTTATGAGAGAGGAAGGGAGGAGAATAAGTCTTTATTTTTAAAAAAAAATTGTGTATGTGCTAAAATACGTCCTAATTCCAGCACTATTTAGGGGAGCAACTTAATTTTAATGTTAATCTGCACACTGATGAGTCTGCTCCAGCTGACATACTGCACCTGAGCTGATAGTCTGGTTCTTTAAACAGGGAGCTATGGGTTCAGCAGGAATTTTCCTGGTTACTTGTTAATCAGCAAATGAAACTTCTCAATGGGAAATTTGACTGGTGTCTTCAACAACTTCCCTATTGAGGAGATTATGTAATCCATGTAGCCAAGGAAATTGGGTCATCTCCCACTCTGCATTGCTTCTCCGAACATACATAATTATGTACATAATCCCTAATGTATTTAGTTTCAGTTGAGCAGGATCAAGAATTTACCAGCCATGAGTGATATCAAATCTTTAGGAACTTTAGATGCCTCTAAATCATTTGCTCTTGGCATGGAAAGGGTTAGTTGTTAAAACACAACATCAGACACCACCTCTTGGCAGCAGTGTCCCCTTTTATTATCTGTTTGAATAATCAGGATCTGAATTATTTGTCAACGCATCATTCACTCCAATGATAAGCATGGTAGAGCTTACAAAGTGCTGAGGTTTCAAATACCTGAGGCCACAGTTTATAAACAGCTTATAGTATAGCTGTCTTACAATAGAAAGTTTATTTAGAGAGAGAGATACACACAGGCAGTACATGTAAGTTTCCAGCACTCGTAATCTGGTCACACACCTTTTGTTGCCTTAAATAACCCTTTGTCTTAACATTTCATAGCGTAAGGTTTACTGCCTATTACCTGCTAATCAGGCAGTGGCTATTGTGGCTAAACTGTACAACAGAATGGAAATGTCTGGAGTCTGTGCTGTAATACTGGCTCCTTCCCCACATACCGCAGCCATCTGGTGCTTTCAATAACATTCAAGATGTAAGATTTTGGCAAGAAAAGCCACTGACAAATGGAACACTTCAAAAATGCGAAGTCCTGAGTTTTGCTGCTGGATGTTAACTAGAGTTATGTACGATTTGTATTTCAAAATCTTCATTTAATGGCTAGAGGACTAAATTCTGCCCTGGGGGAAGCCCATCTTGTGAGAATTTCCACTGTTGCACTATCTCTCGCTTGTAGACCACTTTATCTTGCCCTCTTTAGCTGCTGTTTTTCTGACAGGTGGAATACCCCAGCCCAGCAAAATGTTCTTCTTTGAAGACATGATTTTACAAGGGCACAGTCCAATCAGATCAGCTTGCCAATATTCCCAATATTGACGCTGAAATAACAGTCCTTTCTGATCTCTGAAAATGAGACGGCTTATCAAGCAAACCTTGTCTAGGAGTTATCTGTATAACAGATAACTGATTGTGGGATACTGCTCTGTACAGTTGGCTGCCGAGTTTCACCCACAAAATTCACTTTACAATGCCACTTTGAGACGTCTCGACGACATGATATGGTGCGAGCGGTTGATCTGAACAGCAAACCATTCCAGGTCTCCAGTGTATGCCTCGATCAGCGCTAAATTCACTCGGACAGTTTTATTACCTTGAGTATGCAATCGATTTTAAAATTCTAATAAGCCATCAATTATTTTTTCTTCTTCAAAACAGGTCATTGAAATTCCCACCTCGGAGAAGGATATCGAGAAGGAACACTTAACTCAGTTAAAAAAGTGGAAAACCACACACGGTGACCTGAAATACAAGCCCCAGCCCAGATTGCACGGCGCTAAAGCCATTAATAAATCTGAGCCGCACTCCCACAAAGCTTTGGTGCAGGCTCCCTCCATCGTAATAAACTCCCCTCCTACATCTCCCTCTCCGGATCCCGACAAAGTTATGAAGAAGAAAAAAGAAAAGAGCTCAAAGGATAAAAAGGAGAAAAAGAAAGGAATGCGAGAGCCCATGGCTAACGGGTCGGGATCCGGGGAGGCTGTACAGTTTTTGGATGACCAGTTCACTAACCAGCCGGTAGATACCACAGCAGAGGCCAGCCAACCTCCACTGCAAACAAACTCTGCCTTACACCAGTCCGTACAAAGTCTCAGCTCGGGAGAGTCGGAACAGGACACGTACTTGTGAAATGAATGATTCCAGCAACAAGAACAATGCATCCATCTTCTTCCTCCACTTGCCTGGACTGTTGATCCAATACTATCATTCCATCAGTGTACCTGATTTGTGGATGCTGCTGCTGAGCCATTGATACTGTAATGAATTTAAACTTTGTGGTTGACAAAGTGTGGGGACCCCTTTCGTGGCTTAGCCCAACATCACCAAGTTGAAGATTCTTGCAATACTGTAGTTTACTCGGAATTCTGTTTTGGCTTGGTTCCCGCTGCCTGACGGGTTAGTGTGATAAACTAAAAGTGGACCGGATCCAGCAAAGGACCTGATTCATCAGCAATGGAAGCAGAATAAGCTAAATACCGAGTTAATTTATGGGACCAGTGGAATCAACAGCATGGCAGTCATGTCATCAATGAAAAAGCTTTGATAGAAGAAAATATTTTTACGATATTTTTCCTGTTGCTGTTTCCAGCAGTAACGTTGCATGTTGCAGCTGCACTATCCCAAATGAATTTATTTTTATTCTAATTCAAGATGAATGATGGATTTCCGCACCCCCTACTACCACCCTTCCCTCGACCATTCTTTGATTAAATATCTGTTGCGTTCCAGTTTTCAGAAGAAAAAGTGAAATTCCAAGCAGGTGTGGGAGCCAGTGGACCAGGTTGAAGTGAAGTGGTGTCTCCACGAGCCTGTTTTAAAATCTCAACTTGTTGAGATTACAGTTACAGTTACAGTATTTGTATTTAACCACATTGAGGGGATGGGGGTAAAGGAGATTAATATTTTCTATTCATAAAGCCAAATTGTGTGTCTAACTTTGGTTAGGGATTGAGCATGCAGTGGTTTTAATGATTGAAACACTCAATGCATCTACATTAGCTTGTACAGTTATTTCTATACATGTACAGGCAAACTACCAATCTTAATAGCCAAGCAGAAGAAATTGAGGCATGGATTTAAATAAATATGCCAACTTGCTCTGTTTCTCCTTGATGTCAAGGGCTGCAATCTGCTGTAGTACAGAAAGATAGTCAGCCTCATTAGCTTAGAAAACAAATTAATGTATTTTCAAAAAAGAATTTTTCCCTAGCACTTTTTTTTCCCTTTGAGGAATGTAAATTTTGAGAAATTGATAGATTTACAAGAACTACTTGCGAATCCTGTTGACGAACCAGATACTGTACCACAGGACCAGAGTATGAGTTATTTTGCTGCTGTCTTGTATAATCTAGCTATTTTTCTATATATAACTACGAATGCACAATGGGTTTGCAGCAGTCAAGTGCTGTTTGGGGCCAGGCAAAGTAATTGTTTTCCTCTTTTTGTAGATTATAAAGCCAAATGTACTATACAATGCCTAATGTTCTACAGTGTAAAGCCTATACTCTAGCTACTGCTCACCTCTGGACTCAAATGACAACAATTGAGGTGATGTGGAAATGCAGTTTTTCTTTGATTGATCTAGTGTTAGAATCCATGTACTTTGCTGTATTTAAAGAATCCTTGAACTGTTGTGTCAGTTTGTCTTGTTATATGCCGTTGATTGACCATGAAAATATCTGGGAGCTGTTTAATATTGTCCAACGTACAATTGTATATGTGGGCGTGTAGCAGAAGCACTTATAAACCTAATACAACTGAATCTTTCTGTGCTTTTTCTACAGTGTTTCACATGTTGGTGAGTTTATTAAGCTACACAGCTTTATGTTACTTTGATGCAATGGATTCGGAATGAACACAATAAAACCTTCTGGGAAGCATTTTCTACTGTTTTCCTTTTTTGTTTAGAGAATTGTCCAATCTTTTGTTGCATGTATATAGCACCCCTCATTGCAGGGTAGTGTCCCAGAGCGCTTGAGCATGAGTGGCGCTATATAAATGCGAGTTGTTTTCTTGTTGGGAATTTAAAATGAAAAACATATCCTTCAGCACTGAGTGGCTAAAAGCTCTGCAACATCGAGGGAAACACACAGGGCTGATGAGACCCTTTTGCGACTGGACTAAGCTCTCTCGGTTGCCCTGGTGGTGCAGCCCGAATTGAATGAATCTCAGTGATGGAAACTCCCTCCGGTCAAAAGCTCACGCATGAATTTGGCCACTTGGGTGCAGTAAACGAGTGCACACAAGGAACTGTTCACAAATGATTCTCTTTGCGTACACATACTCCGTCGCATATTCTCGCTCACACTCACTCACAAAGCCAATGTGTCGATTCTAAGACTGCTTTCCAGGCTCATCCTCGTTGAGCGCAATACTTCACGGTGGTAGAAGGCGGGTCTTTGGAGTTGAGGTACAGATTAGCCATGATCTAATAGAATGGCGGCTCACGGTCGAGGGACTGAATGTGTTCACAACAAGCAAATAAAACGTAAGAGATTTAAACTGGCTATGGCTCGATTTAAAATAATGAAAGTAATAACTAACAAAGGGCTTGGACTCAGGTTTACCTCTAAGATCGCCTGCCTCCAGCTTGCAACAATTTTTGGGCTTAAATCGATGGGTTAATATTTTGATATCATTAACTCATTCCATCAAAGCCTGGGGAACGTGGGGTGATTCACTGATCACTAGAATAGAAATAATAATCCTCGCATTTGATGTAGCGCTCTATCACACCGTTGAAGACGTCTCACGGAATACAGTGCGGCGTAAAGCGAGTTGACTGCATGATTCACTTACACTGAGGGGTCCGACGCCGTTTGAGATGGTCCGATCTTTACACCAATCAAACGGTGGTGGTTTGCCCTGCATTATGGCCACATTGTGACGTCACTATGTAACCTGTAACAGCTAAGCAGCCGACATCACTTCAAACATGGAGCTCCTCGCCCGGCTCGACAAGCTGATAAAAGCGGAAAAAAAACCAAATACCCGATGAACCAAATAGGAGAGAGACCGCACTGAGAGAACAAACCCGAGTGGTCAGTGAGGTTTGTCTTCAAGGTAAGAGCAAACCGAGAAACGGGCAAACGTTTCCTTACCCCACAAGGCCTCTGTTTGCCTAGCGGTAAGCAGGAACCCGGTCGTTAGTCGATCGGCGGATCCTTTTACCGGGGGTAATAATCCCTTTTTTTTAAAAAAAACCAGAAATTAAAAATATAGTGATTGGTCACTCAATACATGACTGTTTGTGGGACTCTGCTGTGCGCGATTGGCTGTCGAGTTCTCCCACAAAATACACAAGTCGATTCACTTGACAGTATATTCTGTGAAGCCCTTTGAGATGACTCAAAGACGTGATAGGGCACTATATCAAATGCAAGGATTATTATTATATTATTATTATTAAGAGACCCGGGAATCCATCCGAACGTTTTCCTTGGGTGAAACGACCCAACTTTCTCCCAGTTGCTTTTTTCCCTGTGTTTTTCCAGGTTTGGGACAGCAGTTGGCACAGGGCAACTCAACCCAATGTTACCACACTTACCACTCACATGTTGTCATCTGCTGGTTGGATTATGCCATTACAATTCGTGTCAGTCTTGAATTTTCGCTGGGTATGCGTTATATTGTTATATTTAATGGGGCTTCCGAACACTTTTTTGTCATGCATTACTCCCGACTTAAACCACCAGTTACCGACTAGATGAACGGTTTGCTTACTGTGCAATATATAAACACTGACTCCCGCGTTACGGTATGACGGTATCAAATCGAAACAAATTTTTTTTTGTCTTTACCCCTGGTTCAGACTAATTGGAATGAGCTTTTAATGCGCTCCCGCTGATAGGGAAAGGCAGCACTGAGCCATGCAGATTTGATGCTCTTGTAAATCGGCTGACGCGTTTTGCCCACAAAATACGCAATCAATTCACTTTACAGTATGTTCTGTGAAGTGCTTCGAGACGGCTCAATGACGTGATATATCGAATGCAAGGATTATTAATAATAATCACTGGAACGTGAAGAATGAACTGCTTATTAGTTAGTTGTCTAAGGGAAACTGTTTTCTGTAACTATCCCAAGCTTTCTAAATCCCAATGAAATGAGTTTGTGACGACAGTGACAGACGTCTTAAAGACTATTGGGCCCTTTCCTTGTTGCTTTGCCTGATGGGATAGCCCCACCTCCATAGCATTTTCATGTCTTTTGCTGATGCCAAAGTGGTGACTCTGCATCTACAACCAAGTAGGCTGTGAGGCCAGGAAGGAAGGAAAACCTGACTCAGAGGTGTGTGCGAGGGGGTGATGGGGTAGTGGGGGGGGTGGGAATAGTGGCACAACAGCAACAAAAAGCAGGCAGAGTGGAAATGCATCAATGACACTTGTGCGCTGTGCCGAAGAAAGTACGAGCTCGTATTTCTCAGTGATGTTATTTCCCCACTGCATCAATGTAGAGTTGGAGGTAGGGAGAGCTTCACTCCAAATATACACACACACACACACACACAGCTGCTGACTGGTCTCCTGCAACTAATACAGTTTTCAGTCATTGGAGACTGACCAGATGGTCGTCCACCCCATTAGGTCGGGGAGACAACAACAACAACTTCATTTAGATAGCGCCCTTCTCACAGGGTGGCGTCTCGGAGCTCTTAACAGTGATGGAGCCTGACGCTGAGCCGGGGTGGGGGGGAGGTGACCGTAAACATGGTCGAAGAGGAAGGTCTTCAATCATGATCTAAGAGACGGTTAGAGCGTACCATGGGGGAGGGGTGGGGGGTGGTCTGCAACTTCGACGCTTGGTGGCGAGTAAGCGTGTGTCGGAAAGAGTGAGTGAGGCAGTGGGGCGGAGAGGAGCTCGGTGTCATCTCTCTCCAGCAGCCTGTTAATCTTACCGAAGTTGCCCCTCTGAAAGCAGTACGTTATCGGAGATAAAGTGGGTGGGGCACGTGCAAATCGGGCTGGTTTTCTCACTCATTCGCGCTCTGGGGAAGGAGGAGTCTTGATGGGCTGATATATTTTTTCACGTGCGATGGTTACAGCTCTGAGATCCTCCCATCGCAAGACGTTCAGCTGTGATGCGTGCGCACCATTTCTCCATCTGCCTCCCGCTCTGTTTCCTTGGCAGCTACAACGACATCGACAACAACTTGCACTTATATTGCTCCATTCGCGCGGGGCAGCGTCCCGGGGCACTTAAGCAACCCGTCAGGTTTCACAACACTGGCTCGCCTTACATTAGTTCCTTTTTTACGGTGTGACTACCATCTGAGAGCACTTAACAAGAAGCCCGAGCCAAGTGGAAAGTTTGAAGTGGGAATTCTCGTCGTGTATTGCATGATTGCGTATAATTTATGGCGGGTATATATAGGGTACAATATATATTTATATAATTACAGTGGCTGACGTACACATTGTGCACGTGGTACGATCTATACTGTGTGATATATGTATATATATATAATCTACACATGGTTTGGGGAATACAGTCTACACAGTGGGGTATACAGTCCATAGAGAGGGGTATACTGTTTACACAGGGTGGTGTATAGTCTGTATATTGGGGTATACAGTCTATACAGTGGGGTATATAGTCTATACAGTGGGGTGTATAGTCTATACAGTGGGGTGTATAGTCTATACAGTGGGGTGTATAGTCTGTACATTGGGGTATAGTCTATACAGTGGGGTATACAGTCTCTACAGTGGAGTATACAGTCTATACAGTGGGGTATACTATATGCAGTAGAGTATACAGTCTATACAGTGGGGTATACAGTCTATACAGTGGGGTATACAGTCTATACAGTGGAGTATACAGTCTATACAGTGGAGTATACAGTCTGTACAGTGGTGTATATAGTCTATACAGTGGAGTATACAGTCTATACAGTGGAGTATACAGTCTGTACAGTGGTGTATACAGTCTATACAGTGGGGTATATAGTCTATACAGTGGGGTATACAGTCTATATGGTGTGTGATATATATATGTATATGTGCACACAGTGTGTACAGTGTGTGTGTACAGTGTGTACAGTGTGTGGGGGGAGGGGGAGGGGTGTGGGGGGTGGAGACCGCCTGACGTGTCGGGGTCAGGTGTCAGGTGTGATCGCGGCGGAAGCGGCCGCTGTGGGGTGTCGGGGCGCGGGGGGTGTGGTGTGGGGTGTGGGGGGTGTCGGGTGTCGGGTGTCGCTGACTCGGGCCGCGGGGGTGTGTGACTCTCTCTCCGGGTCAGTCTCCCGCTCGCGTCTAACATATGAGCGTCTCACTGGTCGCCGTGCGTCTGGAGCTTGCGGGCGACTCTCCTCCTCCGCAAGGGTTCGAGTATTCAGGTGAGTCCGAGGCCTTGGGGCCTAGGCCCTGGGGGTGTGTGTGAGGCTCTGCCATGGCCTTCCCCCCCCTCACCCCCTCACGCTCCCTTTCCCTCCCCCCTCCCTCCCTCCCTCCTCCCGCGGAGGCTGGAAATCGAGCGCCCTGCAGCCCGACTAGGCCCAGGCCTCAGCCCAAGCCTCGGCCTCTCCCCGGGAGCCCCCCCCACCCCCGGGGGGAGAGGCCGGGAGGAGCCGCTGTTACCCTCTCGCTTGACCCAACAGTCCTCGTTCACCTCTTTGGGATCTCTCCCTCTCTCCCTCTCACTCTCTCTCTCTCTCGTTTCTCTTTTAAGTAATATTATTTATTATTGTTTTAAGGATTATTATTATGCATTATTATTATTATTTATTATTATTGTTATTATTCTCTCTGTCTCACTCTCTCTCTCTCTCCCCCCAGTTATATAGTATTCGCGTAGGTATATGTGTATATATATATATATATATATGCGCTCACGGTATAGAATGACATTAATAATAATAATGTTAATGATAATAATAATAATAATCCTTGCGTTTGAGACAGCGCCTTGTTCACCTCGTCGCAGCGTCGCGCGGCTGAAAGGGAGCGAGTCGTGGGCGGAACGCGGCAGCCCCCACCCCCACCCACCCCCCCCGCGGTTGCCCTGCAAGAACAGCCGTGCGACTGAGCGGCCAAATTTTATCTGGGGGGGGGGGGGTTTTGTTGGTCGTGGACGCCGGGTGTGGAGAGAGAGAGAGAGAGAAACTCTTTAACGTCAGCCTCCACGGGCAGACGGGAACCTCAGTGTAACATCTCAAAAGGTGTCGTGGAGTGGAAACTGTTAGATCAGCACCAGTGTTACTACTCACCCATTCCTCCTCTTCTCCCCCCCCCCCCACCACCCCACACCCCCACCGCCGTAACCCTCTACTCCCTTCTCCCTCTCGGGTCTCGTCGTTTCTCGAACGTGTTGCCCGATTGCTCAAACGGGGCTCGAGAAAGTTACGTCTCGGCAAAGATCCCGACCGGGGCGGTGGGGACCAGAGGCAGCGGGTTGGAGAAAGGCAGATAGGTTCTGGGTGGGACGCAGTGAAGTGTTTCTTTACACGGAGGGTGATTGACGCTGGGGGCAGGGTGGTGCGCGTGTGCGTGCGTGTGTTCAGCAGCGGTGGTTGAGGCCAGGATGCTGGGACTCGTTAAGAAACGTCCGGGTGCTGTATTAAGAGATTGGTGGTGCAGGGATTCACTATAAACATTCCGTGATTTGCGGACAGTTGCCGTAAAATGTCCTGCACGGTGAGAGGATCAGCTGATCGCTCGGTCACTGGGGTTCCATTTGTTCTCATTGACGTACTGGAACCTGCTAACCCTGTTGTGAGCAACCTCTGACGACTGCACACGCGTGCGCGTGTGTGCGTGTGTTCGCCCGCGCGCAATGGTAAATAGCATTTAAAGTCACAAGACCCACAATAGAGCTTTGTCGTGTTGGGAGTGAATCGTTTGTTCGCTGTTGTAGTGTCCCTCGCGTTGTCTCAACAGAGAATAGCATAGGTGCAGGCTGACCGTTGGCATTTTCTGTCTGTTTGGTTTCTTTCTGCCTCTCTCCGTTAAACTGTATCACCTGCCGCAATGGTCCCGCTTTGTGCTTTGTCTGTGCAGCCATCAATATGTCAGACGACGAGGGTAAAGAGAAGAGATCGCTCCGTCCAGCGAAGGGCTTGCTGGAGGGTAAAACCACCGAGGAGAAATCCACCATCTTACACCAGCACATCGGCCGGCGAGAGATGAGGGACATGGTGATTGAAACGATAAGCTCCAGCAAAGGTAGAATGAGCGACACCGAGCTCGAGGGGGGGAAGAGCGCGCGGCAGACAGATCAGAGAATATACTACTACTAATAATAAGTCTCAAAGTGCTTCACAGAATATACTGTAAAGTGGATTGACTGTATATTTTGTGGGCGAAACACGGCAGCCAATTGCACACAGCAGTGTCCCACAAACAGTCATGGATTGAGTGACCAAATGATTGTTATTTTTTTTTGGAGAGATTATTATCCCCGGAAAGTGCTCCACCAATCAACTAACAACCGGGTTCCTATTTACTGTTAGGTAAACGGAGAGATAAAATCGCAGGTTTTGTAGAATTGATCAGAGTCAGGTCCGTTCTCTGTAAAAGTTATCAGTTGAATGCCACTCAAACGAATTGACTGCTTATCTCAGTGTTGTACATATCAATGAAGTTTCATTTCTAATTGGTCTTATTTTGTAAAGCGTTTATTTTACGTGAAGGCCCTGCATTAATGCAAGCTGTTGCTGGTTGCTGTCCAGTAACTCTTCTTGGCTGAGCGAGCTCACAAACACATTTTCTGTGTTTCCTTTTGAGACGTTTTGACTTTGATGGAGTGCTGTGTTTAGATATTTCTTTAAAAAAACACGCTCTTTCTTCTTAACAGATAAAAGTCCCCCGGAAAGTGTTTCGGAGTCCGATCAGGAGCTGAAATCAGTCTCCAGGGCTGTGCAGGGAACAGGCACAACCGAGCCTGTTGACGACAGCAAGGCGGTCAAAGAGCAGGGAGGAACCTTACCGGACTCGCCGTCTAAACAACTGCCCGACCAGATTTCCTTCTTCAGTGGGAACTCGTCTGTGGAGGTCGTACATGGAATTATGCACTTATACAAAACCGAGTAAGGACTCAGTCTTCTCTGCCGTTGGGATACGGTACGGCTACAGTCAGCCTCGGGCGAATCAATCAGGGTTTCCCATTCCTGGATTCATCACCGCTAACCTTTTTTTTTTGGACAGAAACTTTTTACTCCCCCCTGCTTTCCGCCCACCAAATACGCAGTCGTTCCACTTTAACAAAAACAAGAGGTTGTATTTGTATAGCGCCCTTCACGAGGGGTTCCGTCCTTGAGTGCGTACAATATATTCTGCAAACGTGTTCACTTGACAACATACGCTTTACGGTATATTCTCCAAAGCGCTTTCCTTGAGACGTCTCAACGGCGTGATAAGGCGCTGTATCAAATATAAGGATTATTATTATTGTAGTGGTTTTTCACATTCTCTCTTTCTCTCTGTGTGTGTCTCTCTGTCCCCCCTCACCCGCCCGCAGTAAAATGACTTCATTGAAAGAAGACGTGCGTCGCAGCGCCATGCTGTGTATCCTCACCGTGCCCGCCACCATGACCAGCCACGACCTCATGAGGTTCGTTGCCCCCTTTGATGATTCTGTCGTGCACATGAAAATAATCCGCGACTCCACCCCCAACCAGTACATGGTGCTCATCAAGTTTTGCTCTCAGGTAAAAAAAATTGAAATATATTGTCTGATTCTACTCTGTGAGTACCTGCGGTTTCCCCTCCCCGCCCACCCCCCAATTCCTGACGCCTGCCTCTTGCTGTGTCTTCCTCTCCCTTTATGGGCCTCACTCCCTCACCACTCTCACTCACCACTCTCGCTCACACCCCCACATACACTCTCTCTTTCTCTCACACTCTGTGTGAACCTGTCTCTCTCTCTCACATTGTTGTGTGCCTCCCCCTCTTTCTCTCTCTCTCTCTCTCTCTCTCTCTCTCACTCACTCACTCTGTGTGCGCTTCCTCCTCCTCTCACTCTCTCACACACTGTCTCTGCCTGTGCCTCTGTCTGTCAATACAACAACAAGATTTCATTGCATCAGTGCATCATGATTGATGGCTGCTGTATTTCTGGTTGACACTGATTGACTAGTCTCTGCTGGTCTCTTCCTCCCCTCCTCTCAGGCAGAAGCAGACAGCTTTTACACTGCCTGTAACGGCCGTCAGTTCAATTCTATTGAGGACGACGTCTGTCAGTTGGTGTACGTGGAGAGGGCAGAAGTCATCAAATCTGAGGATGTGAGTATTTTCTGTATTTATTAATGTCACAATATTATTAGGATTTAACCAATGGAGCAGCAGGTGCCCAACTGAGAGGCGGGTACAAGTTTCAATCAGTCCTTTGCCCTGGCTGGGTGAGACTTGCCAGTGTTGATGAGGTACCTGAACAAAATGCATTAAGCTTCTTGAGCCTATCACCCCCATTCTTGCCCGGATTCACTGGCTTTCCATCCCCCGGAGGATTGAGTTCAAGATCCTTGGGTGTAAACCCTTCACTGTTCAGCACCTTGAGATATCCTCCAGACATGAAAGGCTCTGTGTAAACACAGTTTGTTGTGGTTGAGTGCAACAGTACTGTGCTCTGGACCAGGACACAGGAACAGGTGGAGACTCTTCAGCCCTTCAAGCCTGTTTCACCATCTTACTAGATCACAACAGACCTTCTTAATGCCTTTCTCTGTATCCCTCGATCCCCATTCATCCTGAGCTAAAGGACCGCTGGTACATGTCAAAACCTGGTACCTTTAATACTTGGGTCCCGGTAGTCTTTGGTAACCGATTGTGATCAGGATTGTTTTCCTGCCTCCAGTGAACCCACCCCCCCCCACACACTCTCATTTTTCCTCTCCTTACCGCCCATTTTATACTTCTCTCCTTTCAGGGAGCTAGCCTTCCAGTAATGGGTGTCACCGAGCTGCCTCCGTGCATCGTGTGCCTGGAGAGAATGGACGAGTCGGTAAACGGGGTGCTGACCATATTGTGCAACCACAGCTTTCACAGTCAGTGCTTACAGCACTGGGAGGACACCACGTAAGTGCCATAACCCCCAGCCTGCCCATCCCACCATCTGAGGTCGTGCCTGCAGCCTTTCTGCTTCCCACCCTTTGGAACTCCATCCCACAGTCCCTTCGCCTCGCCCGCCTCCCTTGTCTCCTTCAAGGCCCGTCTAAAGATCCTCCTCTTCGACAGCTCCTTCAGCCACCCTCCTACCCCTACTCTCCCTGCCCCCCACCCCTCCTGATCTCCAAACCCCAGCTCAGGTGCACATCCCTGACTGTCCAGTGCCTTGTGACATCCTCCTGTCGTGAAGCGCGCTGTGTAAATGTAATTTGTTGTTGTCTGCGCTAGAGCTCCTAAAATTAACCTCATTTGGCAACAGTAGAGTCACCAAAGCAGCTGTTGGAATCAGGCCAGCCTTGTTCTCACTGAGTTAGTGAGGCCCAGTGACCTCGCAGTGACGTGTGTCAGTTGTTTACCCTGCATTTAGAGGCTGCCTCGTGGCTCTGATGAGCACGATCGCCAGCCTCGCACTCACCCCCCTGCTCCTCCTCACACCCAGACTCTCACCCAAGCCAGTCTGGGCTTGGTTTCAACCTTTAACCCACAAGTGAAAGGTCTGCTCACTGTACAGCTCGGGTTAGTCCACCTGTTAAAGCTTCTACTCAGTTTGCTCAAGATAAGATAAGCACATTTTCCCCTTGACTTGTTATCGGGACCTCACAAAAGCCGGGTTCCACGATAAAGATTAAGCTCTTTGCCATTTTGGAAGAAATTGGGAAAATGTTGTCAAGTTATGCCGTGTTATTATTGGCGTTGGTTTGTCAGTGAGCTAGCTAAGTGAGCCAAGCGATGTGAAAGGCATTACATAAATCTTCGCTTCGACCGTGCCTTCAGTCATCCTCCCACCCCATCCCCTTGCCCTCCACCCCTCTTGATTCCAACTCCCGGCTCGGGTTCAAACACGTGGAATCCAGGTTTAAATCAAGCCCATACCGGTAGGGTGAAAGTCTGGGTCTAAGGGTTCAAAAGAACCATTTGGTCACTCAATCCACCACTGTTTGTGGGACACTGCGGTGCGCAATTGACGGACGCATTTAGCCCACAAAAATACAGCACGTGAAGCGTTTTGAGACGTGTCAACGACTTGATAAGGCACGAGATCAAATGCAAAGATTCTTCTTATAATCCCTTGATTGTCCAGCGCCTTGGGACATCCTCCTGACATGAAATGTGCTATATATTTATTGTTGCAATTGTATAATATATTGTATTGTGCATGGAAGCTTTAGGGATCGTCTTTTAACATTTTCTGTCGCTTTAAAAGTCAACAATTTTGTTCTATCTTTCGCCTAATTTCCAGATCAGCACTAGGGAACTTTTTTTTTAAACGTTCTGTTTTAGGTGCCCGGTTTGCAGATACTGTCAGACTCCCGAGCCAGTGGAAGAGAACAAGTGTTTTGAGTGCGGAGTTCAGGAGGTAAGCAGATTAGAGTTCGTCACAAAGACCTAATTAGGATCTTAAGAGCTGCTGCTAATTATTGTTAAAGAGAAGGTGTCAGCACGGAAGTGAGAGGTGCCTAACAAACCTTTGCTTCGCTTTGCCAACACCAAACTTCTCCCAGCTCCCAGGGGAGGGGGGGGTGGGGAATAGTGCTTGTGATACAGCCATTTGGGTTCCATGCACTGGATATTGGCTGCACATCACAGTCGAGCCAAAATAATAATGGAAACTGTTCAGGCGAGTCGTGAAAACATTTGTGGCATTGCCACCTTCAATGCAATTTTTTTCTCTCTCTTTCTCTCCCCACCTCCCCCCACCCTCCCAATCCCCCTACACACACACATACCAACCTGTCCGCTCTCACCACTCAGCCGGGCTCTGGTTGGCTCCATGTCTCCCGCCCTGCCCCGCCATCAGTAGTTGGGACCTTCAGCCTTTCTGGCCCTCACCCTTCGGAACTCCATCCTCCAGTCCCTTCACTTCACCCCCCCCCCCTCCCTTGCCTCCTTCAAGGCCCCCTCTCAAGAGCCGCCTCCTCGAATATGGCCGGTCACCCTCCTACCTACCCCTGCCCTCCACTCCTCCTGAACCCAGCCCCCAGCCCGGAGCCTTGGGACGTCCTCCCGACGTGACAGGCGCTGTGTAAATATAATTTGTTGTTGTTGTTGTTCGCAGAACCTCTGGATATGTTTGATATGCGGGCATATAGGATGTGGCCGATACGTGAGTCGTCATGCTTACAAACACTTTGAGGAGACCCAGCACACGTATGCCATGCAACTCACCAACCACAGAGTGTGGGACTACGCAGGAGGTAACATTCCTCCTCTCCTGCCAGCGCTCCCCCCCCCCCCCCCACACACACGCACACACGCATTTTATTAAGTCCATTTCATATCGGATGTTCAAGGTTTTATTTATATCTATTAATACATTGATTTATTAATGGATTTAATACATAATAAGTCCATGTTTTAATGGATTTAACAAGGATCTGTGCGTAGGTGGTCAATATTTCAAGTCTAATGTAGTACAATGAGTAAGATGTGGAGAATTCTGTCTCTCTGTCTCTCTCTCTCTCTCTCTCTCTCTGTCTCTCTTGCAGTTTCAGGAACCCTCATTCCAGTTCTGGGTGATGAGAATTTTAATTGATGTGAGGGCCTTTTTTGGGGTCGGGGATGGGGTGGGAGGAATTATATAGCGCCTTGGGCCGCTACCCTGCCTGAGGGGTGCTATATAAATGCAAGCTGTTGTTGTTATATGGTTCGATCGCTTCACTGAGCGGGGAAGTAAACTAACCTGTCACCAGTTTTAGCAGTGAAATTGCAGACAGGCGGTCCCATGTAACTTGCAGTGCGGTCCTCGTGCTCTCTGCCCACCCTGAAGCTGTGTCCTCGTTTGACTAGACAACTACGTGCACCGCCTGGTGGCCAGCAAGACTGACGGCAAGATCGTTCAGTACGAGTGCGAGGGTGACACGTGTCAGGACGAGAAGATCGATGCCCTGCAGTTAGAGGTTAGTCGCTGTAGTTCTGAGACACCATCTGACATGTAGCTGTGAGTGCAGTGATTCACTTCCAATCTTATTGTGCTCTCGATCCCCTCTTATACCATCCAGTCCTCCGTTCAGCAAACTCGGGCTTACTGTGTACTCTCCACACCCAGCCTTCAGTAATTATGCCCCCTCTCCTCCACGGAACTCGCTCCACAATTCTATCTCCAAATTCTACACGTTTGAACCTGTGTATATTTAGAACATATGAATATAACTTGCCTCCTTCAAGGCCCATCTCAAGACCTTACTCTTTGACTGACTTTCTACCCCCCCCACCTCCCCCACCACCCTCCATCTCTCTTGATTCCAACTGTGAAGTCGGATGCAAACTCTTAGTTAAGATTGGAAGTGAACAGTTGTTCAGCGCTTAGGGACGTCCTCCCAATGTGAAAGACGCTGCTTAAATGTAATTTTGTTGTTGGATGCCCACAACTTCCCTCCGGTCTTGGTGTCAGGCTGGTTGGACCTGAAGGCTGTTGATTTACTTTGGTTCCCTTACCTTCATCCTTCCCTTGTGAGGGGGGGAGAGAGACAAAGCGGAACAATATGTGCCAGCTCAGTCTGGATTTACTGCTTACTGATTTGTGCATCTCCCCGGGTTCACTACTTGGGACCGTAGGGCCTTGACGACGACAACAGCAACTTGCATTTATATAGTGCCCCTCACGCAGGGTAGCGTTTCAGACTCAGCGTAAGCGGCTGCCGATCCCGGCTCCAGGCATTGAACGGTAAGAAACAGGTGATAACCTTTGTCAGGTTTTTAAAAATCACCTCTTTATTTTTGTGCAAACAGTATTCATACCTCCTGACCAGCCAGCTGGAATCCCAACGCATCTACTGGGAGAATAAGATTGTGCACCTGGAGAAAGATGCTGCAGAAGAGGCAGGTTTGAGTCGAAACATTTGTATATTTTTGTTTTGTTTTTATCAGTCGGGTGTCTGATACAGGAGGGAGTCCGTAACGTAGTGGTTAGTGCGCTCGCTTGGCAAGTGAGAGGATCCGGGTTCGATTCCCCGAGCAGGGCGAAACCTTAGGCAAGTTTTCTTTAGTCCACACGCCTTTGTTTACCTAACGGTAAGGAGGACCCCAGTTGTTAGTTGATTGCTTTCTGGGGGTAATAATCCCTTCGGAAAAAAAATTGGTCGCTCAATCCACGACTGTTTGTGAGACACTGCTGTGCGCAATTGGCTGCCACGTTTCGCCCACAAAATACACTGTCAATTCACTTTACAATATACCCTGTGAAGTGCTTTGAGTCATGTGGAATTCCTCTTTTCCAGATCAACAACATGAAAACGAAGTTCAAAGAGACGATTGAGAAGTGTGACAGCCTGGAGCAGCGGCTGAACGAGCTGATAAAGGACAAGCAAGCTCTGGAGAGGAAGTAAGCCACTTAGCAACAAGTTCTGTGATCTGCTAACTCCATAGATACCTGTCCGCTCCCCCTGCTCAGCAAGCTCCAGCCCGCTCCATGTCCCCCACCCACTGGAACTCCATCCCACAGTCCCTTTGCCTCGCACCCTCCCTTGCCTCTTTCAAAGTCCGTTTCAAGACCCCCCCCCCCCTCTTCGGCAGCGCCTTCGGTCACCCTCTTATTCCTACCCTCCACCACTCCTGATCTCCCAACCCGCCCCCCCAGCTCGGGTCCAAATCCTTGACTGTCCAGCACCTTGGGACTTCGGACGCGAAAGGCGCTGTGTAAATGTAATTTGTTGTTGTTGAGACATCTCGAAGGCGTGATAAACGCAAAGGTTTTTATTATTGCTAATATTATGGCATAAATCAAGAAATATTTGCCCGACCCCAGAAAGTTGGGCGAGAACTGTACTGAATGAGTAGCCACAGTCTGTGTTTGTTTTTCCCCACCCAGGTGCTCACAGCTGAACAACAAGGTGTCCAAGCTGGGAAACGAGCTGAAGGAGGAACAGGAGATGAACAAGTGCCTCCGTGCTAATCAGCTTCAGCTGCAGAGCAAACTGAAGGAGGAGGAGAAGAGGCTGAGAGAGACGTGCGAGGAGAAAGACCAGCAGATCACCGAGGCCCAGGAGCAACTGCGCGACATCATGTTCTACCTGGAGGCCCAGCAGAAGATCAACCAGATGCCGGCCGACACGCGGCAGGAGATCCAGGAGGGACAGATCAACATCGCTGTGGCCGCCAACACCTCTTCCACCGGAGCCATCACCAAGACATCCAGGAGAGGGCGAGGCAAGCGGAGCAAGTAGCTGAGAGGGAGGAGGGAAGAGAGAGGGGAGGGCTTCTCATTTTCTTTGGAAAAAAAGAGAGAGAGAAAAAAAAGTCCTCCCTTAGAGATGTGTATATTTGTTTACTTTCAGCACCGATCACTGACTGTACCAACCTGGTGTGGTCGTTACAATTGGATTTCTATCTATATATATATATTATATATATTATATATTATATATATATATAAACGCCAGTCTGTAGGGAGTTCTGCGCAACACTAGTGAGACGTGAAGGAGAGTTTTTTTTATTTAACACGGAAGTGGTTGACTCGTGCTTCCCACAGTATTAAGCCGCTCTGCGAGGCACTGAAGGGAGTTTTACAGTGTGTCAGGCTAAACATGCGGGACATGTCTGGGGAGTATTCTCCCACAACAAAGATCCAACGTATTGCTTGTGCACACCAGCATTAAAATGATCCATTCAGAAAGAGCTTTCCCTCTGCGTCTTCAACTTCACAAGCTTTTACAGAGATTATTATTCCCCTCCACACGTACACAATTGTGTTTTGTGTGTATTTTGGGGAGGGTGGAGAAGGTGTGATAAGCAGCGGGTAATGGACAGTGTACAAAGTTTTACTGCGGTCATCTCGAGGGAAATGTTTATGTACTGTAGAATGCTTGCTGTGGAGATTTTATTTCTGAAGCTAACAATTGCTGTGGCCTTGGTGGTAGAGTGTTTAATCAGTGTTCCTTACATCTCAGTCCAGTAAAACTCGCATAGGTCTGATCTGTATAATCATATCATCTCCCAAGAGCTCATATTCTATGCAAGTTTGACATAACTCATACTTTGCATAAGTCATGTTAAATGTATGGCTCCCAACTGATACGACTTATGTGAGGTTTACTGGACACCAGAAGGACGACAGCAACCTCTGTCCACATGTACTGTGTGCGCCGGCCGGAGTGAAATTCAGCGTTTGAATCATTTGGTCTCTGTTTCAGTGCAAGCCCATGCCTTGCCATTCACTCACAGTCCCACTGGTGAATTGAGGAGTTGCGAAGGTGGGGGTCCTGACGAGGGTGTAATCTCTTTTAGAGGTGGGGTGGGTGGGGGCTGGGGGGATCGCTTTACTCTGCAGCCTTGTTTGCTTCCTGCCCTTGATCTGCCAAAGTGTGATTCTCACTCTTGGGGTCACAGGGCTGGAGACTTTATAACCCCAAAAAAACTTTGCCATTGAAATGAGAGAATATTCTTTACTGCAAAATCTCTGTACAATATATAATTCAAGCACCCCATTGTCAAAGGAATCGCCTTTTGAATTAAATCTGTGGCTAATGTGTTAAGTTTTCAGGTTAGCAGGTGTAGATGTGAATGAGGAAAAGTTTTCCTCACCGAAAAGTGGTGGAATGAGTTTACTGACGAAACCGGTTTCTTTTGCAGTGAGCACTTGAGGCAGTGTTGCAATGTAACCCCTTATCTCTCTCTTTTCTCTCCCCCCCCCCCCCCCAATAAGTAATTCCCCCAGGTAAAAAGAAAAGCACAGCGAACAGCAGCGACTGATTAATAATGTCTCTCTCCGTTCTCTCCAGGGAGTCCTCACAGACCTTTCTAAACCCGCGTAGCGTCCGCGAGACAAACCAAGCCCCTCTTTCCGTATTCGTACGGACAAGACCTCACTTCATCACAATCTGTTGCATTTCGATTCCGATTCACAGGGGCTCAAAGTTGTGCGTTTGTTTTTGGAAGACACGTCACTTTTTTTGCGGTGGGGGGGATGGGGATCGTCACAAAATTATCTGAGCAGAAAACCGGAGGGAATTTTTCTATGAAGGATTGTAGATGAGAAACTGTGGCTGATTTTCTGCGTTTTTTTAAATGTAGACTCATTTTTGTCCCTATAATATTATGGGGAAAGTTTGTATGCCTTAAAATGCTAACCCTAACCCATCCCCTGGCGTTGGGGCACCGTCAGCGAATTTGGAATCTCTGCATCCTGGTAGATTGAGCTGAATTGCCTCTGAAATCTCTCTGGCTCAGTTTGTTGCATTCTTGCTTGCCTCTGGGTGAGAAGGTTGTGGGTTCCAGCCCCATGTTGAGGGCTTGTTTTTACAGCTTAGGCCAGTACTCCAGTGCTGTTCAGGGAGGGAGCACTGTATTCCCAAAAGCGTCATCTTTCGTTAAACCGGGGTCTCTGTTTACCTGCTGCGCAATCGTTAAAGCTCTCCCATGACACTATTTGAAAAGAGAGGAGTGTTTGTCTCCTGATGAATTGGCTATTCGCCCCCTTGGCTGTTTGGGACCTTGATGGAGCAAATGACTGCCACGTTTGCATTTCTTACAAGAAAAACTCAGCCACTACAGTGCACTCGGCAGGAATTATAGACATGAAGAGCTTTATGACATCTCAACACGCTATAGAGATGCAAGTTCTTCCAAATTGTTGGGGGGTTGGTGGGTGGGGGTGGGGGGTGGGGGGGAGTGTGGAGCAGGGGAAGGGGAGAGGGAAGGAAATGGAAAGAAACTTGGTGGGTCGCCAAACCACATAACCAACCTCAGGTTCTCCCATTCTGTTGTTTGGTTGAGTCAGTGCTTCGGGTTTTGGTTTCCATTGGTTACAATACCAAGAAGGGCACTCCCTCACTCCACAGAGTCCGGAGGGATTGTGTTAGCTGCTGGTGTTGAGATTCAGTTTAGAAGGTACCAATTGTGCAATATTAAAGAAAGCTAATTCAGAAAGAGCAGCAAGATTTTGGGGTCACTATTTTGTTTTTAGCAGGAACTTTCAGCCTCTGTTTAGCATTTTGCAGGCTCTTAACAGGGCAGGTTACATGCTGTCTCTTTGTCTCCTGTGTGTTAGTGTTTAAATACAGTTGTTTTTAAAAAAGAAATTGGATGATGAGCGATCTTAGCTGTAAGATTGATGGGCTGTGTGTGAATCGCCACACTTGAGAGATGAACACAAGGAATTATCTGTTGGGAGTTATTTAAAATGGCTTTAAGATCAACAGCACTTAAGATAACCCATCGTCCCCAACATCCAAAAAGCGCAAAATGGCACTTTTTATTTAAACCAGTTTTGAGGCATTTTGGGGACAAATGCCTTTGACGCAGGTATAAAACGGCACAAAACAGGTTATTTCGTGATAGAGGTGTAGTTGTGAATATTTTGCTTTTTTTTAAAAAAAGGTAAATGTTTCTTGTAAGCAAGGATGTTTATTTGTTGCAACCTCCCCCACCCTCTCCACAACAACCCCACTCCCATGGTGGGAATTGTCACCCAGGAGGTGGGGGGGCGGGGGTGGGGAACATACATGAATTGGGGTGGAACGTCAAGCTTCCGATGAAAAACAAAGTAGTGACTGTGGAGTTGTGAAGAGTCGAGGTGGACAAGTCTCCGCCACCTGCAAATTGTCCTGTTTTGTAAGACAGCAATTTCCTAATGCCTCAATAAATATACCACTGCCCTCTATCAGCTCGGGTGAAATAAAATGGCTTGTATCAATACTACAAGAAGACGCCTCAAACGCGTGTTTACTCCACTGGATTTGTGTGATTCACTCACTCACTGAGAACGCTCCATACTTTTTTTTAAAAAAACATACACCTTACAAACAAAGACAGCAGAACCAGCAGTCCTGAACATTTTCATTTTAAACTGAAGCATAAGTTAAGTTCTTTTGTACCATTATTAGTCATTTGGATGACCCTTTGGCATTATCTCAAAGACCAGAGAGCATCTTCCCAATATTCCTCCCTCATCCAAAATGCAACAGCTTAATTGTCTGTTAATAATAATAATAATAATAATCCTTGCTATTGACACAGCGCCTTTCATGTCGGATACTTTCTGGTAAAGTTTAGTGACTGTCTTGTGGATGTTGCTGACTCTTTCTCTGACAACAACCACTACTAATTGTGTGGAAGCACTTGTTCAACTTATTAGGGCACTTTATCAATTGCAAATAATATTGTTTATCGATATTTTCCTCCCAACACACCCAAATAAAAATGCACTTTTGGCGGGCGAGTCGGTGGGCTAACAGTGAATGAGCTCGACAACAGAATATTTTATGTATGTTTAGCAATTTCTCCTTGTGTTGATGGACTGGATCAATGACAACAAGTTTGCATTATGTGCAAAGCCTTTCACGTGATCGTTCACTTCAGGGCCGTTTGCGGGGACGGCGCTGCGTGCAGACCGGCTGCCGCGTTTGCCCGCGGAATACACCGGTCTCCGTGCTTCGGAGTGAGATCCCGCGCGGCCGTTCGGTGAGGCTCCACGTCGAACAACAATAATTCTTGGAATTGAATTCGACGTAGCGCCTTATCGTGTTGAGACGTCTCGAAAGCGCTTCACAGGATATATACAGGAGTCCTGTAGCTCAGTGGTTAGAGCACTCGCTTTGCGAGCGAGAGACCTGAGTGCAATTCCAGGCAGAGGGCGAAACCTTGGGCAAGTTTCCTTACTCCACACAGAGCCTAATAATAATCCCTCCAAAACCAAAAACAATAATAAATTGGTCATTTTCAATTTACGACTGTTTGTGGGACATTGCTGTGCGCAATCGGCCGCCGCATTCGCCCACAAATATACAGTCAATTCACTTTACAGTGTGTTCTGTGAAGCGCTTTGGGACGTCCTCCCGACGTGAAAAGCGCTATATCAAATGCAAGGATTATTATTATTATTATACTGCGATGGAGATGGACTGTGTTTTGTGGGCGCGATGCAAGAATTATATATGCATATATATATATATGTCTTTATATACTGTAAATGTGTGAGAAAACTTTTGCTAAAAGTGAATGCAATGACACCACCACCATCTGCCCCCCTCCCCCCCCCCTCCCCCCCCCCCCCCTCCTCCCCCTCTGCACTGCTCTGGTGCAGCCTCCAGCCGGCGCATGCGCAGCGCACTCCCTCGCTCACGTGCCCCGAGCCGCGCCACTCCCTCACCACCGCCAAACCCTTCCTCCCCCCCCCCCCCCACTCCACCTCCTTCCACAGTGTAACCCTCCGGCCTCTGGGCGGGGTCAAAGGTTAGAAATTGGAGAGCGAAAAAAATAATCCCTTGAATAAAAACAACCCCCTCCCCACCCACCCACCCCCCACATTCTTTCCTTCCCTCTCTGGGGGAATATTATGGCGATTCATAACCAGCCCGTGAGGGGGGGGGGTGTGAGGGGGGGTAAAAAGTTATTTTCTTATGGAAGGAGATGGGGTGCGCATGCGCAACAATGTCGACCAGTTGGGCGGGTTTCACGCCCAATTTGGGCTATTTTTTTAATTGGGGGCTGTTGGTTGCACTGTGTGTGTAAATAAAAATCCTTTTTTGGGGGCTGGAGGAGCTTAATTATATATATATACACACACACATACATAATTATATATATATGTACATACACAAACAATTATATATAACATATATATTTAGAAATATAACATATATATATACATGACATATTTTTTTAAAAAAACCCTGCAAACCCTTTTTGTGTGTGTTTTGTGTTGTTTTTTTTTCTCTCAATTGGTCTATTTTGTGGAGGGGGGAGTGTGAAATGAGAGGGGAGGGCTCGCATTTAATTGACACTTTTCTTTGGAGGAGGTGGTGGGGGTGAGGATGGGAGTGGAATGCTGTGCAATTAGTTTGGAGGGGGCGGGGGGGGGGGGGGGGGCTGTTAAAGCTAAACAACTCCTATTTCTATCCATAATAGAATAATAATTGGGGCTATTGTCATTAGAGGGGGCGGGGCTGGGATTTGGGGAGTGTGGGGGGGGGGAATAATACTGTAGCAGTGTATTGTGACCTTTTTTTAAGGACGTGTGTGTGTGGGGGGGGGGGTGGGGGGGCGATAAAAACAGCACATATGAAACTGTGTCTGGTTTTGATTTCTGGCTCTACACAACAGTCAGTCAGTGAGTGAGTGAGTGAGTAAGTGAATGAGGAGTGAGTGAGTGAGTGAATGAATGAATGCGTACGCAGGCGCGCGTATCCATGCGCGAGGTGAGGCGGTCGCCTGCGAGAGCCGGAGACAGACAGACAGGGAGGCGCTCAGGACCTGAGCCCGGATCTTTTTGTCCCTCCCTCCCTCCCTCCTCTCTCTCTCTCTCTCCCTCTCTCCCTCAGTCTCGGTGCCGGCCGCGGGCTCGTGATTTAGCGGCGAGTGAAGCAGCGAAGTCAGTCACCGACCGGACGGACGGACGGACCGACCGACACACAGACAGACAGACAGACGCGCACATCCATCCATCACACGCATTTACAGAGAGGCCCTACAGAGAGCCCTCCCCTCCCCCCTCTCTCTCTCTCTCCCTCCCCTCTCCCCTCTCTCTCTCCCACTCACTCACTCACTCACACACACACGCGCGCAGCCTGAAGAACGGCCGAGGACGACGCCAAAGCCCATAGCGGCCTATCTGTCGTTTTACCCCCTTCCCCCCCCTCCCCCCTCCTCCCTCCCTCCCTCCTCTCTCTCTCTCTCCAGTACTTTCCCCCCTTTCCTCTCCTCCTCCCCCTTCCCAACCCCGTTCTCTCTCTCTCTCTCTCGCAGTGTTTCCCCCTCCCTCACAGGTCCGTTTTTTATCCGTTTTATTTTTTTAAAAAATATTTCTTTTACATAAATAAATTGTAAAAAAAAGTAATCCCTCCCCAAACCCCTCCTCCCCCTCTCACTCACTCTCTCTCTCTCTCTCTCTCTCTGTTCCCTCCCTCCCTCCATCCATCCCTCAGCCGTCGCAATCGTCGTCGTCGTCCTCTCCTCTCTCTCACTCACACACACACACACACCCTCTCCTCCTCCCCACCACCACCTCCAGTTTGGATGCCGCCGCAGCTGCTGCTGCTTTTGTTGCTGCTGCTGCCCGGAGCCTGAGAGGGAAGAAGGGAAGAAAAGAGAGAGAGAGAGAGAGTGTGTGAGAGAAAATCAGGAGAAGAAGAAGAAGAGAAGAGAGAAAAAAAAATACTAATCACATCATCATCATCATCCAGAGAGAGAGAGAGTCGGAGATAAACCGTATAATAATGTCCATGAAACAAGCCAACAGCCGCAAACCCGGCGGCGGGGGGGGAGGAGGAGGCGGAGGAGGAGCGGGGGGGAGACAGTCCGCCGGCAGGTAATGTACCTCACGCGCACCGGCTTGGCTTAAACTTTAACCCGAGGCTTTGCTAGGCCTCGTTCTCTTTCTCGCGCTCGCTCTCTGTCTCTGCGTCCCTCTCACTCTCACTCACTCACTCTCTCACTCAACTCTCTCTCCTCACTCTCACTCAAGCCGAGCGGGAGGGAGATAGTCCGCCGGCAGGTAATGTACCTCCTCTCTCTCTCTCTCACACACACACACACACACACACGGGTTTGACTCAAACTTTAACCCGAGGCTTCGCTAGGCCTCTCTCCCCCTCCTCCCCCCCTCTCTCCCTCCCTCTCTCCCTCTCAAGCCGAGCTCCTCCTCGGGTTCGTCCGCTTCGACGTGACCGAACTGAACGATGACGGACGAGGCAGCGCCCGCAAGGCCCCCGGGCCCCCGGGTCCTGACCGGGTCCGTCTCCTCACCACACGGGGCCTAGTCACTAGTCACTAGTCAGGCCTCTGCCTCCCTCTCTCTCTCTCTCCCGGTGTCGTTCCCTCTCACCGCGGCCTAAAGTAAAGGCGAACGGGCGCCCGGCGGCTCTGCCCGGGCCCAGACCCGACCAGACCGCACCGGCCCTGTCGGTGTCGGTGTCCGTATCGAAGGGCAACGCGCCGGGGCCTTGTTTCCCCCCCTCCCCCCCCCTCTCTCTCTCTCTCTCTCTCTGAGGGTGTGTGTGTGGGAGAGGAGAAGGGCTTTTTTTGTGTAAAAAAAAGTATTATTTTAACGTTAAAACAAATGCGTCTCATTTATTTTTTTTGTATGTGTGTGTGTGTGAGAGAGATCCATCCACCGCCCGAGGCGTTGGCGGAGGATTTTGTGAGAATCCTTTTTATTTATTTGATTTGATTTATTTAATTTATTTGCTTATTTATTTATTCCTTCCTTCCCCTTTTTTTTGCAGGTCTCACACACACACAAGTCAGCTTCCCCACCCCCCCCCCCCACACCCACCCCCCCACTCCCTTAATTTTTTTTGAGGGAAAAAAAATGCGATTGAGGCTTTTTATTTTCTCTCATCTCTCTTTCTCTCTCTCTCTCTCACACACACACACACACACACACACACCACACATATCCACACACACACACACACACACGCGCGCGAAAAATACGATCACTGGAATATAGTCCAATAACCCCTTTTCAACGCATTAACGGTATCTCTTTCCCATCTTCTTCCCCAACACAAATGTGATGTTATTCCAAACCGACCGGCCGGCCGGTCAATTAATTGTATTAATGCTCCGTTCATCTTTCTTTCGCGCTCAAAAAAATATCCGGCGGCGATGGTAGTCCCAAGACGCCGGGCGAAATGATGTTTTTTTTTAAAAAATGTTCCCGTGAGAGGTTAAACCCATGTACGGTGACAGTTTAAACTGCCCTTTCCATGGCGACCCTGAGTGCGTTTCTGAAGCAAGTGTCAGGCGAGAGTTGGAGGTTGAATGAATTACACACTCAAAATGGTTTTCTGGTCGTGAAGCCCTCAAATAGAATGAGTAACACTTTTCAAATGAAATGGCTGTTGTCCGACCAGGACTGTTGGGATCTTTCTTGTGCGTTTTTTTTTACTAAAATGTACTGAGCAGTTTCACTCCTGTGTGTTGTTTGGGGGAAATATTCCACACACTTTAACCTTGACGGTTGAGGCCTTGACCTGGGATGTGAGGCTACTCGCTTCAAATCTGGGTGAATCTTTTCCTTTAGGAGGATGGTCATTTGGGGTGGGGTGGGGGGGGGGGGGTAGGTGTAAAGGTAAATGAATCCCGTTTCCCTGCGGTGGAACCAGCTTCGAGGTGATGTGTTTGCCTAAACAAGATGCTGAAGTATTTTTGATAATTGACTGGCATTTTCTGGCTCCATCAATGAGACTTCGGAGGTAGATAGATCCTCAATTCTACAGACCAAAAGACGAATAGTGGATAGGGATGTTTCTGGCTGTGTAAGTATTGCAAACGAATAATAATCCCTCAAAAAAAATTGGTCATTTCAATCCACGACTGTTTATGGGACACTGCTGAGCGCAATTGGCTGCTGCATTTCGCCCACAAGTATACAGTCAATTCACTTTACAGTCTATTCTGTGAAGCACTTTGAGACGTCTAGAAGACGTGAAAAGCGCTGTATCAAATGCAAGGATTATTATTGTCATTATTGTGAGGGCAATAGTTTTTTTAAATTGACATTTTTATTTATTTTACAAATAGCTTTTAGTAGCTGAAAACTCGGATGTGCTCAGTCATTGCTTTTTTTTGGCATAATTACTTGGACAATATGTGACTGTTCTTGGGAATGTAAAGTGCTAATCCTGCATATCAACACCCCTTGGAACTGTTGCTTCTTAAGAATACCATCCAAAAATCACTGTCTCTAGTGTTGATGAAGTGAATTTTGAATAGTTCCACTTTAAAGGATTCTGTTCTTGGAAAGTCTCTGTTTTGGCCTTCATAAACATTGAGTTTCAGCTGAAGTCACAGGATCCGGAGCCAAGGTGAACTTTGAAATGTAACCGTTTTTATTGGCGCAAAACATCTTCTCTGTACTCATGGGTTCAGACTGATCTGCCAAGTTCTGGATTCATGAGTACTTTCCACTCGTTCTTTTGGTCTCTTCCTCTTCACTGAAAAGAAACATTAATGTGATCCACTCCTTATGTTGTCTCAAAGTGCAACGAGTTATTCTGAAGTTGAGTAGGCCACTTCGGTAACTAATCTTTCCAGCAGGGCTCCACATGTGAATGTGGCTAAAGGAATATTGTTCTCCAGGGCACGAGGAGAACTAACTTTTTACTCTTGAAAGTAGTGCCATGGGATTCTTAGCATTCATCAGAACAAACAGACAGGACCTTGGTTTAGCTTTTCATCCAAAGGATGGCAAAAATATCCCTCAGTGTTGCGTTGATGCATCAGGTGACGAGCTCAAGTTCAGGTCTTGCTGAGTGACGTAAGATTCCATGGACAGGTGTGAGCAACCGACTGGTACCTTTGCAAAAGTGTCACACTTTGTGTTCCAAACAGAGTTGGCACAAAATCCAGATGTGTAATTTCCAGTGAGGGATGGGGGGCACTGAGCAATGATCAGAAGAACCAGGTTTCCCTTCCCTAGTCTTGGGCACTAAGTCTAGCTGCAGGATTTCAGTGACTGACTGGGGTGAGATAAGCCAACTTAGCACAGATCAGGGACTGAACCTGTGACCTGAAACAGTCTGCTGTTTCCGTATCTGACAAAACCAAGGAGTGGAAGGAAGTCTTTCATCATGAAATCCAATGTGATGGCATAAGATCAGCGTTCATCCCGTTTAGCGTTTGGTCACTGCAATCCTATCATATTACAAGTTAAAAATCAAATTTGTCTGGAATGTTTCTTGTGGGTTGAGCACTGAATAAGTGAAGTTTGACTAATTGCTTTCAAGCACAAATTAGATAGATTTCTGTTAGGAAATAATATCTCGATTCAGTATATAGTTTGGGACATGTCATGTGACTGCCAGGGTGGTGGAAGGCGAACTGGATGGATCTTGGTCTTCTGCCTAGCAAATTTTTATGTTATGTTTTTTATGTAATTGCAGCTGTCTTGATCCATGCATTAGCAAGCTAGTTACAAGTTTTTAAATTAGGGTTCAACAAGCATCTACTTAGCACAGTTTCATTTGTAAACTCATCTTACGTTACTGTACTGTAATTTTTGTGCAAGAGTAGGTGAAAGAAAGTCATTCAGCAGTCAGCAGCGCAGTTTCTCTTTCTGCATGCCCCCTCCTGGATGATTCACCGAACCGGTTTAGCCATGGAATCTATTGTGAAATAATTTCCAAGATGAGATGATTTGCCTAATATTGTGCTTGGGAATATTCTATTTATAGAAGAAAATGTCACAACACCAAACGTAGGCAAATTACTATTTCAGTAGCTAGTAGTTGAGTTTGGTGTAGTTTTGCAACAGATAGCTTATCAATAAGGTATTTACATTTGGTAGTGTCCAATTTTACTAACTTTCCAACCTCGAATCTCTTCCCTAATAATAATAATAATAATCCTTGCATTTTATATAGCGCCTTATCACTTTGTTGAGATGTTTCAAAGTGCTTCACAGCATATACTGTAAAGTGGATTGACTGTATTTTGTACAGCGCTTTGGGACGTCCTCCCGACGTGAAAGACGCTCTATAAATGTAATTTTGTTGTATTTGTAGGCTATCGGCTATTAAAATGGTAATGATTCTTCCATCTCCACAACCATCTCCACACCCTCGCCCATTTTTTTAAAAAAAATGAAACACTTAACGTTGTTTTCAACCCCACTGAACTGGCTGCTAAGGCAACGTTTTCAGATTTTATTTGCCCCTTTGAAGTAACTTTCCCCTAACTGTTAATGGCAGACCATCTATAGCAGTGTTCCAGATGTCAACCTGCTCTTTTGGCCAACCAAGTTGTGCAACCAACTCGTGCAAACTTTGACATCTTTAGTATTTCCCATTAAATGGAAACAGTTTGGAGACTGTAGTGCATGTGTATACGTTTGCTTTGAGTTGAATACTTTTTAATTTGAATGTACATTTATGTAGATACATGTAGATTTATTTTTAGGTGAAAAGGAAACGATTTGCAAATTGTTAACAAGCATTTGAAATCATGTGAATGTTGTCAATATTTGAATGTGTTTAACATTAACTGATCTTGGCAATTCTTTCAGTGCTGTATTTCCTGTATTTGTTTTTTGATAGGTGCCAAATGTAATTGCTTCACTTATTTTAGACATAACTGCCTTCTTCTTCAAATACACTTTAATCTAAATGTTTGACATAAGTTTGATATACTCCTCTAAGGATAAACTGCTGTGATTTTTTTNCTTGGTCGTTTTGATGTAGTGTCAATATTTATCTGTTGGTATAACATTATGGATAAGGTCATGCAAATCTTCTATCCTGTAGTTTGCTCTTGCATGTCTCTAACAGTGAGCAAGAGAGAGAGATCTCAGAAAAAAAAACATGCATTAGTTTTAGCTGAACAGATAAATGGTTAAATTGCACAGAGAGATCACAGCATTAATGGTACTATAATGTGAATTTTTGTAAAGGTGCAATTGGAAAGTTTGTCTCGTAACATTACAAGAATCCAGTTATCCGGTTATGTAAAAATGGCATAAGAAATTGCCTAATGTTGTCTTTGTAGCCCACTCTCTTGACCTGTAGCTTGCTTGGATTCCGCTGGCCCGAAGGATATCCTAACCCTAATTAGATAGAGGTAGACTGAACATCTCCAAGTGACTGATCTCACAGATTAATGGGCAAATGGATTGGGAAGCCCTGTCTTTCTTTCAAATACAGTTATAGTGCAGTTCAGGATGTTAGCCTTTTGGCCAAGAGATAGATGTATCTGAGCTAAGAAGACCATAATAACTGTTTTTCTCTTCTCGGGATCAGTAGGGTTGCCTTTGACTAAGGCAGGGTGAAGCTCTGGTTATGAACGTAGGGTTGTGAAGCAGGCATCCTGTTGGCATGAGCTAGTATTTAGGGGTGTGTTATATTCTCTATAGAAATGGATATTTATAATGCCCTTACTCGCATGTACCGTACAGAGAATGAAAGGATTGGTGGAAAAATGACAGCAGTTCACATTACTTGTTTTTGTTTTCTATGTTTTGTTCACTCAAATTTGAAGCTACTTTAAATCAATACTGTCCCGCTTATGCTGTGACATTTTTTCTTTTCCCAGAGGGCGCAGTGGTGGAAAAGGACCTCCACAGTCTTCTGTAAGTACAATGTTTTACACTTAATCTATAGAAATACTTTTATTATTATGTATGCTTGGCACTTGATGCTAAGTATATTCAGAATTCTGCAGTGGAGACTTATGGAATGGAGGAAAATATTTAGGTCATTTCATTGGACTTTGTCACTGATTCTGTTTTCGTGTCTGCACGGGCCGATGCCAAACTATTTGAAATGTGTAATCCGATATTCACACACTGTGGACTATTATAACTCCCTTTCGTTGGCTTTCCTGGTTTAGGACACTGTGGCCCATTATAGTATGGCCTACCTGTGGCTCAGTACCACACCATATGATGCACATCGACCCTCAGCTCTTGGTGCTATCTCTGATTTATTTGTAGTGGGTTTTATTTGAGTGCACTTGACACAGATTTCACCCTGCATTACTGTAATACCTTTTCTTATAGTTTTACTTTTTATAAGGTCAGCCATTGAATTAATCTCACCCTGGATTGTCAATAACCTAGATTGGTTGGGTTTATTGTGATTAATTTTTAATCATTAGCACTTATTTGGAATCCAATTGATTCCAGCGGAGGACCATTTAATATCTAACGCTTCAAAGTACAAAGACTGAAATAAAACCAAGTGCCTGTTTATTTCCAATTCTAGTCCAGCTGTGCAAGATGACATTCCATGTGGAGCTACATAACTTGTTATTGCATGGTGTGTTGAATGAATAGTGCAAGTTATATTGGAAACAAACCACTGAAATAGGGCAAATGAGCACTAATGCTCAAAATCAAGTTCATGAAACATGGTTTTGTGATGCATGACTTTCTAACAAGTGAGAGAGATCTATGCTGTTCCAATATGAAGTCATAACAGCGTTTAAATGTTTTTAAATGTTTGGTCTATGTAGTGATTGAGGGTGCTATTTGACATATTGGTTTTTCCCTATCATTTGAAACACAGTAATTAAATAATAATCGTTGCTTTTGATATAGCGCCTATTGCGTTGTTGAGATGTCTCAAAGCGCTTCACAGTATACTGTAAAGCGTAGTGACTGTATTTTGTGGGCAAAATTAAAAGGACCATATGAGCATTTTGAGGTGTTGTGTGAATGGCTTTAAACTGTATAAGTGCAAGCTGTTAAGGCCATGTCTATCTCCTCTTAAAGAATTTAGGTGGTATTGACTCTTGTTTTCCCCTCATTGATTACGAAAATTCCAATTTGTGAATGTCTATTGTCCTCTAGATCCCGTATGATGGAATCTATGCAAACATGCGTATGGTCCACATTCTTACTTCAGTTGTAGTAAGTACACCTTTAACAATGAGAGCACCTTTTTAAAATGTCCTTGACATTTTGTAGCCGTGCTTGGCCACCGCAGAGAGTTCTACTGAGTTTTTAACTGAACTTTCTATTGATTCCTGTTGATGTGCGGTATTAATAGCCGAATACTGGACTAACGTGACATGGCATAATTACAATAACTTTGTCAACAAGTGTGTAAAAACCAACAGAAAGTGGTGATCCTGCATAACCCAACTCCTACCCTCCCCTACCCCCAGGAATAGTGTAAAGCCGTCTCCATGAACTCCACATCATGTGTTCCACCCAGAAGTGATTATGAGGCAGTATCGGCGGGAGGGGCTGTCAGACTATTGTCACTTTGTCCTCGTGCTTTATGATGTCACCTGAACCGAGTCTGAGATCAATGGTCTTTTCGTTCACTCGTGGGAGGGAACCGGTTGCGTATTCTTTACCGTGGGTAGAGCTTCCTTGTAACCAGACTGATTTCATGGTAAACCTGCAGCGTTACCAGCATAGATTTGTTGAACTTCGGAGCACGTTGAGGAGATGGACCACCTCAGCGCCTGATAAGATTCTGGGAGTCTAGAATCTTATTAAATCCCCTTTCTCTGATTTCTCAATAAGAGGTAACTTACAGTGGTAGAAGCCTTAAAAGTAGTTGTTGTAGATTAAGTGGGACCTGAGTTATAGGTCACCCAAAGAGGAGACCGCCTCCCGTAATCCCGTAGCAAGCAATTTGCAAATCTATTAGTGATTTGTTTTTAATGGAACGGTACTCGGCATTGAAAGTGAGTGACTTTCTCTTCAAGTTTTCCGTGCTGTGAGTGAATGCCCTTGTTTAGGTTACTTCTGTAATTGGCCTTGGGTATTGGTTGTACATTGTTCTTGTTCCATAATTTACGCTGCAAGTTGGTGGTGGGGGAGCGAGAGAAAGAGGAGAGAAGTCTGAGAAAGCAGCTGAATTGTTTACTGGGAAATTGAACATTAGTGCTCGTCTTTGATCAGCTTAAGTTGATCTTAACAGTTGAAACTTATCTCTGAATTGTTGCCATGCAAATGAGATGGAATGTGATCCTTTTTTGCCACTAAAGTATACAAAATACAAACTTCTTGTGTGTTCATTTTTACAGGGTGCAAAATGCGAACTAAAAGTGAGGAATGGAGGAATATATGAAGGCGTTTTTAAAACCTACAGTCCCAAGGTAAACAGATTATCTAATGGTGGCCTTTAAACGTGATTGCTTAAATGTGCCTAAAAATATGATCGATAGAGTAGACAACAACAAATTGTATCTATAGAGCACCTTTCATGTCAGGAGGATGTCCCAAGGAACTGCACAGTTGAGAATGTGCACTCAAGTTGAGTGTTGGTTTTGGGAGGGCTGTGGGGGAGGGGAGGATGACCGAAGACAGACTTGAAGGAGGTGAGGGAAGCAGCAAGGCAAAGGGCGCCATTCTGTCGTTCCAGAAAGTGGGGGCAGAAAGGGGGCGAGGAGAGGGAGTGGGTGGGTTAATAGGGTTTGCTTATAATTTGCTTGCTGCACACTCGCACGGTGAAATTACGAGTCGTATGATGCGGAGGCACTGACTGACCAGACCAGTGCTTTGCCACAAGGTGTTTTGGAATTTTGTGGTCACCCCTGCAGCGACCCCTTTATAATTGGGTTCTACTGTATCACAATGAGAAATTTAACAAACGTCTACAACACATGCCCAGTGGTTACAGCCTACTTTTTTAGATCACATTTATAGAGGCAATGTTAAGTGCTTTACTTTATTGAGATTTCTGAATTCCAGTGTGATTTGGTGCTTGATGCTGCTCACCGGAAGAACACTGAATTCAGCTCGCGTGACCCTGGGCCCAAGCGAGAAGACATTGTGGAAAGCATCATTTTTAAATCTGCAGATGTCGTAATGCTGCATTTTAAAGATGTCGATTTAAATTATGCACGAAGAGGTAGGTTTCCCTTTTGAAAATTCCTACCAGCTAGGTTTACAATGCAATAGAGATCATCATCTTGATTGATCATGTTTGATGTTTTATTCGAAGGAATGTTAATGTTCTTGAGAGAGGATCAGAGTTCAGGCATCTGAAATCCCTAGTTTTTTTTAGTTTGCCGGTTGTATATTACAACAACAATTCCCTTTCTCTGATTTCTCAATAATAACAAATTAATTAGTTTTTCTGTTAAGTGCTAGTGCAGAACATCATTCTGAAGTTCACATATCTTTAAGTTGCGTTAAAGGATCAACCCTTTTTAATTACAAACCAAATCCAAACTAAACTGCCCCATATTTTAATTGACTCACTAGTTTTGGAAAGTTGTATTTTTTTTGTTGTAAGATGCTGCTGGGGTATTTTAAGTATTAAAAAGAATAATCCTTGCATTTGATATAGCGCCTTTTTTCACATTGAGACATCTCAAAAAGCTTCACAGAATGTACTGTAAAGTGGATTGACTGTATTCTTGTGGGTGAAACACGGCAGCCAATTGCTGTATTAGTATTGTATTGAAAATATAGATACTGTAGGTCTAAAATGAGGGATTCAGTCTCCTGTGAATGCAACTCTGACCTGCAAGAGCTGCTGTCCGACATGCCCGGATTGGGACAGAGTCGAATTCCTGTGGATTGGCACGACGCACATTGGGTGACCAAAGGGATTTGCTATTTACGCATCCCGTTGCAAATACTTCTATTTTAATCCCCCTCCCCCACCCCATGGAGATTGGATAATAAAGGAAATGAGAAGTGGCCTATTGGGGCGGTTGGTCATTGTGCTCTTAAAAGTTGGAGTTGAGCATTGTGACAAATGGAATCTCCTCTGCAGAATGTTTCGTCTGTTTCTCTGTGGCGTACTATACTCGTTCAACACTATTATACAAGTGTGCAGTGAACGCATTTGAATTATCTTAACGCAGCTCAAAGTGAAACAAAATTCACATAGACACTATCTGGCTGATGTATTGAGCAGTTTTTCAAAAATTATTCTGCCATAGACGGGCGGTATTAAAATAAAATGTGTTCTATTGAACTTGTTATTGAAATTTAAACTTGGTTTATTATTTGCTGGGTTTGTTGCGGTTACTCAGAACAAAGTGAAAAATGCTCCAGTTTCCTTCACCTTGACAAAACAGAATATTTTAATAGGTGAATGTTACAGTTAATTTTTCTTGTCAAAGAATGATAGTTGTTACTTTCTATATTTTGTTTATTGACATTGTTCCTTTCCCCCATCTTCTCTCTTTCTCTCCTCTCTCTGACCACTGTAGTTCCATCTGAAACAGGTAATACTGATATTTACTTTGTTTTACAGTTGCTAGGCATGTAAATTAAATTTGGACTGTTAGGTTGGGTTGACGTGGTGCATTTAAGATTTATTAGAAGATTTATTTACTGTAATTGATTCCTTTTAAGTGACTAGAAACTGAAAGTCCATCTTCTTACAGTTGTTTGTTGCCATTCCTCCAAGTTTAACTAATTTTAGATTTGTTTTAAAAAGGATATTTTTCTCAAGTTGTTAATAACCTCATGCCATATGAATTACTCCTTAAGTGGATTAAACTGTACACATAGTGATGTCATGTTGCAGATGCTAATTAAACAGTTGTATAAATCTGAATATATTGTGTATGGAACGTTCATAAAACGGATTCAACATTATAAGGGCCGGGATCACATTTGCTAAACCGCATGAGCTGTGCTTTGTTTTTGAGTGCTTATTGCTAAGGTGTACAGCACTAAATGCAATAATGAGGGAATCTGATAGATTTTTGCTTTATACAGTAATGTTTTAAAGGTACTTGTTCTAAGTTAATTTTTGTAAGTGCTGCCTGCATTAGAATAAGGTTGCGACCATCAATGTTAAGATAACAGTTGTGGACTCCAATCACTGATGTTTCAGTAAACTTTCCCTGACGGGATTAAAGAAATTTCTGGTGTTTGTATAGCTCTGCATTTTCAGCAGTGGTTGAAGCCCTGCGATGATGTCGTTGCCGAAGTGAAACAAAAGCCCACTTTTCAGCTTGCTTAGCATGTTCGGCGCTTATACAAAGCGCAAGGCAGTGACTGGCCTGTTTCTGAAAGGCTTTGTTTGTGAAGGAAGTGGCGCCATACTTTTTTTTTGTGTGCTGCTTTTACAGTTTTGTTGCAAGTGCTGGCAGTCGGATTTCTCCTGAATTGAGTCGCATCTAATTTGTTGGCTGGGCTTTAAATATCTTAATGTCGTGTCCGAGCTTGCAGGGAGTTTTTGCAGCACCGAGGAGCAGAACAGCTGTTGTACATGTGCAAAAATACTGTTCCCCAACCTGTCTGTAGTACTTTGTATTTTGTTCCTTCTTAACCTAGTGAGACAGGGAGAGCTCCCAAGTTTAGTCATTAAACCTTTAGTGAGAATCTCACATTGTTTATTAAAATGTAAAAAAATTATTCAACAGTTTGGCAATCTTAAGATTACATTTGAGGATGACTGTGTCTCCCATAACAGACATAAGACTTGCCACATTCATTGGCTTTGGGATGGAAACATTTGCCCCTTTTCTGATGAGGTGAAGTTGGTGCTGCAAGATCAGAAATTTTATTCTCAATGGATATCAGCATAAAAAACACACTGGAAACCTCTGGGTTACCATTTAGAAAATGATGCACAGAATTAGAAAATTGTTCTGCACTGCAGTGGGTAAAGTACAGACACTCGACCTATCAACTACTTTTAAGCCCGCAGTTCTATGTTGGTTGCCGGCAGGCTATAATCTGTTTAATAATACTGTAGTTGGCAGAAACCTATTACTGCAATTCACATAATGTAGGTTGAACAAAACTAATTGCATTGAACAATGCACTGGAGTTTAGGTCATGTGTTTGCACTTTACCAATTGACATTGTGTGTGCGTTTGACAATGTGATTGCAGGGGAATGGAACGTATTTAAAAGCAAAATGATTAGAGCAATAAATTAGGCAAAAATCTTCAGATTGAATTGATTTCACCCCTTCCCTGATAACTGTTGCCCGTTGCTCATAATTGTCTGTGGGGAGAGCTTTTCCTGAGCATTGTTAATTCCCCTCTGTCGGTCATCTCTTAGCCCAGGTCGTCTCAAGACTCTTTGCAATGCTTTTTTTTTCTTGACCAACAATCAAACAAAAATGTCAGGAAACAGCTTCAAGAACTGTTTCAGGTGCTTGCAGGGCTGATCAGGACAAGATATACAGTGCTTCCCTCTATATCCTGTTGAAACCTGACATGATGTATTTGTCTGCCTCACATTTCTACTTGGGTTATCGAGTCTCTCTGTCGGCAACTCATTTTGCAGTGCTACTGAACCCAGCAGGCTGTTGGAATTGGTTGGTTATCTCTGGAGCTCAGAAACGACCGCTTTTTCTTTATGGAATCGGCATAATCTGTGGATGAACATCCAGCCTTGTGTTTGTGTACAGTATTTGTATACAGCATCTCAAATATGCAGCTCAGTGACTATTGATTGGAACCAGCTCTGAATGTTGGGTACTGATTGCACTGAGTTGAAATCTTGTTAAAATTCCTGTCTTGTCGCATATTCTTCACTGGCTTACTGCAACCCAGCATTCTTTTCTTGTGGATCAAACTCTGCATAATTCATGTGGCTTGATCCTACTTACTCAGTGCTCTCCTTGGTTGTTGGATCCTGTTTTGGCATTCCTACCTTTAACCCCCACCCCACCTCGGGTGCTGGTGACGTGTGTATTTTGCCCATTGAACCAGAATACTCCCTTTCAGCACTGAGTACTGTACCAGCAAGATGCAGGGTCTCCATTCAGCTGCCAGGATCTGTCCATTTATGCTTCAGTACTCGTCATTCAGCACTCAAGGTCATCCATCTCTGGTTGGAGGCTTTATACTAATGAATGCTAAAATGCAGGAAACTTTATGCAGTTTCTTCCCACAAGTGTTGCTCAGGAAACAGAATTACTCAAAATATGGTCCATTATTTATTCACCACTATCAGTTTCCAAATCATTCTACTCTTGGCGATGTAGTAATATGAATATATATAATATGCTATATATATATATTGTATATCATTTGTAAATAAAGTGATTTCTATCACAGGCTTTGTAGTGTCTCTATGTCCTGCTGTATTACATAACAATGTTTTGTCTGTTTTCAGATTTGAAGTAATTTTAATTGTATCAGTTTGCTTATCATTAAAATAAGTTTTTGAGACATTTCTGCTCTGAATGTAATAATTACCTGTTTCAGATGCTTTCACGGATGCTGCCATCGGCTCTAGAGTAAACGGTGAGCACAAAGACAAAGATCTAGAACCGTGGGATGGTGGCGAAAGCACCAGTGAAGATTTGGAAACCTTGGAGTCTGATGTGGTAAATAGGCTATTATGCTTTGATGCCTTGGGACAGTCACTATAGTCTGAAATGCAGATCACTGGCATTCAGAGATGATCTGAATTTCAAACAGGTGGTTTGTAAAAGCTTTGATTCTTTCCACATGAGGAATAACTAGCATTTTCCACATGCTGTTACATAAATCTTGATTCCGAGACAAAACACCAAATGATTGAGTCTTCCTGAACTGATCGGTTATGACCTTTTTTTTTACAGCTTGTGCACGTGTACTGAGACTCTGAAGTGAACAGCATTCTAGTTCTAAAGTTATTGTCTTGTCCACCACTCCCATTATATTTGGAGTGAGCTGTTTGGAGCTTATTCACTGTGTGGGGCTATTTGTGTTGTTTACCACTGAAGGGAGCCTGCTTTATTGTATGGATTGAAGCTATTTGGCGGGGTTTGATTAAGATTTTTTTTTTCCCCTTCCATCAGTCTAATGGTTGGGATCCCAATGACATGTTCAGATTTAATGAGGAGACGTATGGAGTGAGATCAACCTATGACAGCAGCTTGTCCTCCTATACGTAAGTAGAGAACATTTCAGTTGTGGTACCTCTTTCATATAAAACCTGCTCTTTCACTTGTCAGTTTTCTCTACCCTTTTCTCCCGAAGGTATTTAACTAGGAGTGCTGCTTTATTAGTGCCTGTGATACTTTGCCCAAGTGGCCGTTATTTATGAATTAGTTATGGCCACAGTAATTTTGCTGCTGCTGTTTGTGTCACAGAGTACCCCTGGAAAGGGATAATTCTGAAGAATTTCTAAGACGGGAGGCCAGAGCGGCTCAACTTGCTGAGGAGATTGAATCCAGTGCCCAGTATAAGGCAAGAGTTGCTTTAGAAAACGACGAAAGGACAGAGGAAGAGAAATATACTGCGGTTCAGAGAACTCCTGGCGAAAGAGAGAGGGAGAGTCATGGTGTGAACTCCAGGTACTGACTGCCCTTATTTTCCTTTTACACACAGTCTGAATGCAAAGTCTTTTCTCTGGGATTTTTATTTCTATTGAAGTGCTTTCATCATCTCCTTGCCAGGGAATGACAGGAACAAAAAAGCCTTGTCTTAATAGATCTCTCTCCACAGTGCACGTCATTAATTTTACATGTGGAATTGAAGTTGCAGCACACCATGTGCAATTTGCATTCATTTGCACTTCACTAAGATTGCAGATGTGACCGGCACTGATTATTGTTTTGTTTGAAGTGTTGAGTGGTTGACTAAAATAGGTGAGCGTTTTTTTTAAGCAAAGTTGTAGGCTATCTGAATTTGACGTGAACATTTTTTTCACCTTTTTTTTTAGTTATTTTTGCTCGTCTCCATAAGGGGCTCTGCTGCACCGTGTTGTGTGTGCATGCACGTAAGCACGCATGTGTGTATAATATAGTCGTAAATTGCTTTTGCAATCCAGAATATCCTTAATTTACTAACTTTGGAAGTTGAACCTCATAATTTTTAACAGCAGCTATTTGTAACCTCGCAGTATTTGAAATTGACTTTGGAAATTAGTCTGAGGGCGAGTTTAATTTTTAATTTTTTCCCCCCCCCAGAGAAAATAAATACATTCCACCAGGCCAGAGGAACAGGGATTGGGGGAGCACACGTCAGCATTCACCAAGGATCGGACAATCTGGCCCACCATCTTCCCGGGCTGGGTCACACACCCCAGATTACAGCCCTAATCCTGGAAGCGACCAAAGAGTTGTTAACGGAGGCAAGTCTTTGTAGTCGTTTAAAGACTGAGGCAAAAACCTGGACAATGTTAATAGTCATAGAGGTCATTAGCCTGTTTTGAAGGAACGAACAGACCAACTCCATTTGAACAGTTGTGCACATTACTCTGGGTTTCACGTTGTACGGAAGTGTGTGAAGGCTTGAATGGAGTCGTCTTGTTCATGAAATTCTACAATCGGGAAGTTGATGATAATGAGGTGTCCGTCTATAATGTGCAAAAAAAAAAGAAATGCGCGCTCAATCAGACCCACTATGTCATTCCAGGCAGGGCGAAACCTTGGGCAAGTTTCCTTACTCCACACGCCTAATAATAATCCCTCCAAAAAAAAAAAAAAAAAAAAAAAAAAAAAAAACAATAATTAAATTGGTCATTTTCAATCTACGACTGTTTGTGGACATTGCTGTGCGCAATTGGCTGCCGCGTTCGCCCACAAATATACAGTCAACTCACTTTACAGTATATTCTGTGAAGCGCTTTGGGACGTCCTCCCGACGTGAAAAGCGCTATATCAAATGCAAGGATTATTATTATTATTATTATTATTATTTACAAGGTTTGAAGTCCATTCACTTCCAATTTGTTGATGCACATGATCGATGGTATTTAGGTTCAAGTGATGCTTGCTGTTCATTGTCAGTTAGTTTAGCCAAATTGAACATGGGATAATCCTAATCTTGGGGGAAGACCTAGAATGGAAAATCATGAAATGTCAAGTCAGTTCACTTTACAGTACTTCCTGTGAAGCGCTTTGAGACGTCTCAAAGACGTGATAAGGCGCTGTATCAGATGGAAGAATTATTATTATTTACTATGATGGACTGGATGGTGGTTGGTCTCAGTGCACCTCAATATCACGAATTTTGGGAAATCCCATTGTCAAAACGTATTCTAAATGGGTGGAGGGAATATCCTAGAAGCAAATAACATTCAATTTATATACATGCTGGGCATGTTCTTTTTTCATTTTGGCATTACACGATATATTGAACTTTTTTAAATTCCGCTTTAATTATTGTTTCAAAAATCAGTTTGAAAAGCGCAACATTATGATATCCAGGCTGGAAGGTTATCGTTTTTTTTTTATTTGTCGCAGTTTTTAAACTAAAAGTTTTTTCTGTTGCTTGTTTTCCCTCTTTTTTTTGTTCTTTAGTTTTTTTTACTTTCCTTCATATCGTTTGTCCTGTCAGGTGTTTCCTGGCAACCGCCTTGCCAATCTCCTTCCTCACGCCCACCTTCTCGATACCCGTCAAGCCCCAACTCTCTTCCACCTCGAGCAGCCACTCCTACCAGGCCCCCCTCCAGGCCCCCCTCACGGCCTTCAAGGCCCTCGTCTCACCCCTCTGCTCACGGTTCTCCAGTTCCTGTCTCTACTATGCCTAAGCGCATGTCTTCAGAAGGTACCTCAGTCAGTCTAGTCTGTCCATGTGTCTGCTGTTCAGTTTCTCTGTCGTGACGTCTTGCAGTTTTTGGTTTTAACACTTTACTTAAACTAACCTGTGCGGTGTTTGAAAGCTACTTAAGTAGACTTAATTCATCTGATTTATCAGTTCTTTTGTGTTTAACCACCCTTCCTCTGTGCTTAAAAGCAAAAATTATACATTTATGGTTTTAATTTATATTTGAGGGGATTCAAAAAAATTGGTAGTAGTTACGCAGTAAAATGATTCAGCGCAATAATATCTCATGAGCCAAATGATATGTGGGCATCTCTCTGATGTGTAAAGGCTTTCCTTTTATGCAATCAGCCATCTTGAAATATTTTCATTCGTACCGCATCATGGTTTAGTTTGGAGGGGAAAAAAGATAGTAACATTTCACGTGGCCTTTTGTGATCCCAATCCATTCCGCCTCGCAATATTGTCACACGATTTGAGTGTTGCATGGGGGTAAAAACTGCAGAAGAATTGGTAAGAGACCAGAGTTCAGTTGTCGTTAATCTTTCAACAAACTCTAAATGGGTAATAAATAAGGTGATTGTGAACTGGTATCCATCGAATCAGACTGTAACCAGGTATTGTACTGTTGATTGCATACACAAGTGTTTTTCCATGCCTCCTGCACTACACCACTTTCATTTTATATAAGAGTCTGCTCTGCGTTCATTTGCTGAAGGGTTTGCTACTCGCTGCTGTGTGAGAAGCAGCTGTGAGAAAACTGCATGTTTAACACGTTGAAATGGACAAAACCTTGACGCATGGAAATCTATTGGAAGGAATGGCCTGAAGAAACCTTGCGGTGTTTGGAATGCTTTGTGAGGCTTGTGTTTCAAGCAGAACTAATCCCTTCTGTTGCAGATATTGAGTTATTGATAGAATGAGGAGGGTGAGCATGCGTGTTGAACTGCAGAATGAAAGTACAAGTCAAAGGAATAGTTTCATTGGTGCAGTAGTAATACAGTAAAATCCTGATAACTCGACCTTGCCTTAATGCGTCACTACCACTTAAGTCAGTCATCGTGCTGCCAATATGCCGGCTGCATTTATTTATGTATACATATGCCTAACTCGCCTCTCCAGATACCTGTCACTGACCTTTTTCTCTTGGAGTGACGAGTTATCTGGGCATTTTTATGTATTTGAGCAAATTGAGCAGACCTCGTGCAGCCATCTTGGCTGATTTTCCATTCAGATTCTAACTCCCTAACCCATCCCACCCTTGAAAGGCCACCTTTGGTAGATTTGATTTTTCTTGTGGGGGGGTGGGAGAAAGATGGTAAGAAGATTGATAGCTATGATTGAGTTAAATACAGGAACTTTTGTTCTAATAGATTATAGTTATCTACATGAAAAATCAATGAACAGCCGGCTTCCAGGGGCTTTACAGACATTTCCTCCCAATAAGTGGTCCCTTTATGGATGGGAACCTTTTTACATGAGCGTCCCCCAAGAGCTAACAACGCTTAGCCCACTTGTCCCGTACTAGATCTATCCAGACTGTGGACAGAGGAGCAACTAGCAGATAAACTTGTTACAATATCAGTGCTTAGTTTTGCAACGTTTGATTGTGATGTTGGAGGGAACATAAATGTAGAGATTTATTGGTTCGCGTGGTCTCTGATAACCAGGTAGCTGAGTTATGGCTGAAAGGTACCATGTTGCTCATCCCATGTGTTCTCTTTGTGCCATGAAGGTCCTCCACGGATGTCGCCAAAGGCCCAGCGTCACCCCCGACACCGCGGTTCCTCTACCCGGGGAGGGATGTCCTCGGGCTCGGAGTTTGTCCCTCACAGTGTGTCTGGAGACATTTCTGCCCCCGTTCCTCGAAACAGTCCTTCAGGAGGGACATGGTCGTCTGTTGTTAGTGGAGGTAAAACATTTAACATAAAACGAAGAACGAAAGCAATATGATGCAGATTTACATTTATAATATAGAATGCCTTTCACATCATGAGGGTGTCCCAAAGCACTTGGCTGTACTGGCTGGGCACCCGAGCTGGGGGTGGGGAGAGGAAAGATAACCTAAAGTGCAGTCGAAAAGATGAATGAATGTGTTCAGACATCGCCATAAACCTCCTTTACCAAAACCAATAATAGCTTACAAATGTTTCACGATGTTATAACCAAGCTGCTAGACTATTCTGTACCAAAAATAGACGAGCGCCTTTCAGGTTGGGAGGATGTCCCAAGGCGCTATGACATTCTGTCAGTGGTGATTTTTTTATTGCATCTAAAGACCTATATTTTGCCACTACATATGCACCTTGTGGGATATTATTGTCCTGAAATGTTAATGCAGCACTTGTTCAAACTAACTTTCTGTTTTAAAACTTCAGGATCAAGTTCCCGTTTGTCTCCCAAGACACACCGGCCCCGGTCTCCCCGGCACGGCAACCCGCCTCCTCAGTTTAACACTGGAGGTGCTTCGAGTGGGATGATCCTGTCTTCCCCTCAGCCTGGCAGTGGTCCATCCGATCCTGTAACCATGCCGACCACTGCAGTGTCTCCTGCCCCAGCCAGCCCTGCCCCCGAACAGGGCTGTCACCCCTTCAGCCGAGGGTAAGTTTCGGAAATATTTCATTTCCTCTCTTTTTCCTCTCATTCTATTGTAATTGTGTATCACAACCTGTTAACTTTTTTTTGCTGGCTGATATTAGACTTGGAGTCCCATAGCATAGTGGTTAGTGCGCTCGACTCGCAAGCGAGAGGACCCGGATGGGGCGAAACCGTCCAAAATTTCCTTACTTCGCATTCTAGTAGTGAGTAGGAACCCAGTTGTTAGTCGATAAATGGATTGTTTTCTGGGGATAATAATCTTTCCTCTCTCCGGCCCTCCTCCCCACTGCCCCCACCCCTGAAAAAAAATAGTTCACTCAATCCTCGAATGTTTGTGGGACACTGCTATGCACAATTGGCAGCCGTGTTTCACCTATAAAATACATAGTCAGTTCCCTTTACAATATAATCTGAAGCGCTTTGAGATGTCTCAACAATGTGATAAGGGGCTATATCAAATGCAAGGATTCTTATTATAATTATAGACTGAGTAACCGCTCAGTAATGCTGCTAATCACCAGATTTAGTTGGATGAAATGCTTGCTGGTGGTTTTGGATGTGATGTAGAGGAGCTCCTTTTTCCCTTTGGCGGATATTCCCATTTCCTAGGCACCAGTTTCCAAAAACTAATTGACCAGAGTTTGGGTTTGTCCGTAGCTAAAGAGACCAGACTCCAGGAGCAAAAGCAGAGCTCGCCTTCTGCTAACAAAGAGGGTGCCAAGCCCATTGAGGCGTCCGCAACATCTAACTTCAGCAAACCAGGAAATAAAAGTCAGTATTATGATTGAGAAATGCATTTGTGTGTGCATGTGTATATTGTGTAAAATCTTATCCGATCACCGAATACAGTAAAAGGTGCATAAGTCTGATCTGTATAAATCCTATAGTCGCTCAATTAAGTCGTACGTCTGCCCCAAGTTCCGGTCAAGAGTTTATATTCTTTGCAAGTTTGACGAAATTCATAGTTTGTATAAGTCACGTTGCATGTATCGTCCCAACTGATACGACTTGTGTGAAGGGCTTTGAGATTACTGTACACAAATAACTTTGCATTGCGGTCGAGGAATTATTTTTTTTTGCAATCTATAGTACTATAAAATATGACTTTCTATCCTCCGGCATTGTACGGGTAGTTCAAGTTGGTTTCAGCAAAATGTTATTTTCCCAACACCGTCTTATTTGCTGTTTATTTTTTTCTCCAGTTGCACCGCCAATGGCTCTGGACCATAAAAAGCGGATTGCAGACTTGAAGAAATTCAGGGACGATTTTAGGGTAAGTGCGGAGGTGCTACCCAAAGAGAGAGAGATATATACATTAGTGCTCTAGGACACTAACCTGTGTGAGGAACACTGTATAAATGCAACTTGTTGTTAATGCAATTTATTATTGTTGCTTCCCATGAGCCTCAAGTATGTGTGCTGTAGAGTCTTCCCCCGCAATCCAAAGTGTGAAAATAATGAAGTACATTGCAGCATTAGATACCATTAGTAAAACTTGGATCCCTCCATTAGAATTCTTAAATGGGTCAAAATGAAACCCTCTCGATCCCATCTCTCTATCTACTCTTCGGCAGGGATGGGAAGGATTGCAAGGGTTCTCGGGTTTTGTTTGTAACTGAGTTTGCGTGGTAGGACAAAAATCTTCTGCCGTTTAATGTCTGCTGACCAAAAATTGTCTTCCTATTTCATACATTCCTTTTCAAGTGGCAGCAGCTTTGAGCCCAGCAGGAGGTCAGACTTGAACTATGAACAGAACTAAATAGGTTTTATTCACATTGTCGGCTTCAGCTGCTGTATTAGAGAGAGTACAGTGAGTTCCTGGTCATGGGGACTGAACGCTGTAACAGTCGGGAGTCCCATTGGGAGCACCCGAGTTTCCATTCAAGCCCTTCGGATGAGACTTTAAACCCTATTTAGGTGGATGTTAAAGATTCCAGGGCACTATTCGAAAGGAGAAGGGAGTTTCTCCCTGCCAGTATCCTGCTCAACAATCTCTTTCTCCCCCCCCCCCCTATAAAAGTTGGTCACTCACTCCACGGCTGTTTGTGGGACACTGCTGTGTGCAGCTGCTGCTGCGTTTCACCCACAAAATACAGTTAATTCACTTTACACTGTATCCTGTGAAGCATTTTGAGACTTCTCAATGTGATTGGGCAAATGCAAGGATTATTAATGTGACATGACCCTTAGTTTCAGTATCTACCAAGCTCATTTTCTTTTTCTGTTTTAGTTGCAGACGACTCCTTCTCCAGACCCAGCGGTGGATCAGTTCTTAAACAAGTCCCGAGAAGCTGGAGATAACCAACCCAAAGACCCGATCAAGGAGAAGATGGCAGTGAGTGAGGCAGTTGCCAAGGAGTCTGCCAGTGAGAGCAGCTCCAATGCTAACACCAGTAGTGCCAGCAGCAAGCCCAGCAGCCCCAGCACTTCTCCCAATACTGTCAGCGCCGAGCAGAAGAGAGGCCCAGATGTGACGTCCCAGGCCGTGCAAACCACCTCCCCAAACAGTAAACCAGAGAAAGAGGAGAAGGAAGAGAAGAAGGAAGGGACCCCAGAGTACGTATGCACAATTGAAGCCATCCTCTTTATCTACAATGAAAACTATGGCAATCTGCTCTCTCTCCCACAGTAATGAATGTGAAGCGGGTGGGGGAGGGAAGGGGATTGTGACTGAGGGTAAAGTGCTAACTTTCAGAGATCTGTTTTACAAACTAAGTGAAATGCCATCCCAATTAGCAGACGAAGCTTGTGCATCATTGGAAGCTTTTCATATCTTTTTGACTCCCCTCACCTCCTTCAAGGCCTGGCTCAAGACCCTCCTCTTCGGTCGTCCTCCTACCCCCACCCTCCCAAGCAGCGCCTTGGGACGTCCTCCCGATGTGAAAGGCGCTGTGTAAATGTAATTTGTTTTGTGTTGGGGGAGTATTCTAACAAAACTCAAAATCCATTCCCCCTAATGAAGTCCTAGGCATTTGAAACTATTATCATTTCAAATTTTGTTTTGTGGCTGTCGTTCTCACCCAGGCAGGAGACTTACTTACCTGCCCGTACCCTCCGTTCCTCTGGCTCTGGTCTGCTCCACATCCCCCGCCCCAACCGCCCTACCATCGGTGGCCGGGCCTTCAGCCTCTCAGCCCCGAGGCTCTGGAACTCCATCCCCCAGTGCCTTCGCCGCTTCCTCCCTCTCCTCCTTCAAGGCCGGTCTCAAGACCTTTCTCTTTGACCGAGCCTTCAGCTCCCCTCTCGACTCTCTACCCCCTCCTCGCTCCCTCCCTTCCCTCCCCTCACCCTGACCATTTCCCTCTGCCCGGGTCCTGACCCAACTGTCCAGCGCCTTGGGACGTCCTCCCGACGTGAAAGGCGCTCTATAAATGGAATGTTGTTGTTGTTTTACTGTTTGTTTATATTTGGATCTGCACCATCAACCTTGTGTGCTGGTCTTTCACATCAATGGCTCTAGTATCAGTAGGCAAGATTCAAATCGATTGCTCCTGGCTCTTGCTTTACCACTGGCTATGTGGCTGGATAATTGGCATTGAAACACAGGACATTTGTTCTTGGAAGTGATAGATTCTAATGCCTTCAAAACAAGCCATCCGTGCCAATGAATCTGCTCTGTACTCAGCTACACATATGGAAATGGTCACAGCTTTATAAAGTTTAACCTTTTTTTGCCCTCAGACAAGTTAGAAAATCTACATTGAATCCCAACGCTAAAGAGTTCAACCCCAAAACCTTCTACACGCCTGTAAGTTGCTCTGATTGCTCATTTATCATCACCACTGTATATTACTCAGTCGCCCTCTCTGACTGTTAAAATTAATGATTTTCTACTTGCACTATGGGAGTGCTTGTGTGCGAGTGCTTGTGTCTGTGTGTCAAGCGCTCTGAGACACTACCCTCCCTCCCTGAGGGATGCTATGTAAATGCAAGTTGTTGTTGCTGTGGTATTTAACAATTAATGAATTTAATCCTCGGTATCGTGAAATGGATGGATTATTCTGAACCTTTTCGCTTTTTATCAGCCAAAACCAACGACCACCCCCACCCCGCCTCGCCCGCAGGCCCAGCCCAGCCCATCCATTGTGGTGCAGCAGCACCCACCCACTGTGTACAACCAGACCACCATGTGCTTCACTCCGAACATGGTCTACCCTGTACCTGTCAGCCCCGGAGTGCAGGTAAGCCAAGCTTGACATCTCTGTTGGTTTCTCTCTCTCTCCCCACCCCCCGGCTTGACGCTATTTAAATTAATGCAAGTTGTTGTTATTGATGTTAGTTTTGTGCCCAGTTATCTGCATTCACTGTGTTTTTCTTTCTTTTAGACTACGCACATGTACCATGTCCCCATGACTCCCATGTCAATCAACCAAGCCAAGCCATATAGAGCAGGTAAAGGTGAGAGAATGTAGTTATGTTTTGCTTGATGTCTGATTCTGTGTTGATTGGACCCGGACAGCAGAGGAACTGGACGCCGACGGTATGAACGGTAATGGTTTTTAGGAGTATTGTTCCAGGACAAGTCGTGTGCGTTGCCCTCGTCTATCCTGGTGTCTGTCTTCCCAGGAGCAGGTTACCTTTTCTGTTGCCTTTCTTAAAGAACCGATAATCATTTTAATAGTCGAAAGTGTCTGTGGGCGCATCTAAACTGTCGGCCTTTCTTTTTTTTCTCAGTACCAAACATGCCACAGCAGCGACCAGACCAGCATCACCCTCAGGGCACTCCAACCATGATGCACCCAGTTAGTGCGGCCGGCCAGATCGTCTCAACTGCTCCAGCTTACTCCCAGTATCTCACTTACAACCCTCAGCAGTTTACTAACCAGCCCTTAGTTCAGTCTGTCGCACACTATCATCAGTCTCAGGTAAGTCATCCAAACTGAGTACGTGCAAGCGCTTAAAATTGGTCACTCAATCCACGACTGTTTGCGGGACCCTGCTGTGCGCACAATTGGCTGTCGTGTTTCGCCCACAAAGTACAGTTGATCCATTTACATTATATCCTGTGAAGCACTTTGTGACGTTTCAACGACATGATAACGTGCTATATCAAATGCAAGGATTATTATTATTATCAACGTGAACCTGACTGGAGCTGTCTTTTCCCCACACACACCCACAGCCTCAGATGTACAGCCCAGTGATGCAGACTAATGCTCGAATGATGGCACCGCCTGGTCATGGGCAACCTGGGATGGTCCAGTCCTCCACGCCACAATATGCTACAGCTGAACAGACGCACACCATGTACGGTAAGTCTAACCTCACAGCTGTGATGACTGACTGCACTTTAGTTTGGAACAGCCAGTTGGGTTTGCCTGACATCTCCTGAAGAGGTTTCCACAGTGTGTAGGTGACACATCCATGTAGTGTGGTGGGCCTGATTATTTCTGTAGTTCCACCTTACTATCGGTAGCTCGTTTACAACCCTCAGCGGTTTGTTAGCTGGGGGTGAGAGGGTGATGGATGCAGGTCTCTTTCCAACTGTATACCTTCAAAGCGCTCGGGAACGCTACCTTGCGTGAGGCGCTATAGAAATGCAAGTTGGTGTTCATGCTTTCGCCCAGAATATACAGTATATTCTGTGAAGCGCTTTGAGACGTCTCAACGACTTGATAAGGCGCTGTATCAAATGCAAGGATTATTATTATCCAACCTGGTAACGAGACTAAAGGACTCTTGTGAAGTGAATGGAATGGATTCTCCACTCTTGTACCAAATCAAGGGGTTTTCTAATCGATATGTTTCAAAATTAGAGGAATTAACGCCCTTAATTTTGGTGGGGTAGGTGTTTGTATGAATGTTCGGAAATCTGAAGTTACTGGGTTTACAGTGTGAATGGATAATTTTTTTTTAAGTTGAAGACACTCTTTTCAGCCACTAAGCCCCGAAACTCTGAAATTCTCTCTCTAAATCCCTCTGCCTTGACCCCCTCCGGGGGCCAGGATGTTACCTCGCGTGAGGGCGTGATATAAATGCAAGTTGTTATTAAAGTTTTTTTTTTTCTTTCTCTGCACAGTCTCTCCTGGCCCAATCCATCAGCAGTACGCACCCCATCCAACTGCAACTCTGCACCCCCATCCTTCGCACCCACAGCCCTCTGCGACCCCAACCGGACAACAGCAGCAGCAAGCACAGCATGCCGGCAGCCACCCAGCCCAAAGCCCTGTGCAGGTAAGCACACAACGTCTTTCTGAAATATGTTTTTTTTTTTTTGCGAAGCAATGTTTTTTAAACTACGGCTAAAAGTGAGGGGCTGGAATGTGCAATATACCCCAAGTCTCTTGTTACTTCAGACGACAGAGGTGAAGGGAGGAGAGTTTGGGAGTATTTTGTGCCGGAGGGAAGTGAATTAGAAGATGTAACTAAATATGTCAAAAAATTATAACACCCAATCAGAGATGAAGTGCTGGGTAAACCCAGCGGATTTAACAGAATTTCCACATGATGTGTCCCAGGGTGGTGTGTGACCCAAGTTTCCTTACTTCACACACACACACATGCCTCTGTTTACTTAGCAGCAAGTAGGAACCTGATTGTTAGTCAATTGGCGGTTTGCTTTCCGGGGGTAATAATCCTTCCAGAACAAATTTGGTCTCTCAATCCCCAGGAGCGTGGGACATTGCTGTGCGCAATTGGCTGCCACGTTTCGCAAACCAAATACCCAGTCAATCCACTTTACAATATATACTCTGCGAAGCGCTTTGAGACGTCTCGATGACATGATAAGGCACCGTTTCAAATGCAACTATTATTTATTATCATACAGTATGCAAGTGGCATCCATCCTGCTGTACGCACGCAGGTGTTGTATGTGATGTTTTGCCGAAGAATGTTAAAGTATTATGTGAGGGTTTACAGTGTTAATCCAGTGCTAATGTGCTTTGATCTGGAGTGACTTTCGCTTTCAAACGCTTCATTAGATTATTTTGTTGCAGCATCAGCACCAGCACCAAGCTCAAGCTCTTCACCTCGGCAACCCGCAGCAGCAGCAAGCGATCTACCACACCACGCTGGCCCCCACCCCTCCCTCCATGGCACAAGGTCCCAACCCCCAGTCTCCTCAGACCAGCTTCCCGTCAGCCCAGCAAGCCGTCTACACGCTCCACCCCCAGCAGGTGCAGCACGGATACTCCAACGCACCTCACATGGCACACGTCCAGCAGGTAGGAACACATCTGTTGATTGGCAGCCACCAACTGGGAGCAGTTGTTTTCAAAGTGTGTGTTTGACGCACGTCAGCGCTCCAGGACGCTACCCTTCCTGAGGAGCGCTGTATAAATTCCAAGTCAATGTTGTTGTCAGTGTAATAGTAAGGGCTCTTCTGCAAATAATGTCCCTATTCTAAAATAAGGGACAAAGTAGAAAACGTCCCCGCAGTTGTACCAAAATGTTACTGTGGCAGCTGCTAAGTTGGAAGCATAACGCCACCAAATTGGGCTTGAGATTGGCTACGATAATCAGCACCCAGGGGCCATCTTATTCTCCTAAATGGAAGGAGTCAGAGGCCAGGCCCAGTGATTGAAATGACTGCAAACCACAGGACTAGTTAGTTTGCAGTTTGGTTCTGTTGCAGACATTAAGCAGCATCTGCTCTAGTCCAGTGCAAAAGCCATGTAACCTCCCTTGTAGGCGCTCAAACCAAAGACTGAACAAAGCATCTCATCAGTTATTACCCAAACCTTTCCCTCGTTTTGTGTTGTATAGAAAATATATTTTGCTGTGTGCATCATGACCTCTGCGTTATACTGTAGTTCAGTGGTTAGAGCACTCGCTTTGCAAGCGAGAGACCTGAGTTCAATTCCAGGCAGGTCAGGGCGAAACCTTGGGCAAGTTTCCTTACTCCACACACCTAATAATAATCCCTCCAAAAAACAAAACAATAATAAATTGGTCATTTTCAATCTATGACTGTTTGTGGGACATTGCTGTGCGCAATTGGCTGCCGCGTTTGCCCACAAATATATAGTCAATTCACTTTACAGTGTGTTCTGTGAAGCGCTTTGGGACGTCCTCCCGATGTGAAAAGCGCTATATCAAATGCAAGGATTATTATTATTATTATTATACGGCCTGTGATTGAAGGGGGGTAAATTTAAAACAAACCTGTTGAGACGCTATTTCAGTAGATGAGCAGTAACCACATGGAACAGGCTTCCTGGAGAGGCAGTGGAAGCAGAACGTGTTGATTCTTTCAAAAGCAAATTAGATAGATTTCTTTTTGGAAATAATATCTTGGGATACAGTATATAGTTTGGAACATGACCTGTGCATGCGACTGCCAGGCTGGTGGAAGGTGAACTGGATGGATGTTGGTCTTTCGCCTAGCAATTCCCATGTACTTGTGTTTTGCATAGTATAGAAAATATATTTTGCTCTGTGCGTCATAACCACTAAGTTACATGATTGTAACCTGCTGTGGAGTACTGTAATGCACGTTTTAAATTTTATCTGATGTTCTATCACTTTCATGAGTTAATTCGGTGGTAACGTCTGGGTTAATGTCTATCTTTCACGCAGGCACACGTTCAGTCTGGAATGGCCCCTCCTGGGCACCACCCTGCCCCCACCCACCCTCCCATGATGTTGATGCAGGCCCAGCCGCCGGGTGGGCATCAAGCTGGCATCCCTCAGAGTGCCCTGCCGCCCATTCCAGTCTCCTCAGCTACACACTTCTCCTACATGGCCCACCCACAGGGTAAGTGAGAGCCAGAGATTGCAGCGGGCGGGAGGGTCAGGATCCACTGCAGTTTCTGGCTGTTGACTTTAGGATGCGGAGAGCATGACGGGGTGAACAGGCGGAGGCCATTTAGCCCCTCGAGCATGTTCCACCCTTCTATTAGATCATGGCTGATCTGCACCTCAACCCTATAATAATCCAGCCGTTGCCCAATCTCACTTACAGCCACTTACTAACAAATCTAACTACCTCAGTCTTGAACATTTGAATGGATCCAGCATCCACAGCCTTTTGGGGAGATTAAAGTTTGCTAAAACCGAAGGCTGAACGAACGTTAATGTTTTTGTGATCATTTCCTACGAGCTCTGTTGCTAACGTGCTGATTTGTCCAAACGAGAATTGATCTTCAGTTTGTGTCGATCCCAAAATAGTTCCTCTCCCTGATTTCTTGCACTGTGGCCGGGCAGACTGCCCCCCCTTCTGGTTCTGCTTTTCGTCATGTGGTTCTCAGTGGGAGGGGGGGCATTGAAGCAGTTGGTTTGGTTGTGTGTTAAACTGCACAGTGCGCAGTTATTGAGCTGTTTAAAGCCAGCAGCCTAAAGCCCTCACTTATACAGTTTCCAGCAGAGATAATTACCCAATGCAAAGTGAATTTTATTTCTCTCTGCCTTTCCCAAAGTACACATGGCCAGAGCCCATCTTTCTGTCCATTCTTTTCTCAACTGCGAGCTGTCTTCTTTCTCAATGTAACACTTCTAACACAAGACCCTTTTCTAAGTTTGAAAGTCAGTTTGCTTCCAATTGCCATGGTTCCGATTAATTCGGACCCGATCGATCTGGTAACGGGTCAACTGACGAACAGCCGCCAACACTGTGTTTTGTCCTTTTTTTTCTTCTCCCTCAGTACAAGCCCATCACCAGCAGTTATAGAACTGCCCCGCAGTAACCAAAAGGCTAAGGAAATTAATGCCGGATGCCCTTTTCCCACCCAAAACCTGGAACCAGAAGCACAGAGTACTAGAATCTTTCCTTCTGCTCAATCTGTCACGTAACATCCAGTGGAAAAGTTTCTTGCGAGGGGCTGAAGCTGGATCCGAAGAGAAGAAAATCTGAACCAAGTGGAAGTTTCTGGAACCCCATCGTCTCCAACCAACAACCCTACATAACACCTCTTCCCCCCACCCCCAAAAAAAATCTGCTTTCCTCTGATAACTGGAACGTATTTATTTTGCCTGAACCCTTCTAAGTTATGAACTTCTCAAAACGGTGAAAGAACTAATAATAAGATTGTTTATTGCTGCTGCAAAACCATCCAGAAATCCTTTTTTTTTTGCTTCTAACCAAACTTGAACTCCATCTTGTAACGAAAGTCTGGTTGTGAACTGGTGGATTATTTATGAATAGAGGTTGATGGAGGCGGTCGCTGTCACCAGACAGTGTGTAACTTTTAAGTTAAAAACTTTTACTTTGTAGATAATATAAAATAAAAAAAATTAAAAAAAACATAAAAAATAAAAAGTTTTTAAAAACTGATATGGTTTCCCACAATTGTTACTTTTTTTAAATACGTTTGGGTGGGGTGTGTGTGTGCGCGCGTGTGAACGTAGGAACAGGAATAGGCCATTCAGCCACTCGAGCCTGTTCTGTCTTGGTGTCTGTCGTCTCTCCCCAAAATCAGCTCAAGAAAGAAGTCCTTTTTAATGGCTCTTTATGTTGAAAATACATCACAGTAATTTGCTGTCAAGCTTAGTTTTTGTAGGCGAATATGACAGTCGACTGTGCCAGAGAGGTCCTATAATCCTGAGGCGAATGACTGACTAAATGTGAGAGAATTTTGGCTCGGACACCAGGAGACCAACCTCTTTTCGAATGGGGTCGGGCCTCGGTTCAACGTCTCATCCGACTTGATAGCGGCGCCTCCCGCAACGCAGAGAGAGGTGAGACGCGCTTGTTTTCTAAATCCCTCGTGATGATGGGAGGGCACCCCTGTCTGTGTGTGATGATGGCTGACTTCAGTCCTTCCCAATGTTCAGGAAAAAGTGCGATGTAAATCTAGACGTGCATTTAATGAATGACCATGTAATGGGCCGCTCACCTCTAGGTGGTGCTCTAAGAATAGTCACAGAGGAGCCGATTGTTAAAGAGCACTTTAAATGTTTTTAGTCCAATGTTTCTACATCACCAATGTTTGTGGAGTCCTGTAGCTCAGTGGTTAGAGCACTCGCTTTGCAAGTGAGAGACCTGAGTTCAGTTCCAGGCAGAGGGCGAAACCTTGGGCAAGTTTCCTTACTCCACACAGAGCCTAATAATAATCCCTCCAAAACCAAAAACAATAATAAATTGGTCATTTTCAATCTACGACTGTTTGTGGGACATTGCTGTGCGCAATTGGCTGTCGCGTTCGCCCACAAATATACAGTCAATTCACTTTACAGTGTGTTCTGTGAAGCGCTTTGGGACGTCCTCCAGACGTGAAAAGCGCTATATCAAATGCAAGGATTATTATTATTAAGGATTATTATCACTGTGTCCAGTGTATAACAGATGCCCTGAAGTGAGTGTTAATAATGGAATAGAGACACACAAGATTGTTTTAATATGAAGACTGGTCAGGCAGAGTCCACAGCAGCTTCCCTGGTCCCTTCTCAAACACGCAATTGTGCAGACCTTGACCCACATTCCAAGGCTGGTTAGGCTCCAGCAGTTACCTCAGCGCACACTCTGGGGTCCCCCCCCCCCCCCCCCCCCCCCAAGCCTTGGCTCTTGCCAACCCGTGCCTAATACTTTCCGGAATTAGGTAAACTGTTTGCGTCACTCCAGAGAAAGAGAGAGAGATCATTCCAACAATCTATCTCTGGAATTTCCATGAGTAGGTGGGATGCATGGAAGTCTGTTTAGTTTGGAGATGTTTCTGCCTTGTGTCAAACCAAAAAAAGAATGAAGAGACTTGTGAGGCAGGTTGCCTCCACCTAATTGTAAAATGGTGAATTGATCCAGACCGCAAGCTCCCCTTTCACAGTGAGCCTGGGCTGCTGCTAAATATGCTGCCCTGACTGAGACTTGGAGTTTGTTCATATATAAACAAAATTAACTGATCTTCAAAGGTGCAATAATCTTAATATAGTGACGTGAAAAGCCTGAGGCTAAGTATGCAGGTAATTTGTAGTGTTTTTTCGCTGTACAATGCCCTATTGACTTATTTTCAAAGAAAAACTACAGCCTATTATTTCTAGGGAAGATTTTATTCCATATTTGATGATGGTTACATTTGCACTTCTTTTAAGTTTAGAGGAAATGTACTGCCTCTGGCGTTAAATCTATTTCGCAAATGTTTTTTTTAATGTGGAATACAAATATTATGAAGCATAATTTTTTTTCAAAAGAATGCATGTGCAGGGCACCAAACCTGAGGTGCCCTTGACATTCAAATCAAAGACTGGTTAAATTATATGTGCAATCATTTAGAAACGTGAAGAATCCGGGTTTGTATCGGCCGTAGATTTGGGAGGTATTCCTTCTGCCGGCCTGCATGATTCTGCGGCATGCTAACCCACCCCTCTGAAAGGGCATCTGATACAAACCGAGACAAAGTTTTAGCAAGTAATAGTGTTTTGTGTTCCTACCTTTAAACTGTACAAAAAAAGTCTATGCTAAATGTATTATACCCAATTATTCTATCCTTAAATGGTAGCAACAAGTAAATCGACCTCCACCTCTCATACCAATAAATACTTGGAAGTTAGTTCATTGGTTCAAATCCGATGGGATAATTCCCTTAGCAATGTGTAAATACCTGCTCTGGGCACCCGTAAGCACATTTTGTCCAAGCTGCTGCTTCAGGTTTGAACCTGGGCAGTTAATTCTTTTTTGGTGTGTTGAAAGGGTGGTGGAAGTAGATTCGATAGTAGCTTTTAAAAGGGAATTGGATAAGTACTTCAAAAAGGAAAAATGTGCAGGGCTATGGGGTAAGAGAGGGGGGTGGATGTTATTAAAGTTATCTAAAAGCAAGCAATTTGCTGCTTGTGCCTCATGGTTGTGTCATGGATTTTGATGGACAAAGTTGAGGGCAATAAATTTTGCAGTTCAACTGAAATGACACTGATTTGGTAACAAGCCAATAACTAGAGGTGTTGCTGCAGGGGTTTTGTTCTTTAAAACAAACTTTAGTTGATCAAATTAAGAGTTTCGCAAATACTTATATAAAGAAATATGTTTTTTTCTTTTAAAAAAATTATATGCAACAAATATACAATTTGTACAAAGCTGAATGATGGCAAAGACTGTTGATGATTGTAAGTCTATTACAATAGACTGACGACAGCAGTTTTTCTTTATAATAGACAACAATCAAAGCAAAGAAGTTTGTAGCTGTAATACTTCAATTAGGCCTTTCAACAGACCCGAAAGTATAACTGCAGAGCAAACATGAGGCTTGGAAGATTCTCCCATTTCCTCCTGTGTGCGTGCGTGCGCGCACGCGCGCACACACACGTCGGTGCATGCGTACACACACGTATGCTCACACTCGTGCACGCACACGACCTGCGACAGGAGGTCAACAGCTTAAATTCATATATCCTGTTCTTCAGGAAGTGTGACTGTTTGACCTGCTCTGTCCAGATGGCGGTGGGTTTTGGCAGGTGTAAGGCGAGGGCTCTTCTAAATCAGAGGAACATGTACTGATTGTCAACGGCCCGTGTGTGCCCTGGGACGGCAGGTTCCACCTCATAGTCCGAGTCCCGCTGGCGTCTGGCCTGCACCACCACCGAGCTGCTCCTCCTCAGGACGGACAGGGACTCGTCGTGATGAGGCACCGTGTGAAACACTTGCTCAGTCGCCGCCCGGGTCAGCAGGCTCTCCGAGACGTTCGCGGTTGGCCAGCTGGAAGGGCTGAAGCGAGCGAGGCTGGGCTCTGAGTTCCAGCGGTGGATGGAAAAGGGCAGCACTGACGCAGTGGTGGGTGAGAGAGAACCTTTGGGGGTGGGGGAAGAAGAGGAGGGTAGAAAGTGAAACTTTTAGAAAACATTTTTAGAAACCATGATTATTTAACAACAACTTGTATTGATCTAGCGCCTCGCACGCTGCAGGATAACGTTCCAGACATTTACACCAAACCCTCCCAATCGCTGCAGAGAAATTCCATGGATCCCGTGTTTATGTAATGCGCAGGGCTGCAGACTGCCTGCAAAGGACTGAAATCTCTGAAACCAGCTTCTCTTCCTTTTAAAAGTTAAGTGAAGATTGTGAACGACAACAACTTGCATTGATAATAGCGCCCCTCACAGGGGGCAGTGTCCCTTAGATGCACAGTGGGTGGGGGGGGCGGTCTGTGCAACGTTAGATTATCTTGGGGCCTCTTGACTGCATCTTAAATAAAAGCCTCAGCCTTTAGCTGGGAGAGAGTAAGTGCTGGGAGGTGAGTTAGCAATCTAGCACTGCGATGAGCCAATGCTGAATCATGCCTCACAGCTCTGAGCGTTGGCTGGTTGCTCATGGCCCTGTGATGGGAAGGGGGTGGGTGATGGAGGGTTTATTCCATGCTCTGGCTGCCCGAGGTGGCCACATAACCGTCTGTTCGGGTTCCAGTAACTCCAACCAAGGAGGCTGGGTTGGGTGAGGCTCTTTAACAGGCTGAGTGAAGTTCAGTGTGACATGAATCAGAACTGGCACAGGTCTCTGTGGTCAGTAGTGAGGGTGAGATGTTCTCATTACAAAGGCCACTCACTGTATTTGGAAGAGGAAATGGGAACCCAGCAAGTGTCGCTTGTTCTCATCTCTGCAAAGACGTTTCCTGTCATTGGTGTCACACACTCGATAACATTTACTTTTTTTTAAAAAAAAGTCGACTGTAAATGGACAGAAGCAACAGTAGATCTACTTTACAGTATATTCTGTGAAGTGCTTTGAGACGCTATCAAATGCAAGGATTGTTATAGAAAAGCAGGAGTCTGTGCTTTCTTAAAAACCCACACAAATCAATAACTGCACGTTTACCACACTGAAATGTCTCTTTAGATGGTGACTGTTTTATATATAACAGCTTGCATTTATATAGCGTCCTCCTGGAGCAATGCTATCGAAGCCAATGTGGCACCTACTCTGCAATGTCTCAATAAAATGCTGCACATCACCCACAACAGTCAACTGGAAATCTGGAAGTGAGTTATTTAAACAAAGGGATTTAAACGATACCCCACATTGGTCTGTGCTAAGGGACTGAGCCATGGTTGAGGTTCACTCTGTGCTGCAGTTACCAAGAGGCTAGAGGGCGCACATCATCCTGATCTCCACCTTGGATACTGATTGCTTTCTCAGTTGGTGAACATAAAAGACGTAACATTTCCAGGAGCGTAACACTGGTCTCTCTTTTTCTCTCTCCGTTATCCAAGAGGCACATATATATACAGGCCACGAGAGTCCGTGGTTAAACAGGCTGCTTCTCTGTGTTTCTGACTTAATCTAAATCAGTGCAGGTGGCATTTCCTCACAGAGGCTCATCTGCTTATACCAGGATATTTCATTCGGGCCAGGATATTCCAAACAATAGCCTCCAGCTGAGCCTGCGGAGCTGGTTCCTACACACAGGCCCCAGAGGATGTGGTTTTAATCAACACATGGAGCCCAGTTTTGGGAGGGGGGGGGGAGGGGCAGTGGTCTGAGCTGCAGCCAACACTCAAAAGTACACATCGCTTTCAGAAATACTTCCTTTACACCACAAGCATTTTACTCAATGGTAAAATCAACTGTTCAGCCAACAGCAAAAGAGACCTTGAGAACTCCAGGTCTTAAGTCCTCGTCACCCTAATCTTCAACAGGGCAAATAAGTGAACTATTGTGTGTTCTCAAAGCCCTGTGTTAATTCCTATTAAGTGCAGTCGGTGTGGTGTTGTTGGCGAACACAGATATTTTGTATAACAAAGTCCCACAAACGGCCATGAAGTGAAACACCCTTCTCTTTTGCAGCAGTGGTTTGGGATGTATATCTGTTGGAATACACCAATAAAAAATAACAAATTTACATTAATATTGCCTTTCAGGTTAGGCTGCCTCGAGGCATGCAGCAGTGCTGGCTGGGGAGACCAGCTACAACAACAAGATTTCATTTATAGAGCGCCTTTCACGTCGGGAGGACGTCCCAAGGCGCTGGACAGTTGGGTCGGGACCCGAGCAGGGGGGAAATGGTCAGGGGGAGGGAAGGGAGGGAGCAAGGAGGGGATAGAGAGTCGAGAGGGGAGCAGAAGGCACGGTCGAAGAGAAAGGTCTTGAGACCGGCCTTGAATGAGGAAAGGGAGAGGAAGCGGTGAAGGCACTGGGGGATGGAGTTCCAGAGCCTAGTAAAGCTAGGTTGGGGGGGTGGGGGGTGGTGGTGGAGGGAGAGGGTAAACATGACCAAAGGAACAATCAAAGAGGAAGGTCTTGAGATGGACCTTGAAAGTGGCAGATATCAGCCAGTCAGCACACACTCTTGATGGGTATTTTCAGAATGAATATAGCGATGTGTGTTTATAGGTTTTGAATCAGCTGCGCTGTGTGTGTATTCCTCAAAAGAGTGATGAGACAGTAATGTGATTCCTGGGAAGCGACAAGTGCAAACAGAAATACTCGAAGGCATCTGACACTTTAAAACTTCAAAAGCTGGACGCAAACTAGAACACCGTGTACTGAGAGTCGGCAGGATTCTGTTTGTGGGTGGGAGGGGAGGGGAGGTGGGGCGCTGGTTCCCAGCCAGCACAAGCTGAGGTGTAACGATCAGGTCAATGTTTACAGCGTGTGAAACCACACGATGCTCGGAGGCTTTCTGGCAGGAGTTCAGTCGCAAGGTGAACTTTTCTGCAGTTGGAAGCTGGGAGGTTTTCTGCCTCACAGATACAAACACACAGTGCATACCCCACAGTCCCTTCGCTCCCTCCCTTGCCTCCTTCACCTCCTACCATTACCCTCCAACCCTCTTGATCTCAACCCCCTGCTCAGGTCCAAATCCCTGACTGTCCAGCAGCCTTGGGACGTCCACCCGACGTGAAAGGCGCTGTACAAATGCAACTTGTTGTTGTTATTGCATACACAGAAACAAATATAATAATAATCCTTGTATTTAGTTACACATCATACATCAGGAGGTCGTGCCAAAGCGACTGTGTATTTGCATCCGATCGCGAAGAGTTTTACAGATGCATTTAGAAACCCAGCATGAAAGTAAATCTGTGTGACCCACTTCCTATCTGTGCAATATCATCTATTGATATCAATTTGTGCATTGACTTGGTTCAGTTGGTAGCATTCTGAGTCAGGAGGTTGTGGTTTCTTCCAGCAAGATAAAATTGGCCATTCACTTCATGGCTGTTTGCGAGACAATGCGCAAATTGGCTGCCGTGTTTACCTACAAATCCACCGGCGCTACTCTTTATAGAGTAAATCCTGTGAAGAGCTTTGAGTCGTTGCGACAACCTGATGAGGCGCTATATCAAATGCAAAGGGTTATTGTCTCAGCCCTGTGCAGCCTTGATGTGTAACCATGTTTCTGTCAGTTGGGCAAGTTGGTTGGACCTCCAGGATCCGTGCCAATACCAGTCAATGATCCGCCAACAGGAAGGAAGCAGGGGGGAGCTGGCTAGAGGCTGTTTTCTCTCTCTCTCTCTCTCCATCTCTTTCTCAGAAGCAGATGGAAAGCTTCATCTCGGAGCCGTTGCAGAGAAACAGACGGACCGGAAACTGGCAGAACTCATCCCAACTGCGGCACACAGACACTGAGCAACAAAGAGGCCTGAGGTTTGAACTGCTGACCGTCTGCCTGTCTGAGTTCTAACTCGGGAACCAGTTCTGTGAGGGAAGCGATGGAGCAGGAAAGGAACCACGTGATGTTATGAGGAGAGAGAGAGCAAGAAGCCGATGGAGTGAGAGCACCCCATTCCTGAAGGCTTTCGGCTCGAGTGGCACCAGGTGCCCTCCAAACACTCGACCAATCGGTCATTCAATTCCCTGCTCATCTCTAAAGAAGGACTGGAGAGAGACAGGGAATGGGAGAGGTCTCATTCTCTTTTTGCCCTGTGTTTGACTTTAAGCAAAGCTCACAGCAAACACTCGCTATGAACGGGGCAGTATGAGGTTTTGCTGGTGTCTTATTGACCGACCACATTAGTAGAGCTGCTCTCAAGCCCGTTTTACTGACAAGTCTTAAGAACATAAGAATTGCTAGACAAAAGAAGACCCAGGTCCATCCAGTTCGTTTTCTACCATCCTGGCAATCGCATGTACAGGTCATGTCCTGAACTATCTCATAATAATAAGCCTTACACTTGATATAGTGCCTTATCACATCCTCAAGACATCCCAAAGCGTTTCACAGGATATACTGTAAAATCAACTGACTGCTGGCGAATCGCGGCAGCACACAGCAGTGTCCCGCAAACCGTCGTAGATTGAGTGAGCAAATTATTAATTTTTTTAAAAAAGAGGGGTTATTACCCGCAGAAAGCGATCCGCCAATTGACTAACAACCGGGTACCTACTTACCGCTAGTTAAACACAGGCCCGTGTGTAGCGAGGAAGACTTGCCTAATGTTTTGCCTCGAACTGGCCGGGAATCGAACCCGGGCCCTCTCGCGAGGTGAGTGCTCTCTAACTACTACGCTACAGGACTCCGTGTACTATATCCCGATCCGTTATTTGCTAATATCTTGTACCGCCCGCCCGCTCTGGGTCGCTGCTTACCTGGCTGGCGTGGGACAGCCACCACGTAGCTGGAGAGTTTGACGTCGCAGGAGGGTCCACACTCCAGGGGAATGGAGAACATCCCGAAGTGGTGCAGCATCTCGATGACGGAGTGGAACCGCAGGTGCTGCACCCGGCACTGGCCTCGCTCGCTCACCAGCAGCCGCAGATGCTGAAAGATTAGGAGAACAGCTCAGCAATCATCGCTTGATCTTCTTAACACTTAACGGAGGAATATCATTTGGTCATAACCTAGACAGTAGGGTTTGATTTATTCATCTGCAGATCATCCAGCGCCTTGGGAGCTCCTCCTGATGTGATGGGCGCTATACAAATGTAATTTGTTGTTGCATTAATATACTACTACTACTAATAATAATAATCCTTGGATTTGATGTAGTGCTTTATCACGTCATTGAGACGCTGCAAAGCGCTTCGCAGAACATACTGTCAAGTGAACTGACTGTGCATTTTGTGGGCGAAATGCGGCAGCCAATTGCGCACAGCGGCGTCCCTCCCACAAGCAGTCATGGATCGAAGGATTATTATTCCCCCCCCAGGTAAACAGATGTTTGGAGTAAGGAAACTTGTCTGAGTCAGGACTTGTTAGGTGTGTGTGTGTGTTAGGTGTGTGTGTTTGTCAACATTCACAAGGCTGGAAGGGTGGCCAAACATGTGATAACAGGCAATGCCTGGTGGAAAAGCAGCTCAGACTTGAGGGGATCAGTCTAACGCGGGCGTTAACAGTAAACGTGATGAACAGCCTGAACACTGCGCTTACCTTCGCCCGCCCCTGAAAGTTGAAGGTCAGCACGTAATCTCCCCGCCGGGTCTCGCTCTGGCGAACGAGAAAGACTCCGTGTCCCTCGGCTCCCTGCATCTGGACCAGCTGGGCGGCTTTGAATCGCGAGATGGGGCCGTGAAACCAGGCGTAGGAGGCCAGCAGCTGGTCTGTCCTGTGGCAGGTCTGTTCGGCTGAACAGTGGTGGACCGCCCCTGACCGCACAAGACACACCGTCACGGTTTTTAGCAGCGAAAACATCCTGTGCGCTTTGACATCTTTTGCAGCAAAAGAGGCTGCGGGATTGTTCCACGCGGGGGACGACAACTTATTTACATTTACACAGCGCCTTTCACGTCGGGAGGACGTTCCCGAGGGACTGGGCAGTCAAGGATTTGGATCCGTGCTGGGCTGTTGGGATCAGGAGGGTTGAAGGGCAGGGAGGGTGGAGGTAGGAGGGTGACCGAAGGCGAGGTCGAGGAGGAGGGGGCTGGGAGATGGGAGTTCCAAAGGGTGGGGGCAGAATGACTGAAGGAACTGACTGAATCGGGCTCGGAGCCAATGCACAATTGATCATAAGCGAGGGTTGCCAGGAAGGGTGGCTGAGGCCAGGGCTAAATGGGAATCATTTAGAGACCAGCTCAATGCTGTGACGGGAGAGGCTGGGTTAGGGTGTTGTGGGAACTGGAGACCAGAGGGGCTGAAGCGACCTTGTGATCCTAAGCGAAATCTTACCCTGGTTTAAGGAATCTGCGCTCCCGCCACCGGAGACCGGCTGCTGTGTGATGTCGGGATGGGACGTGCGGAGTTCCACATCGGCTCCGTCAGACCTGCAATCACACAGCGGGTTAGTCTCTGGTCTCACCATCTCCTCGCTCACTTTCCACAGTCTTCGGCTTCACATTTGGTCGTCTTTCAGCTCAATAAATCTCTACAGGTTAAAACCGGTTTCACCCAAACGCAATGAAACCCAGACTTTTGGGGGTCAGCCCTTTGAGACTTCCTCCCGACGTGGTAGACCTTACACAGAGGTCATTTGTTGTTGATGTTGTTGTTGTTGTGGGGGTGGGAGGCGGGTGGGGTGAGGGGAATTAAGTTTGAGGCACGCTATAGAAATGCAATTTGTTGCTTTAATAATAATAATAATCATTGCATATGATATAGCACCTTTCATGTCGGGAGGATGTCTCAAAGCACTCCACAGGGTTTGCTATGAAGTGCAGTGACTGTGCACTTTGTAGGTCAACGCGGCTGCCAGTTTGTGGACAGTAACTTCCCCCCCGAACAGCAACAGCGAACTAAAGCGAGCGGGAGCCAGCAACAGGAAATCAAAGGTTTATTCAAAAAGAAACCCTGTCTCTTAACAGAAATATACAGTCAATTCACTTTACAGTGTATCCTGTGAAGGGCTTTGAGACGTCTCGAAGACGTGATAAGGTGCTGTATCTGATGCAAGGATTTTTATTATTATTATTATTATTATTATTATTCTTATTATTCACAGCTAACCAACAAATAACTTGAGTCATGTACTGCTCTGGTCTATGTGTAATTACTGAATCTCAACTGCTGGGCTGCCAAGTTAAGCCACGTTAGGCGCCGAGCCAGGAAACGTCACTGAGGAACAACTGTCTGTAGTGCACCAGGAACATGCAACTTGAGACTTGGCACGAGCAGGGAGCAGAGAACTCAGGATAAGGCTTACAGACCATTTGTGCGTCAGTAAGCTGTGGGTCTGGCTCTCGCAGGTTTTCACAGAGTCGGACAGGAAACGTGCATTTAATTCATGGAAACGCGAGGACCAGAGGCCGACGGAGAGAGACCAGAGGTTGTGCAAATCTCACCATGATTAATCGCTGACACAGTTCTGGGTATTTGAAATAACACGGAAAAAAACTCTCTCTCTCTCCCTGTTGTGTGTGTGTGTGTGTGTGAGAGGCAATCGAGGGCAGCCGAGCACGACTCCGAAATGTGCTTCCTGAATTTCCTGCGTTCGAGTGACTGTCACTGTCGATGCAGCAATGATTGTGAAAACCTCTCTCTTTTGAAACGACAGCATGTCTGTCCTTCGTTCTCACGCCTGAGAAATGTGTCGTCAGATAAAGTGGTTACATTCGGGGTGGGGTTGGTAGGGGTTGCGTTAGTTCCTCCTTACCTCCTCTGTTTCTGTGCCGCAGCTTTTCAATTTGTTCAGTATTTAAACTTCAAGAAACACTACTGTCCATGGAAAATAATACTATTGCTCGCCAGACGTCTCCAGGCAACTGGAGTGTGGTGATTGCGTATTTTGTCGGTGCAATAATAATAATAATCATTATTTGCATCTGATATAGAGCCTAATCAGGTGGTTGAGATATCTCAAAGGACTTCACAGGATTATACTGTAAAGTGGATTGACTGGCAGTATTTTGTGGGCGAATCATTTTAAAAAAAAAGTCTTTAAAGTCTTCATTTAGTCGTTAAAGTCGCAAGCGACTCATCCTGAACCTGGCTTCAGTTTTATCGATCGCAGGGAGTTGCTTATTCACTGAACCAAAGCCCCCAATAACGGGGCTTCACTGGGGAATAGCGAAGGCCAGGCACAGTGGGCTGGAGTGCGGTCAGTCTGGGATCAGCCTCTCCACGGTATGAATAGTTGGTTTCCCCAGCAGGAGAAGCAGCAAAGCCCTTCAGCTCTCACCCACTGGGAGCCCTTGGCCTTTGCCATCGTTTGTAACCAGCGAGTCGGATGTTGTTTAATACTCAGAACAACCTGTGGGTCATTAACTTCAAACATGGGCCCTGGCACACTATACACGCCTCATCACACAGTGCGTTGGAAAGAGAGATCAAGGCAGACTTGATGATGATAATGATAATCCTTACGTTAGCTATAGCGTCTTATCACGTCTTTGAGACGTCTCAAAGCACTTCACAAATCCCAACTCCCGGCTCTCCCCCCACCCCCCACCCCCACCCAACCCCCATCTTATTCGGAGGGTTTAAATACCCTCCAAATAAGCTTGACCACATGGGAAATAAGGAAGGAAGCATTCTTACCCTGTGTTCATACATTCTCTGATTTCCTTTGTCCATAAACTCAATTGCTGATCATCAACAGTCTCAAAAATAACTTCTGGGAGATCTTTGACCTGAAAGAGGGGAAGAGAGAGAGTGAGGGAGAGAAGAGAAACATTTTTAGTTAGTGATTTCAGCAGTGAAAAATCTCAGAGGAATGCGTTCCAGCCGCCAACCAAGTCTCTGTGGCCGATTCCACATCACTTATTGCTGCTTTTATTCTGAGAATTATTGCTTTCACATAATTTTTTTTATAAAGAAGAGGAAATGATGATTTAGTCAGTGAGAGGATTTCTCATTGATTTACAGCTTTTCTCCCTCCCTCCCTCCCGCTTGAGTTTATCAACTAACTTTTTTTTAAACCCAGCGAGTTGTTACGATCTGGAATGCATTGCCTGAAAGGGTCGTGGAAGCAGATTCGATAATAACGTTCAAAGGGGAATTGGATCAGTACTTAAAAAGGAAAACTTTGCAAGGCTACGGGGTAAAAGAGGGGGAGTGGGACTTGTTGTGGAGTTCTTTCAAAGAGCCGGGAAGGGCACGATGGGCCGAATGGCCTCCTTCTGTGCTGCAACAACAACGTGCATTTATACAGTGCCCTCTCACGCAGGGAAGCATCCCAGAGCGCTTGATCTAACAGAATGGCGGAACGGGCTCAAAGGGTTGAATGGCCTCCTCCTGTTCCTATGTTCCTACGTCTCTCACCTTCAGTACGAATGTGTTTATGTTGTCTGGCATCTCGAGTGGCGTACACATTCTTATCTCTCTGATTGCTGAACATGGAGCACTGAGCTTCGGTTTTGAGGACTGAAAGGAGAGAAGAGGAGAGGAGGGAGGATTAGGAAAATGGATAACAGCTGCCAGCAGCGTAATCTATTCTCACAGCCGGGTCCAGCGATTGCAAAGGGAAACGGGGAAAGTGCTGAGAAATAGGATTAATATAAAAGGCACAAATGACGCCCTGCGCTAAAAATAATAATAATAATAATCCTTGCATTTGATATAGCGCTTTATCACGTCTTCACAGGAAATACTGTAAAGTGGAGCGACTGTGTATTTTGTGGGTGAAACACGGCAGCCAATTGTGCACAGCGACGTCCCACAAACAGGTAAAGGGACAAAGTGAAGCAAAAGAATTTGAACATCTTTGAGCCCAGGTATCTCTGCAGTCTATAAACAGTCGGACAGGATATCTAAAGGGATTTCACTGAATTAATAACACTGTGTTGCCTTGACGACAACAACAACAGCAACAACAAATCGCATTCAGATGTCCCCGAGGCGCTGGACAGTCAAGGGTTTTGCATGACTGAGATCATGATAAATACAAATAAGTAGTTGTGCAGTTTGGCTTCTTTTTAAATAAATGAATTTATGCAAAGAAGCCTGAAGCACAGAACAATACAGGGCTCTGTATAGCATCACAAACTGTCTTTCATTGAACGTGTATGAAAAGATCGGTGCAATTTACTGAGGAAGCGAAGGGCAGTTTCTCTGTCTGACTGTGTTCCTATTTACTAATAAGAAAACCTCTCCTAGTCCAGCGGGTATTCTGCTCTGGCAAACCAGGAATACAGTAAACCTCACACAAGTCTTATCAGTTGGGACCATACATTTAATATGACGTATGCAAAGTGTAAGTTATGTCTGGCCCTGGGAGTTAACCCTGTCCCTGGGGTAGAGTTGAAAACAATCTGTTCAGAAGAGGAGCTCACTCTGGATTTCAACATCTGGATCTGGTTTGGGGGAAGATACTGATTAAAAGTAAAAAGTTTTTTAATTCCAGCAGATCTGAGATATTAAAGGTAATTAGACCCAGATATAGTTTCCATCAGATATCTGTTTCCCAATCCTTTTATTCTGATCACAATGCGTCTAATGGGCCAATCAAGATCTGAATGTTCTCCAGTGACTCTTTGATCTCGCTTTGCTCCCATTGTTTTTTTTCACAGACTTTCATGTAAGTTCCTTGTCCTCTCCACAATCACAGCAGCTCCTGAGACTTGTAGAGGTTTAAATGGAGTCCCGTGGTGTAGTGTTTAGCGAGCTCGCCTTGCAAGAGAGAGGACCCGGGTTTGATTCCCGGGCAGGGCAATACCTTAGGCAAGTTTCCTTACTCCACACGCCTCTGTTTACCCAGCAGTATGTAGGAACCCAGTTTTACCTTCCTGTCACTCGTTACAGTAAAGTGCAGGATTTCTGACATTGCTGTCTCCTGGGGTTTCCTGCCTCCCTCAGCTAGACACGAGGTCACAGCAGAGCGAGCCCTAGACCTCTCCACGGACGCCACACTTCAATGCCCCAGGAAGCCTGACTACTATTTCTGTAGAATTTTCCCTCTTCCCCCCACAACCCCCCCCCTCCCCTCCATCATCCCACATCCTTTTCCTCCTCACTGACTTGAAACCCACCCTCATCACCCCTCCTCCTTCCTATTCCAACTGATTTTGCCCTAAAACCTCCAACTCTCATTAACCTTGATGTCGGACTGGATCAGAGCCAGTCAGCAAAGGACTTTGGTTCGATCACCTCCAAAACTGGACTGCTGGTGTTCAGCTATTCACAGCTATTGACAAGTGACTGAAAAGCTCATAGGCCGTGTGTGGGGCATTGCAGGAAATGCCTGGCAAACTAAAACACTGACCAATGGTTACCTAACCACCACCACCATCAACAACAACAAATTACATTTATGCAGCGCCTTTCGTGTCAGGAGGACGTCCCAAGGCACTGGACAGTTAAGGGTTCACACCTGAGCTGTGGGTTGGGGGGAGGGAGATCAGAGGGTAGCATGTCGAAGTTTCTGGGAAAGACAGGGCTTGGGATAAAAAGCTGCCAGGAGCTTTCATCTGCCACTGGTAGGAGCTCCAACACTACTTCCTGATTGATTGATTGATTGACTGACTGACTGACTCAATCACAAGATTACAGGAGAGGATCCTTCTCATCCTTCCGGGATACCAGCCTTCCCAGGGTCCCATTGCAGCTGTTTCCTGAATGAGTCAAGTTTCCTGGCCTTGAATCCCCTCCCCCCCCCCCCCGGAACTCATCCCGGCTGTTCATCATCCCATTGTGAAAAAAGGAATGCTTCCTGGTGCCTGTCCCCAGAACATCTCCTCACCAAACACCAACCGTTTGCACCCACCAAATGGACATTCAATTTACAGTATAGCCTGTGAAGACGTGATAAGGCGCTTTATCAAATGCAAGGATTATTATCTGATCATCTTACCTAACCGTTTGTTAGGTCAGCGTATCAGGGGATATGGGGTAAAGGCAGGTAGTTGGAGTTGAGGTACAGATCAGCCGTGATTTGATAGAGTGGGGCATAACAGCCTCGAAGGGCTGAATTGCCTACTCCCTCCTGTTCCTGGGATCAGACCAACCGACCCGCCTCCATTCACATCTCACATTCTGTCTTAAATTGAATTTATTTTCCCTCAATGGAAGGGTGACATGCGAGGCGGGATGAAACTCAAGTGTTTTTAGCTCCAAGCTTGACCAGGAGCATTCAATTCCAGGCCCAATGTAAAGGAACTCTGCATCTCCTGTTCATTCGATTCAGAATGACACAGAGAACAAAGAAAATAACATTACCATGTGAGTTCGCACATCAGTATTTGAGCTATGCACGTCAAACAGAGACTGGCTACATAGTTGGTTACTAGCCAGTCTGGTATTCCCACTTGCAAGCCAATTTGGGAGATGCATTCAAAGAGCTAGACAGACTCCATCCCATAGACGTCTGTAGCTGTGTCAGTGCGCTTTCCTCAGGCACAGATTTTGTTTTTAAACTGCGTTAAAATATCTTTGACTTCTTCGTGAGATGCTACAGCTCCAGTTTGGCACGGAAACACGAACCCCAATGTGCGCCCAGGACGTTGAACATCTCAGGGAGCGAGTCTGTGCTATACAGCGTAACGGCAACTGCGCGAAAGGTCTTCGGACAGCATTGACGCAGCTCAGCGGGTCAATGTGTTCCCCTCAACCCCCCCCCCCCCCACACACACACATGCACATGCAAACACACATACCCACACGCACAGGCACATGCACACATGCACACACAAACAGACCACGTGGACAGTTTGAATCAAAGAATCCCAAAAATACGGAGACCAAGTGTGTAAGCGCTTTCACCAGGTCAATGCACAGTGACGTTACACACACAGAGAAAGCCAGGGGTTGCTCAGTCATCCCCTGTGCTAGGTCAGGGCCTCTATGTACCACACACACACACATGGTCCATCACCTGGGCGGATCGGTATCCCACCCAGCCTTAGTGGTCACAGTGAGTGGTAACCACCGCTAGGAGGTGTGAGAGAGCAGCTTTGAGTGATGACTCCCCATGAGAAAGCTCTCAGCCTTCACTCAGTATCTCCCACCCCCGCCACCATCTCTCTTCCTCCTCCTCTTCCTCCTCCAACCAACCCTTCCCTCCCTTCCTCCTCCTCCATCCCACCCCTTCGCTGCCCCAAACCCCCGACTCACCCCTTCCCCCACGCTATCATTTCTGGGCACTTTAGCCGACGACGACAACTTGCTTTTACTTACTCACACAGTGTGGTATCCCAGATCACTTAGACAGATGTCAGGGGCCCTGGAGCCGGACCGGTATCTGACCACGTTTTAACAACTTCATTTATTTGACAACCGCTTGCACTTAGAAAACGCCCTTCACGTAGAGGTGGCGTCTCGGAGCGTTTTAAGGAACAGAATCCATTTTGGAAATACCGCAATCCTTTGGATCCCCTGAAAGCGCCAAGTCAGGACTATCCTCGCTCTTGAACGCGGGAGGTTAACGCGAACCATAATAGTTTGGAACATTTGAAAACATATCGGAACAGGAGGAAGCCATTCAGCCCCTCGAGCCTGGTTCCCCATTCTATTCGATCATGGCTGATCTGTACCTCAACTCCAGTTAACCCGCCTTTGCCGTATATCCCTGTGACCCAACAAAAATCTATCCACCTCAGTCTTGAAAATGTGAATGGATCCAGCAACCGCAGCCTTTTGGGGGGGGGAGAGAGAGAGAGAGTTCTAGATTTCCACTACCCTTTACGTGATAAAAACATTCGGGACGAGCCAAGAGACCAACTAAACGGCTTAAATTACTCACGCCTTTTCACCGTGGAGAGAGAGAGAGATCTGCGCTTGAACGGGAACAAAATGTCCCCAGGACAATATTAACCTACATTGTGAGTTGTGCTGTCAAAGCTTTCACTGCACTTCACAGCTCTGTAAGGTTTTTTTTATAGGAGTGAAATCTGAGCGAAACCGTAAAAGAAATCCTGGTAGTTAATTTACAGGGAATGTTCTGCGATCACGTTACCCAAAGCAGCTCTCGTAGAACATCTAGCAGAAACCTCCCAAGTCATCCTGCGAGCTAGGTTAGTGCCCCTCGCCTCGCAAGCGAGAGGACCCGGGTTCTATTCCCGGCCGGGGCAAAACCTTAGGCAAGTTCCCTTACTCCACTCACGCACGCCTCCGTTTACCCAGCAGTAATAGGAACTCGGCTGTTCAAATTCTAAGAGGAAGAAGAAGAATTGGGTCACTCAATCCACCACTGTTTGTGGGATGCTGCTGCGCACTATTGGCTGCCCTGTTTGGCCCACAAATATACAGTCAATTCTGTGAAGCGCTTTGAGGCATCTCAACAGTGTGATGAGGTGCTACGTCAAATGCGAGGATGATGATTATTATTATTATTATTATTATTATTTTATTATTATTATTATAAGTCCTGGGACACTAACCCAGTGTCCTTCCTCTATGTAACAAACTGCAGAAAATCTAACCAGTTTGTC